TACCTCATGATTGGCTCAGTTACTCAATAATATAATTGTTTGGATGGTACTCTATTGTGAGCACCAACTTTTGGGAGTGAAAAAAAACAAAACCCTTTCTCCACCTTTCTTTGGGTAAAACTGATGCCTTTACTTTAGAAAGCTATATTTGTGTTAAAGCTTTAAAATGCAAGGTTTTCCAAATAATTAGATGCCTTGTTAAACCCTTATTAAAAAACAGCACCCAGACAATTTTTCAAGGGGATACCTCATGATTGGCTCAGTTACTCAATAATATAATTGTTTGGATGGTACTCTATTGTGAGCACCAACTTTTGGGAGTGAAAAAAAAACCCTTCTCCACCTTTCTTTGGGTAAAGCTGGTCCTTTTACTTTAGAAAGCCATATTTATGCTAAAGCTTTAAAATGCAAGGTTTTCCAAATAATTAGATGCCTTATTAAACCCTTATTAAAAAACAGCACCCAGACAATTTTTCAAGGGGATACCTCATGATTGGCTCAGTTACTCAATAATATAATTGTTTGGATGGTACTCTATTGTGAGCACCAACTTTTGGGAGTGATAAAAAAAACAAAACCCTTTCTCCACCTTTCTTTGAGTAAAGCTGGTCCATTTGTTTTAGAAAGCCATATTTGTGTTAAAGCTTTAAAATGTAAGGTTTTCCAAATAATTAGATGCCTTATTAAACCCTTATTAAAAAACAGCACCCAGACAATTTTTCAAGGGGATACCTCATGATTGGCTCAGTTACTCAATAATATAATTGTTTGGATGGTACTCTATTGTGAGCACCAACTTTTGGGAGTGAAAAAAAAAAGCAAAACCCTTTCTCCACCTTTCTTTGGGTAAAGCTGATGCCTTTACTTTAGAAAGCCATATTTGTGTTAAAAGTTTAAAATGCAAGGTTTTCCAAATAATTAGATGCCTTATTAAACCCTTATTAAAAAACAGCATCCAGACAATTTTTCAAGGGTATACCCCATGATTGGCTCAGTTACTCAATAATATAATTGTTTGGATGGTACTCTATTGTGAGCACCAACTTGTGGGAGTGAAAAAAAAACAAAACCCTTTCTCCACCTTTCTTTGGGTAAAGCTGGCCCTTTCACTTTAGAAAGCCATAGTTGTGTTAAAGCTTTAAAATGCAAGGTTTCCCAAATAATTAGATGCCTTATTAAACCCTTATTAAAAAACAGGATACCTCGTGATTGGCTCAGTTACTCAATAATATAATTGTTTGGATGGTACTGTATTGTGAGCACCAACTTTTGGGAGTGAAAAAAAAATAAAAGTAAATTAAAAGTAAATTGAAATCAATTGAAAGTAAATTGAAAGTAAATTAAAAGTAAATTGAAATCAATTGAAAGTAAATTGAAATCAATTGAAAGTAAATCAAAAGTAAATTGAAATCAATTGAAAGTAAATTGAAAGTAAATTAAAAGTAAATTAAAAGTAAATTGAAAGTAAATTGAAAGTAAATAGGAAGTAAATGGAAATCAATTGAAAGTAAATTAAAAGTAAATTGAAATCAATTGAAAGTAAATTGAAAGTAAATTAAAAGTAAATTAAAAGTAAATTGAAAGTAAATTGAAAGTAGATTGAAATCAATTGAAAGTAAATTAAAAGTAAATTGAAATCAATTGAAAGTAAATTGAAAGTAAATTAAAAGTAAATTAAAAGTAATTAAGTTAATTTAAAAGTAAATTGAAATCAATTGAAAGTAAATTGAAATCAATTGAAAGTAAATTGAAATCCTTTCTTAAGTTGATTGACCAAAAAAATGTTGAGGGGGGGGCAAAAAAATGTGCGAGTTATAGAGTATCCTCAAATTGTTTAGGGGGGGGGAGCCCCCTCACACTAATCAGATGCAAACATTATATATATACGTATATATAGATGGCGGCATTTTTGACCTCCCATAAAATCATCAACCAGGGATCGATCTGCCGTTTGCCGTCCTTGCTCGTCTGTGGAGTCTTTCTCATCTTCTTCGGCCTGGCGAGGCAACACGATGCAAGGCGCGGCCGAGATCCGCAAAGAATGGGATCTTATTGAAACAGATGGGAGGCTCAGCGTGATTCCTGTGATATCTGTGATTGTGACTTGATTTGCTTCTAGATACACAAAATATGTTAAACTATCATAACCTGATATATCCTATTGGATCATATTTGATCTATAGTATGTGAAACCACGTTCAGGAATTCAAACTGTATCCAATTGCAGTATAAAGCATGGTTCAACCAGGATTTCTAGAACAAGTTGGATGGATCTTTAACGGTCTAATAACGGTCTGTAGTATCTGTATGTCTATAGCAGCACCTCCTTTATTCAAGTTCAGACATGTTGCCGGTACGACCACATCTCCTAAGAAAACAAACACTCTTCACATAGGTTTGCAAGAAACAGCATAAGGCATAAGGCAAGCATTGAGATCTGTGAAAATTGAATCGTCAATACCAGAACCAACCGCCCGCCAAGATGTTGTCAATCGATGTCCGCGGGTCTATGGTTCAAATCGTTGGTTCACCCTAAAATAGCTGGCATAGCTGGATGTTCATTTCCCATTTTTTTTTGGGAACTAATGGTTAAAAACTCCTGCTTCACAACTAAGATCAAGCATGAACCATAATTCATTCTCAATTTGAAAAATGTTATTTCCAACTTTTGGGGTGGTCTTCCAACCCCTTAAAGCTTCAGTTCTCCAACCGTGTCAGGTCCCAAAATTCAACGGCTCCTGCGTCTTGTTGGCGGCGCGCCAACTCTTCATGATGATCTGGCAGCGTAAAAAGATAATAGCAAGGATAATAGTCTCAAGGTATTGTTACTATATTATCATTGCTAGCCTTGATATAGAATACTATGTTTGGTAATAATTCTACTGTAGTAAAATTACTTCACTTCGAATGATCCCCACCATGACATTTATACATTTTCTTACTGGCAAATCTTCTTGCATTCTATCTGACATATCTTCTGGCAATCTATCTGGCATTCTATCTGGCATATCTTCTGGCATATCTTCTGGCATTCTATCTGGCAAATCTTCTGGCATTTTATCTGGCATATCTTCTGGCATTCTATCTGACATTTTATCTGGCATATCTTCTGACATTTTTTCTGGCATTCTATCTGGCATATCTTCTGACATTCTATCTGACATATCTTCTGACATTCTTTCTGGCATATCTTGAGACATTCTGTCTGGCATATCTTCTGACATTCTTTCTGGCATTCTATCTGGCATATCTTCTGACATTCTATCTGACATCTTTTCTTCCCGTTGAGGTCCGGCAGTGCCCACTGCGATCTGGAAGTCGCGGTTGAGGTCCGGCAGTGCCCACTGCAATCTGGAAGTCGCAGTTGAGGTCCGGCAGTGCCCACTGGGATCTGGAGCTCGCGGTTGAGGTCCGGCAGTGCCCACTGGGATCTGGAGCTCGCGGTTGAGGTCCGGCAGTGCCCACTGCGATCTGGAAGTCGCGGTTGAGGTCCGGCAGTGCCACTGGGATCTGGAGCTCGCGGTTGAGGTCCGGCAGTGCCCACTGCGACCTGGAAGTTGCGGTTGAGGTCCGGCAGTGCCCACTGCGATCTGCAACTCGCGGTTGAGGTCCGGCAGTGCCCACTGGGATCTGGAGCTCGCGGTTGAGGTCCGGCAGTGCCCACTGGGATCTGGAGCTCGCGGTTGAGGTCCGGCAGTGCCCACTGCGACCTGGAAGTCGCGGTTGAGGTCCGGCAGTGCCCACTGCGATCTGCAACTCGCGGTTGAGGTCCGGCAGTGCCCACTGCGATCTGCAACTCGCGGTTGAGGTCCGGCAGTGCCCACTGGGATCTGGAGCTCGCGGTGGAGGTCCGGCTGTGCCCACTGGGATCTGGGGTGAGGAGGCGGAGGAGGCGGAGGTGGAGGCGGAGGAGGCGGAGGCGGAGGAGGAGGAGGAGGAGAACAGCTCTGATAAAATCTAACAACCCTCACCTGGCAGGTGGGGAAAAACATGATAATAGCAGTAAGACTAATACTATCTGAGTAACTGGGATCTGCTGGAGGAGGAGGAGGAGGCGGAGGAGATGCGGAGGCGGAGGAGGAGGAGGAGGAGAACAGCTCTGATAAAATCTAACAACCCTCACCTGGCAGGTGGGGAAAAACATGATAATAGCAGTAAGACTAATACTATTGATAATATTGCTAATTATATCTAATTATAATATGAATAGTTTATAGGAGTAATACAATGTGACGTGTGAGCAAGTCACGGTTTCATAATATCAGACTGGCCATACGGATTCCCCATCACCATGCCACAAAATCATATTCAACAGCCTGCAGCCAAATTAACTAGCTGGTTTCAAGGCAACAGAAACGCTTTCTGCGTAAACCAAAAATTTCATCTTATTTCTGTGTAATTCCCTAATTTCCTTGAATGAAAGTTTACACAGAAACCCCATCCAGTTTGACTCTATCTCTCTCTCTCTCTATATATATATACACATGTGTGTGTGTTTCCGAACCAAAACTCGGCAATTTGCTTTTGATTCATTGGGGTAGATTCCTGGACTTTCCTATATACCAAATAAAGAAACGCAAGATACCTTAGATGCTGCCTGTGGATAAGTTCGAATATAGGACAGCATTGCTATGTTACCAACCGTCAAATGTTGCAAGAAAACACATGCAAAACCAACAAGTCACCCATCATTTTGTCCATATTATGCCATATCACACCATCCCAAAATATTCATAATCCACTTATACTTAGATATTTTTCGTAGTTCATTATTTCGATAATGATTGATTTAAGGATAATTTATCATATTCATAGTCACTGATTAATTCAGTGATACATATCATACAATATATAGTCAGGATTTATAATAAACAAATGAACAAATGCCGTATGTTATTCCGTTTTGCCACGGTGAAGTCTCTCTTTTTAGTCACCGTGGCCTTGATCCGGCTGGCATATTCACGACGGATAAAAACGTAGGCACCTGACATACGAGGAAACGTGCGGGCCTGGGGGTTGGTTGGCTTTGTGACTATGATATGTTAGTAATATATGTTAGTATGTAATGTGTATATATATACGTATAATATTGTAACATATTGTAACCGTATATTATATCATCGTAATTTTTGAACATATATCATATATGAAATACCCACAAGCAAAGCTACAATTACAGGCACTTTTGAATATGGAGATTTATCCAAGATCTCCCTAGTCCAACAACAAATCCAAAGGTTGCATCCCATTGTTTGAAGACTATCTTGCTGTGTGCTGTTTCAATCTCCATCGGTTCTGATTGTCATTTTGCTAACATCGAAGGGAAACAACATAACAGATATGTATATGGGTTCTTGTCATAGAGTGATGGTATATGGGTATATGGGTATATGATTCTATAGCAAAAGATGGTATATGGTGAAATAACAATCATTATATCTGCTCTGGGCAAAAGATGGTATATGGGTTCTTGTTATCCCACCATCAGGGATTCCTGGAAACTGGAAATAAAAATCATTGTAAATCCCTGTTAATCCATTGATGACCATCCCCCAATATGGCTTATATGCAAGTTTTCACCTTAGCACATATCAGTCATTGGTTTTATCCCCCATCTTTGCTGAGTGATTTTCTATCATCTTCACCAGCTTGCTGTGTTGGACAATCCCCACCGATCATATCACCCATAAGGATCTCCATCTCAGAGTTTTTGTACACCAAATATAGATCATCAACCCACCATATCACCATATTATGGTCATATATCACCATTCTCCCACCATATCACCTACCATAATATGACCATAATATGGTGATATATGACCATAATATACCATAATATACCATAATATATGGGCATAATATACCATAATATATGGGCATAATACCATAATATATGGGCATAATACCATAATATATGGGCATAATACCATAATATATGGGCATAATACCATAATATATGGGCATAATATACCATAATATTACCATATATCACCTACCATACCTCTCAGCACCAACAATATCCAACCATCACCACGCCTCCCACGTAGTTCAACACGGACATCATCCCGCTCCGCGCACGGCTGGTGAATCGGCCCTGCAGCTCCGTCTCGAAGAGTTCCACGATGGCGTCGCGGAACATGTAAACGCCTTTATTCGGAGCAGCGAGCGTTTATTAGCTTGTTTATTGGATTATATGATTCATCATATCATATATCATCTATCATATATCATATCATAAATCATATCATCTATCATCTATCATCTATCATCATATCATCATATCATCATATCATCATATCATCATATCATCATATCATCTATCATATACAATGTGATACAACTAACTCTTAACTAATCTATATATATATAATATGTATATTACACATTTATATCTTGTGTGCGTTGACATATCATGAATACTTATAACAAATGGCCGCTCCGGGGAACTGGGGAACTGGAAACAGATTCCCAGAATCGCTCCAAGGTGCTGGATGACCTATGTGTTGACATTCTTCACTTCTTATCTTACTTTTGAAAACTTAAGTTGAAGTTACACAAAAAATACACCAACAACTATAACATACTATAACATACTATAACATACTATAACATACTATAACATACTATAACATACTATAACATACTATAACATACTATAACATACTATAACATACTATAACATACTCACATCCCCTGAGTTCCGAGAGACGTGGAGCCGTGACCTCCAGATCCAGGTGTTGAAATCCCAAGGTTTCGGCCGTGACCTTCAAACTCGACGGGTTGTCCCTGAGGGCGACACCATTTTGGTTGGGCCCCGGATGGGGATGGACACGACGGACATGGAAGAGCTATGGAAGAGGTTGAAGTGATGCATGGAAGATTTCTGGAATTTCTATTTCTATTTTCCAATGATCCCCTTTAATATCCTTGAATTACACAGTCACCTGGAGGCTTTTTTCAGATATCTTTAACAGTGATACACAACATTACAAAACCAGGTTTCATTCTGTGAACTATTTGTCATAACTGTCATAACCAACTGAACTGTGGCGCTTGTCATAATGGCCCTTGTTTGCATCCAAGACTCATTGATGTGATGATGGTGTTCCTCAGTGAGGTCATCCTCTCAGCCCCAGTGGCCCCAGTGGTGGGATCGTCCCCCAAACCGCCAGAGAAACCATGAAAAACCAGATGTATGGCCAGTGTTTTCTTTGGATCACTGCCAAATCTGCCAAGCTGCAAGCCGTTCATGAAGCGCATGGCCTCGGACTGGACTGTCTTCAAGTGCCATGTGCAATGCGCAAGATCAGCAAGCTATCTTCTCAACAGGTCATTACTAATGAACTAATGTATACTAATGTGGTAGATCCAAACCATAAACCTGCAACGTTGGAAGACTCGGGAAGACTTATACCACTCTAAATTCGGGTTTGTCACATCAATAGCAGCAAGGCTGTTTGAACAAGAATTACATGAGTATGTGGTCGTGGATGGTCGTTGGATGTGATGGAAACTATGAAACTCTGGTCATAACTTGTTTCCGCAGGGGGTGCTCCAATTGCATCTCCTAAAGACCGTGGTCGGTTCAAATTGCCGCCCAAGGACCATGACGGCCCGCGGGGTCTTGAACAAGTTCTGTAGCGAAGGAGCTGCTTCAAAGATCGCGCTGTAGATCGCTTCTCCTGGTACAAAAAGTGACAGGAACTATCCATGATTTTCATTTAATGATGTTATTGAGTATCGAATAACTTGTAATGATTAATGATTAACCCTTATCCATTTTGATTATATAACCGTTCAAGATCATTTGCTTGTGTTTTACCATGCAAATTGGCAGTGGTGAATCATGAAAGTATAGCCATTGATCACGTGGTCACTGGATTGAGGTTTCCTCTGAGATATTCCTGTGAACCCAGTAATCTTTTGTGACAGGAAACCATCAAAGTTAGTACCCGGCCTGATAAACGTTTACATAACGAACTGGAAAATCACCATGTTTCATGGGAAACCCACTAAACATGGTCATTTTCAAAATGCATTTTCAATAGCGAACTGTTAAATTACCAGAGGGTATCACAAAAGAGTTGGATGATTATCTACAAGATTTGGGGGCTTGCCTGGCTTGAAAATTATTGGATCATGATGATCCAATCAGTTTTTTTGATCCAATTGATCCCAGGACTTTTGGTCATCATAGACACCAATGATCCCATCATATTCCATAATCATATCCCATATCCTTTTTTGGTATGGGTAATTATGGATATTTATGGATATTGTGATAATATATGGGACCATAAATATCCATAAATATCATACCAATTATGGGACCATTTATAGGATATTTATGATAATTAGATAGATATTATGGGACCATAAAGGGGTCATAATATTCTAATCGAATTTATTGAATCCAAACGTTGTTCGACATCAACTTTGGTCTTCCATGTCCTTCCAGACATCAACTTCTACCAGCAACTAATGTCGACCCAGGAGTAACCCCATAGCGGGGGTCCCATGTTCGCAGCAAAGTATGGCACTTTTTTCGGGGTAACCGGGTAACCTAACAATCATTTAATCATCGAGGTTGAGATCAAGCGCAATTGGAATATTTGTTGGAATCAAGTATACTGACTTACAACCCAATGACATATCAAAAAAAAACAACACATACTCAAAATCAAACTCAAGTAAAATGTCCCAAGTAAAATCAAATTGCTGACTTAACCAGACCAATTTTATAATCAATGATACCCATCGTTCCGAATTATACTTAGGACATCTTAGGACATCTTACTTTCTTTGGCGCTTCAGAGAGCATGGTATGACGCTCCTGCCGCATCGCGACTGCTGGCGAGGGAGATAAATGCAAACCACACCTGGCGACATTTTTTGGGGGAAATCAATGGGAACTAGCCAAAAAACATTGATAATTGTGTCATGTAGAATGTATAGTATGAGTCTATAGTATAATTAATCAAATTTATTCCCAAAAAAAGATAGAAACATCATTTACATGAAATATATACCACTATTTTCGATTAGGAGATCATTTACTTTTCCTGTTTTCGAATGGACTTCTTTACCAAATTCTGCTGTGATACATCTCTCCAGGCTGGGCTTGTGAAGTCTTTCGAGTTGATTTGGCAGCTCATGTTTTTCCCAATGAAGTGTCTTGAAGTATCTAATAAATCTGATATAAATCTGATATTAAACCCATCCTGATTAGACTTAGACACTTCCATAGATGTTTTCCAATGGTGTGAGAAATTGTTCAAGGAACTGCTGCAAAAATGTCTTCTTTGTGATGCCTGCTTCGAACAGCTCTTGATTGCTGCTTTCAAGATTTTCATCCTGTTGGAACATACCCCAAATTTGATGGGCTTTGCCATGACGGATTATGATAATCCACATTTGTGGCCACAGCCAACTGAAACGTAAAGAGATGTAAAGAGTATATATTGGTCCGAAAATGGGGTATGCACCCATTTCTTGCCAGCAAATAGTGTGGAGATTTTGATGTTTTTCCTGGTTTCTCCTATCATTTTCAGGTACCAAAAGCCGTATGGAGGTTTCCTAAGTCATGCGGGTACCCCCAAATCATCCATTTATAGACGGGATTTCCCATTTTAAACCATCCAGCTATCGGGGTGCCCCCATTTAAGGAAACCCCCTGTTGAAATGAAATCACCAGGGTTTTCTCCTAGCCGCACCTCTTGGGTTTCGCTAATCACTTCTGGCACCAATCTGAGCTCGTCGAAGGATTGCTCCTGGCTTCTCAGAGACTTGCAGGGTGAGTTTTGTGGGTGGCAAAAAAGCGTATGTTTTGTTTGGGACCATCGAATAACCATCAGAAATGTGTCTCACAGATGTCATCAAACAGGATTTGACCTATGAATATCTATGAATAGTGTATATCATGGGGATGTTACCCATCAAAAATGTGGTCTACTAGTGATAGAATGGCGAAACGGAAACCGACCAAGCATTCTGTGGGAATATGATATGGCTTATTGGCCAACAGCCAAACACTTCGTCAAACTGGAGGTTTTTGTATAAAGGCTAGACAATGTCTGTATCCGGAATCATGGTCATGAAATGTCATGAACTGTGGCCCCAGATTCCGACATTTCTCACGGCCCTGGTTTTTCACATTGGGGAAGCGGAACAAAAATCTAGCCTGCCATGTTCGAACAAGACCTTTTTCGTGCGGATCCCATTGGGATACATTTTTTTCAACTTTTTCGGAGGGTTGGACCATGCTATGCCTGTGCTATGCCATGAAACCCAACAAAGATGCCATGTTTTCTGCACCGAGCGGCATTGAGTTCAAAGACGTCGATCCTCAGGCGGATCAGTTTAATGGGGGCCTAGACCATATCCGGTTTTCATTCGCCAAGTCCCTACTTGTCATGGTTGAAAATCCATTTCGGTGTCTTGCTTCGTTCAATCATGGCGAAAAACCGTTACCATCTGGTTATGACTAACAGTTTGCCATGGAAAATCACCATTCTATTAATAGGTAAAGCCAGGTAAACCATCTATTTCTATCGGCCATCTACACCATGGCTATGTTAGTCATAACCAGGGGGTAAAGCATGTTAAAGCCATATCCCATCTACAAAGAATTCTGTCATGGCTTGGCACATCCTGGCACTGACCTGAACACCTCGTAGCTGTTCGAAACGCCCGTCGAGCTGCACTTCGACTTCGGGAACTTCGTTTCCCTCGTTTTCATAGATTTCCTCGTCGTAGAACTCCGTCTCCTCAGCCTATCGCGGGTTTTTTTGCCATGGGTTGATGTGATAACATTGATGTAAACCACAAAAGTATAGATCCACAATAAAGTATAGATCCACAATAAACATCCATAATAATGATAGGGTATAGATCCACAATAAACATCAATAAACATCAATAAACCCAATCGTTCTCCAATAGTTCACCCAACTATTTCCACCATTTTCATCCATTTTTCACCCAACTAAAAATCGATTCGGATTGGGTGGCACAGCCTGGTTAATAACCCCTTAGTTTTTTCAGAACCGGGGGCTCATTCCTGGGATGAACCGGGGCACCTCATGGTCGGAGTCCGATAACGTGGCCATGGGAACCTGCGCAGGAGCCGACCAACAGGCTTGCTCCCAACAGCACACATAGAAAAGGGGTCAATTTGGCAATGATCTGGCTACATAGGTTGGAGCAACCCTGTGATTCAATACCCCCTTTGTTTGAACCCAGTTTCTGGAGCTTAGTTTTTTTGTACTGGATCAGTCCAGGTGCCCATTTCTGACCTTTTCTTCGCCGATGAAGGACTCGGCTAATCTCGAGCCCAGAAAGGTGCGTGGAATTTGGCCGGGCCACGGCAAAGTCAGTGCGTTTGAAGCAGCAAACAATGGGGACCAAAACCATTGGTATCCCCAATGCTCACTTTAACATACTTTGGCAAACTGATTCCGAAAGAATCACAAAGAGGAAGCAACATAGGGTACTGCAACATTTAGGATTTAGATGGATTTAGATGGATTTAGTGAAGAAGCAGGGAGACGCCATCCCTACAAAACAGGATATCATGAACCCATCGAAAATATGACTCACCAAGAGTGATCCCATTTCGCCATATTTCAATGGGAATCAGTCTTAAATGATCTTACATGTATTATAAACATTTATAAACATGAGATTTCACCATTCCAGTTTTGGCTCAGATGTATACTTTCAGCTGTTGAGCTTCAGCTCTTTTGTTCATAGTTTTGATAAAGGGAACCTTTTAAACCGCCTCGGCTTCATCCTTTTGCTCAACGCAGCCTTGGATCAGCTGTGGATGTTCGATTTTTGAACATCGCCTTGGAATTCCTTTGCAGCGGAGCTGTTAAACACAGCCCTCCCACAGCAAAAGTGGCGCTTTTGACGTGACGATTTTTATGATTTTTTACGTGACGATACCAACTCGACCTGCCAAGTTTCAGCAGTGAGTCTGACGGCATGTCACTTAAGGTTACGATATGTTACGATGTTTCGTCCATCTCAAGATCATCAAACTCCACCTTGGGAGCGACATCTCGGGCCAAGAGCTTCTTATGGAATCAGAGATCTTGCCTTACAATTCTGATTGTGTAATAGTGCGAACTCTGATTCTCTTGTCCTTTTGGAAAGGCTGCATGAACACCTGGAGATTTCAAACCAACTTGGCGACACTTGTAAACACATTCAACGCACCAAGAGTTATCATCTCAAGAATTCTACATGCCAACTCCAGCTAAGCACTAGATTCCAGCAGCATTCACTTTGGACGCACTTGCGCAACGAAGAGAGGAATTGGTAGGCCACTTCCCTGCAGGAAAGTTGGCACGTTCGTTAGAATCCGCAGTACCTTGTCATTTGGTTTCCCAGTTTGACCTAGGTTTCTATCATTTGGATTCCAGCATGTTTGTAATATGTTATGTTTGTTCATTTCAATGGGATCAGAATTTGATAACAAATTCTGTCCATTTTCTGTAACGTAATCTATGTGAATCCCTACATTTGGTGCCAAAAAAAACACACAAAAGAAAATGCCGCTGACAATTGCCACCGCGCACACCGCTCCTGCAGATCCACGTACTTCTCGTGCCACACCGCCAGCAGGAAGTCGCCATCCAACGTCAGTACCTGCAGCTGACCGAGTTCAGCTAGGGGAAGATTCAGAACTGGAAAATCATCGGAAAATATTTGGGACAATCTGTAGAAAATGGAGGTTCAAAATGGTTTAAATATATGTTGAATGGATATGGTGAAAAATGATGTTTAATGTGAGAAAACTGAATGCCATACACCTACCATTCGGGGATGGTTTCAATCGCACCAATAAAAATGATGATGACTTGGGGATGGTTTATGAAATTGGGGTTTCCACATGATAGTTTAACATATGGAATGTTTATGAATGTTTAATATGGACATATTATCAACTATAATATGTTGCTTAATTATCATATCACCCCATGTGTTGGGGCTTCTTACCGGTATCATCATAAGACCGATAGCTACCAGTGACCAAACAAGTTATGGCTGTGCAACTGGTCTATCGTAAGTGACCGCTATTGGCTTTGGTATTACGATTTGCAAGCTGGGTATCATAGCTGTTTTTTTTTTCAACAAATCAGACAAGAAACAACCACTGAACCGTGCTGAATCCGTAGCTGGTTTTGAGCCCCTACAAAAAAATGGGATGAATCCAGGTCCAAGGCACATCTGGTCAACCAGAGACAAATGATAACTGGATACAGAATGTGAATGGGTGATGCTTAATCTATGGGTTTTCTTTTCACCACTGACCTGCAAATCCAGGCACTTGTTTTTGCCAGCAAACATAGGTTCCATGTTCCCATCGTCCAATGATGATGACTCTCAAGATTGCACGACATCTCCAGAAACGAGTTCAAGTAGAGGGGGAGACAGATGAATTTGCTGCTCAGTCCAGCACTTCAGCAAAACTAACTAGGTACAGCTCGAAATTGTTTCTCCAAAGGAATGCTCAAAAAGGAAAAATGGCCCCATATGCCAGCTGCCAACTGTTCTGTTCTTCACCTTGTTCTCGCTGAATTTCACAGTGTGTCACATCCCAAAATTATCCAGGATATCTTCTACAGTAACCCTCAAACAGATAGAAGAGTATAATTCATCACTATATTAAGACTATATTATATTTTTGTATAGGATTTCATCATATTTCATCAACTTCTATCATATCTATCCATTTTTTGGTGGGTTACTGCATCACATGATGGTTTCCGCCGTCATTTCCCGTCGTCGAAGGTACGCCCCACCTCTCTGGGAGGCGACACCGACAACGCTCCCAAGGGAGTCCCTCGTGAGGAGAGCCTGAAACGAAGTGGCCATGTTTCCTGATTTTCCTGGTCGATTTACCCTACAACAAATGGGGATTTCTAGGAATTTATATGTTGATATATAGTTATATAGTTGATATTATATGTTGATATATGTTGATTGATGTTAAGTTGGTGAAGATAAATCCAACTGTTGGGGTGATGGATGTTGATGGTAGATATATCATTAACATTCTTTAAGTAGCTACAATGATTTGTAATATGTCAATGTGGGGCCCAATGATATGTTTGTTGGTTTAGATTCACCACATTCATTATACACCCCATTAGGATCCATTAGGATGATTGGCATAACTATCAGGGATACGTTATCGTTGGTTTATAAACCCCATCAATATTATAGTTATAAGTAACAGGAATGATCAGTCACAGGTATTGTTAGTACCTTGGAGGCTTACAAACCAACTTAGCTATCGTTTGAGGGCCCACTTTGTACCCACCAAAAGATACCATATATTTACCTGTAACAATGGCATGTTTCCCATTGTTTTGTCTGGTTTGAAGAATGGTTTTCACAGCAAAATAACTGGGATTTTTTTCAATGTTAGGTGAAAAGCCTAAAACCCTCCGATTTTTTAAAGGTGAATCAAGTGAATGACCATCCATATGGATGTTTTTGCTATGGATCAACATGGATCAGCATGGATCAACATATGAGATCGACAATGTCACCCCAGCCTGAACCCGAAGAGCTCCCGGGCAAAGGTAAAGTCAAAGGCCTCCAACAGAGACAGCCGCCACTTTTTCAGCAAACCATCTCTACTAAAAACAAAAGAGGACTGACATGGGTTTGTCTGAAAATAGGGTATATTCCCAATTATAGCCATTTAATAGGGATAATGATCATTAACCATTGGGTTTAGGGGTACACTATTTTCAGACACACCCACATGACTGACATGTCAGGTGTAGTCAGGTATTCCCAAACGATCAGTGTCGGAGCTCAGGACTGGCCCCATTTTTAATCATATCCTCAACACTTCCCGACTCCAATCTGCAAATGAAGCAGTGTGGGGACGCGTCAGAACCTAATATATGGTGTATTCGAGGGGGTGAACATACTTACCTTTATCTGACAAAAATCTTACCTTGAACATTTATTTTAGTGTTTCCGCTCTAGAAACTCTAGTACCCATAAAAATGGTGTTTAAAAATGGTGTTTTACCATGGTTTTAGTCCATCATTTCAGTACTCTTTCCCATTGTCTTGGGGGCATTTTAAGGAGGGTTGATCGGTTCCGTCCCCGTCGTCCCCGAGATCACTGAGATCTGCACCGTCTCGGCGTCCGACTGGGCACGTTAGAAAAAACTGGTGACCACGATCCCCCATGACTTTTTTGAAGCCCCATATTTATGGATTCATAAATGAAGGATGATCATCTAAAGATCCATCATCTTCCCATGAAATAATCCATATTATAATCCATATTATATAATCCCCACATAGAAAACTATATGCAGCTTTCTGAGACCAGTGAAACTATGCATATTTCTTGGCAGATCATCCCTGAGATTCTGGAAACACTGCCCTTGATATGGCATGGATCTCCTGCCGAGTGCCCAAACGAACCCAAAATTCTCACAATCCGTGAACCAAAAACGGAGATTTTCAGCCATACCCTCCGGTAAAGATTTTGCCATGGAAAATGATCTGTGTTAGATGATTTGCCTATTAAACATGGTGATTTTCTATAGAATCTGGTAAATTACCAGGGTAACCATCTGGACATGACGATTCCCCCGATAAAGGCCCTCACGGCCTGTGGCGCTTCCGTGCATGCGACGCAGCAGCGCGAAAGCCTGACCAGTAGCCACCGGCTCAAGCAATATCAATGGTGAATGGTCATGAAGCTCTGAATTAAGGCCCAATTACCAGAGGATATCCCTTAATATCCACTAAAATCCCAACCAACACCAATATCACCAAATATTGGTTGGGAGTTTAGTGGATATTAAGGGATACCCTCTGGTAATTCTGAATTCATTGACCAAATTGCATGAATTGGGTCTACAAAAATCAAGAATCGTGGGGATGTAGTGGGATCTAGTGGGATGTTTTCTGGGATGTTTTCTGGGATGTTTTCTGGGATGTTTTCTGGGATGTCATGGCATAGTCCTCTCCCAAATGTGACCCCCAATTATTGTAGGGGTCACTATTATGGAGGGTTGGTTGCATCCTCATGATCAGGTGCGAAGGCGTCATTTCTTTTGATTCTGACAGTTGAGTGGACTTGAGATTGGACATACTTGAACATGTTCCATCTTTGAGCCATATGGGAATGAATCAAAACCTATAGTTGTGTCACTATATACCATCTTTGCGGGAGACGAACCCTCATTTACCAACGAATTTCAAGGTGTTATATCTTGAGATATCCTGTGACATTCCCATTGATTCTCCATCAATTCCCATGAAATCTCCGTTAAATCCCGTTAAATCACCAGTAAATCCCACTAAGCCCCAGTAAATCACCATTGGATCACCCTGGGGGCCTCGGAAGTCGGACGTGGGACACGAGCCGATCATCTTCGAAATCGCCGGGCGGCGCCTGGCGTTGTACCATCGCTATTGAATAATATGGATTGTCATCAGTATGATCATGATACCAGAGAATCATGGTCAGAGAATCATGGTTAGAATATGACTACCATTGGACTTTGGGGCACCCTAGTTTCAGACAAACCCATATGGATTATCATCATATGGTTACTATCATCTTTCATTGTTATTAGTAACATGTTAGCATCAATATTGATGATTTATGATCATCATAAGATTATCGCCATAAATCATTACTATCGTAACATGAGACAACGATAATTAATCAATATCAATCAAACATGGGATGATTATCATAATCAATAATCATATTATCATGGTTAATATCAATTACACTAGGGCAAGCTAACATAGATGTGGAAAACAATGGTTTCCCTTTGAACATATTCCACAAATGGTTGGTTTTCCACAACAATGTTAGTTTGCAGGAGGGTAAACAACATATTGATTATGATAAGATGGGATACCGGTAATGTTGATAATGTTGAAAATTGATGACAACCATCAATACTTATCAATGCTACTAATAATAATGGGGTTACGATAGTGGTCATTGATAACCTCAAAAATAACGTTAATAACACTAGTAAGATAAACACCATTTATAGCACTAATACTGATAATGACAAAACGATCTAATAGAAATTAACAACTTTGACAATACACCAATGACAAGTGGGTATATATATACATACACATGGTACACATGTATAATGAGGTATCCTCTGATACTGAAACTCAAATTATCATCCAAATTATCCAAGCTAATCATTCCAAATCCAGTCTTAAGAATATCTCAGAATTAATAATGATCATCCAAATATCATCCAAACTCAAAATATCATCCAAATTCTTAATCCAGCGTTAATGATTCCAGATCCAGTCTTAAGAATATCTCATAACTAATTTTGGATATCCAATCCAGCCAGGTTTGACTCCCAAAGGGTATACACTGTCCGGATTGTTTTTTCATTACCAGAAATGGGTTAGTATGAACCATCCAACATGCGTGGTTCGCTACAAATGTACATACACCATATTCCAGAGATTTGGGTCTGTCCAGAAGTTCGGTATCACCACGACTTCATGGTGAAAAGTGGATATGCATGTGTCCAATTCATGGGAATCGGGGTACCCAAGTTTCAGACATGGCGAAGAACATCTCTCTAGAAATCTGATGAAATCTGTACAAGCAGTTTCGATATTTCCAAGTTGTTCCATCATGTTCCATCTTGCGGAGGATATGTTCTCGCAGATTCTAGAATGGAATTTTGGGATATAGATGGATATAGTGTAGAAACAACCACAATTTCAATGCATGTCTACCCCAAACCCTGGAAAGTCCTCCCGCTTCCATGTCGACCCAATGGAGAATGAGGGTTTGTTGGCACCTCTTTGAGCAGCCGCGATGCAAACTCATACCTCACATTGGCGACGTAAACCAGCGGTCTTGCAAGCCATTTTCGGGTGATGATTCGGTTTTGATGTGTTTTGTTTATCGCGATTCTTCATCACCATGAGAAGAACTGCAGTCATTAATCGTCAATGATGTAATAAAGACTTTGACCACGTTCAATCAAACTACAGTACATGAGCAAAAACGGTCCCAAAGCAAATAAGCTTACACTTCATCAACCGCTTCAAAAACGATGTTTTTCAGCGAAAACGTTGTTCGCTTAGATCATTCTGCATGGAACATGATGTTATATGATTCAGCTGATGATGAAAACATGTCCATATCAATTCTTGATATAACTCACCTAGGTTTCAGACATATTATAACCCACTGACGTTTCAGGCATCACCCCTTTGCCCATGGGCACAAGCTGTCGCTGGGCAGGGAAGCCGAAAGTTTGCACATCATGACCGAGATCTCGTCATCCTGAAACCGGGTCCCTCACGGGTCTCGGTGCCACAGTTCGTTAGTTAAATTGATGTATTTCACTAGATGTATAGTTTGATCAACTCTAGTTTATAGCCATTATACGCCATCAACTCTAAATTTATATCTATAGATCTCGTTGTTTATAGCCATCATATTGTTGGGTTTATATGGATTACATAGCCGTTATACACCCATGGTCATCGTCACTGAAGGGTTGGGATGATTTCATTGCTATCTATAGTTTGGTGGGTTTATAAGCTAACTTATAACTGGGAGGCATCAACTTGTGTGGAAGATTATGACAGGAAACCACTATTTTCTATGGACAAATCAATGAATATGGTTCATTGTAGATATTTTGAATAGAACATTTATCTACACATATATGGTATTAAAAATTGAATATATGGTATAACATTTATTCAACATTTATCTTAGAGCATATCATTGTACATGGGGGAATTTGCTATTGAAATGCTAGAGCACCCCATGGTAGATTCAGTGGGAAGGTTGATACACTGTGGCGGAATTTCTGACCACGCGCGAGAGTGGAAAACTACTCAGAGTTGAGAAAAAAAAACGCAAGACTCCTTCATCTACTGATGAAATTCAGTAGCAATGAGTTCTTGTTTTGTTTGCTGATCTTCTTCAAACTAACATCATTTCTCTAACCCATTCGGATTGGTCATTAAAATTGGATATAAAAAACCAGGTTATACCCCAAAAAATGCTGGATTTTGAGACATAAACATGGCTTATCAAACCACTGGATGTTTTTTTGGGTCGTTTCAACGACCTGGTAACCCAGTGCTCCTCCGTTGCCACATAGACCACCGGACTCCTTAGGACACCAGATATTTCCCCTCAGATGGGGTAGTGGGTAACTTGTCACTGAGGGGCAGCATAGAAAATATCGATGTTTTCCCGTTTTATGGGGATTTTCCATGGGACCTGATGTTTTTTTTTTTTATCACCCCAAATGCCAATTTTCTTCATATGATATGTGGGTGCGTCTTGAACTGGGGTATACCCCAAATGGCATTTTCTTACAGGGACACTTGTGATGACCCAGTGGATTTAGTCAAACGCTGTTTTTTGTAACTTTGGGCCTGGCCTGCAATGAACAAGTATCATGGTGGATGGTTACAACATATACATGTTATCAAATATGTGTATATATATACACACTGTATATATACATCATTATTCATATATATGATAACAATAACTAATACTATACAATACAATATAACATAATATAACATAATATAACATAATATAATAATATATATATACACTGATATCTATACAACATCTCTGCCACCTGGGCAAAGAGCTGAGGTCGCCACTCAGTGACCTGAGGCGACGCGACCAGGCGAGCGACGTCGTTTCACGTGACGCGCATTGCGACATGAAACACCACGAGTTCACATGGGAAATTCATAGAAACTGTAAGAACGTATGTGTCAATGGATTTTTAAACAAAAACAGTATCCAACATGTCTGGCTGGTGGTATACCTACCCCTCTGAAAAATATGAAAGTCAGTTGGGATGATGACATTCTCAATATATGGAAAAATACAAAAAGTTCCAAACCACCAACCAGAAACTGTAAGAAAGTATGTGCCAAAGGATTTTAGACGAACATTCATAGATCAATTGGTTTAAGGGACAATTGGAACTGGAAACCCTGGAAACCCGATATTTTGTGGGGAAAACCAGCTAGTCTCCTGTAGATTTTCCCTTGAACCAATCCATTGAATAGAAACTGCAAGAAAGTATGTGTTCGAAACAGCACTTGCGATGTGGAACACATAAAGCAACACCCAGGGGTATTGCTTCATGGAGAACAACAGCTGCTATCAATCCCTATTCTAGACATATAGCTGACTTATCTATTATCATATACCCCGGCTAGATTCACCATACAGTATTAATGTTAGGAAAGCAATAGTAAACCATGACAAGATTTACAATAAAACCATTAGTGATAGTCGTAGATATTCGGAGATATTCGTATATGATTCTTAATTATATATGATTGTGAAAATTATATCCATTCAATATATATACCTAGTTATAAGTTATATATAAATATATATCATATAAATATATTATATATATACAATTATATGATGGTTAAAGTTATAGTTAATTATACATGATGGTTTTCTGTGATTGCTAAGCATATAGGCCAGCCATAGCAATCCCCATGGATCCATGGCGCCCCACCCTGGACGTGGCCGTGGCTTGCACCGCGATCTCCGTGAAGGTCTCCGGCTCCGCGGGATCCCCGCGCTGGGCCTACGCACCAAGGCGCCCAGGGGGACCCGGGGGAGCCCGCTATAAATAAGATGCGTTGAAAAACATGTTTTTTTAGAATATATATATTATATATATTATATATATTATATGTATAATTTGTATTATATGTATTATGTATGTATGTAGAGATATGTAGAAATATAGATGTAGTTATCCAAAGATATCGGAAGCTCTGCCCTTCGCACCTTCCAGTTCACACGCAAGGCCAGGCCGGCGCACAAGACTTCACGCTCCACCTGGGGGGTTCAGCAGGGCTTTCTCCAGATCTGATGGGTTTTTCCGTTGTTAAAAAAGGGGTGTTTCAACAGGGGTTGATGATAGTTGACATAGTTGGGTGAGATTGTTTGATTTGAAACTTGAAACTGTTAGCTATTTATTTTAAGGTGCAGAGTTGATAGTTGATATGACGACAATCAAGAACTTTTGGGGGGATTCATCGACCAATGTGATACAGTATATAATATGTTTCTGGCCAACAACCTGTTGCGGGCATGTTCCTCGGTGGTGACGGGATATACTTGGCAACCGAAAAAAGTTGAGGTTCCATTTTGAAAGCAAGATAATCGTGTTTCAAATTCAGCATCAAACTCATGCGGCTCTGGTATCTAAGCTTGACATTAAATGTCTGGCCAGAGTCAGATCACAAAACTACCACTGGGCGGCAAATTTGTGCAGACTCAAATGGATGCTTTGACAATCTTGGATAATAAACGCAAACTCAATGAATTATAATTAATTGGAAGTAGATTAATATACATAATGCCCAATGGTAGTTCATTATAATTAATTATCATAATATATAGTTTTGAGCTGGGCATTATGTATATTCATCCACTTCCAATTTCAGCTGGGCACCAAGACCAAAACCGTTTCCCATTTTTCCCGCTGAACCCAACGGTTTTGGACCGCGATGGCACCTGGCTTTCAGGACCCTCTTCGCCTTCTTTGGCCTTAAGGAACATGTTCCAGGTCTCCCCTCTGAAGATCAAAAAAACAGTTCTTGTCACAAAAGCAACACTATTCTGTAGTGTCCATGGATGTCTAATTCAATTATCTTATGTGGGACCCCGATATAGCTGCTTCCACATGCAATAGGATTCTACCCAGAAGATTGAAAGATGTAAGCGCAAAATGATACAACATGTCTGATGAGGCAAAATCATGCAATACAGCCATCCGTACTTTGGGTCGCTTAGGATTCAGGGTGTCAGCATTTATCACATTTTATCACAGCTTGAGAACATTACCCTCTGGTAATTTAACATAGCTATTGAACATGGCCATTTATAGTGAATTTTCCCATAAAAAATGTGATTTTCCATAGCTATGTAAACGTTTACCAGAGGGTATTGATCCATATGGAGATCAAACACTTCTGCTGTCAGCGAAAGAGCTCCAACAATTGTGTACTGAAGCTTCGAAGCATCGTTTTGTAATCACTTCTTGTGATCATAACTTCTTTCTGATTATCCCCAAATTGTTGACATGTTATAATCAGATCCCCATCATTGCAGTGTATCTCCTCACATATCCTGTCACCTAATATGGGGCTTTCCTAAAATGAAGCTACACTAGCTGGATGGTTGACAAGGAAAATCCCATCGGTAAATGGATGATGACTAGGGCGACTAGTAACCCATGACTTAGGAAACCTCCAAGAAAATGAGTATTTTGTCCAGTAAATGATTCTTTTTTCAATATGTTTATCACCCAATATCATCCTGTATTAATATATGGGTGTATATTTCAAATGTTATTATTATAGAATATTATATATAATTAATATGTCTCTGGGATGACTGGTTATACTATAGATTATATTGACACTAATAAGAAAAATCTTGGATTTTTATTTATTATACTGTTATACTTCATATAGATTATAAAATATTATAAATAGATTATGTCACCATATTAGTCACCATTGGATTCACCATTGGAGTCACCCTTTGCTTCCAAACCATTGACACAACCGACCCCATCGCCGATGACTGGGTAGCCACGGGGCCACGCTTTCAGGTCGCTCCCGACAGAGCCAGGCCGTGAGCTCCGAGGGAATCGTCAGCTCCTGGCGTGGCCGTGGGGTTTTTGGGAAAACATGGGAAAACATGGGAAAATCCTAGGAAAATCCATGGAGAATATCATGAAAATATCATGAACATATCATGAAAATATCATGAACATCCTGGGAGAATATTGAAAATATCATGATAGAACTAGAAAACGAACCAGTTCAGTTGAAGACCTTCCAAGTTCATTCAAGGTAACGCGTAAAAGCCAAGCACAGGCAATCAAGTTACAAGTCACCCCAGTCAGTAGGGAAAATTCTGAAGATCCCGTCGTCAGTCTCCGCATCGGTGCATCCTTGAAGCACTCGGCAGCAAAATCCTGTTGCAGCTTGGCAAACGACGACAACGCCCCCATTTTTGGCTTGGGCTCCTCTAAAGCAAAGGATTGCAACTGCATTACAAACAAATTCATGGATTTGGGGCAAATAAGAAACCATACCGTGAAAACTCTCAATTACATGTAGTTCATTGTGGTTCATGCAAGACACATACAAAACTTATCAAAACTTGTCATACGCTATCAATATACGTACAATTCTATTAACGCAAGCACGTCTTTTTTTTAATGATTTCTATGGGTCATTTTTCTGGGCAAAAAAGGCCACAACCCGCCACACCTGCCAGTCTTTGGCATCCGCCGAACAGTTGCTGCGCACTAAAGAGCCCGAGCCCTTGACCTCGGCTGTCCGTGGTGATCTGGCGATCAAAACAGCTGTTCAGAAACTCAAACACTTCAGGACTGAGCTGGTGAATGAAAATGGCCATTTATAGCCATTTATAGTGGATTTACCTATTAAAGATGGTGATTTTACTGAAAGTGAATGTTACTGAATTAATGACTGAGCCAACCAGTATATATATGTATATATATATATATACCCTCTGGTTGTTGACTGTTGCTGAATTATATACTGGTTAATGTGATTGATGTTATTACGTAGCCTACACATAGAATTCACCAATCATCATGGATTCTGGTGCACATAAGAAACATATATCTGGCATAACAGACCCATCCGTGTGCCTCTTTTAGGCCTTCAAGGGTTCGTTGTAGCACCTGAGAGCTGACCACGACTGTCGAATTCATGCGGAGATGCATCCCAAATCCAACTACTTTCATTGGACACTTTGATTATCCAACAGTTAGGATATGAAAAAATCATCCAAATACATTGTTCATCTGAGTTATATGATTATATCATTTAATATGAACAATAATCATATGATTTATCTAACAATGATTATAAACACTATCTAACAAGTTATCTAACAATGATTATTCCATAGAGTTCTGTTTGGATTATCTCAAATCTGCACCAGTCGCACCTTCGGCTCCGATGCTGCCTCCGCTACGACCGGTCGGAAAGATGTAATAAGTTGTATTATGGGTTTCTACATGATTTCAATATATGTTTAATAGGTAATTACTAAGAATCATTACATGTAATTAAATAATATAAGTATACATTATTGGTAACATCTATATATAAACTTGTCCCATTGTTTTTTTTCAACCATGTGATTCACGTCATTCACGTCAAAGACGCTTCAAAAGGCAGCGAAGATCTACGTCGATGGAGGTCGGAGGTCCACCTGCAGATCTTCGCAGTGCTTTCGAATGCACTCGGCCAAGACCTGGTGAAAGGCGACCCCAAAAAGGGTAGTAGTACTGTTGATGGATATCTGATAAAGAAATATGCAACACATATCAAAATATATGTGGCAAAATGATGGAACATGTATTCAAAGAGTCCATAAATATGCTAAGATAATCATAATACAAAACTGGGAGGCAAGGATGGAAGGGTTTACACCCGTTTGCAGCCAAAATCTGCGCATCTTCCAGGCTTTCATGAGATTCTGTCGAGGACTAGGAGTCGGAGCTGACCCAGGCAATCAGAATATAGAATAGAATTTCGCGTTATTTTCCTATAGTGGGAATGACATCAACCATGAAACAATTATTGAGCTCTTAAATGGTTTATATACATATATTATTTCTAAATATTTCTATATAATGGATGATACTATAGCATACCATAGCATGTTTTCCCATCATTAATCTAACTGTGCAGCCGAATCTGCCCTTTGACGCCGGCCACAACCCAGCCCTTTTCACGCCGCCGCGGCTGAGTGTCAGGGCCAGGATGTTCCCTGGAGCCTGGAGATGGGCCAGATTTGGTGAAAATTTCGTTTCGTTATCCTCTGGTAATGACTAACAGTTTGCTATTGAAAATTGCCATTTATAGTGGATTTCCTCACTAAAAATGGTGATTTCCCATAGTTATGTTAGTTTACCAGAGTGTATCTTATAAGGTTATCTTATATATGGTTATAACATGTTATAACCATGGTTATCCTATATACAATATGGTTATCTTATGGATATCTTAACTGACTGTAACATATTATCTGGCGTATGAATATAGGATAACAATGGATAACATATGGATATCTTTCATGTTTCATATGGAACATACATCCTAATGGTTATCTTATGACTTTCCTTACTATCATATCTAATTCCATAGAACATCCATGGATAGCAAGTTTCCATCGATCTTTCTGGAGATGGTTTTTATGGAAAAATCCTTGGAGGCTCATTAGTGGGATATCCCAATATATCCCGAAAAAAAATCCTTATCATATCGTGATTTTTGGCGCCAAGAATTGCCCTAAAATATCACTACAACTACGGAATATGACTGGTGAATGTTGTTTATCCGACATTTTTATCTCAACATCGGGGACCACCCGAGACCTAATGGCTGAGAAAATCTGGGCGTTAAGGGCATAAAATGAGGTATCCCCGATGTTTAGACAAACCCAGACTATTCCAACCGGGACAACCTTGTTCAGCTTTTCAATCCAGGTTCGGCTGATGAACCAACTTGTTCAAAGATTTTGAAACAGTCGAAGAATATCGAAGAATTGACAGGGGAAATTGATCATGCTCCAGGTCAACACTATATGTTGATTTTGCCTGATTCTGACTACATTTGGCTTCATAAATGCCACCCACAAACTTCAATGATTTTCATACAGACAGCGTTTTACAAGTTTTCCACTAACCGACTAACCCATCTCTGGTTCTGTTGCTGAAAGAAAATCGGCAGTTGGATCTTCTGTTCCTATTCCCGGCCAATGGATGTTAGATCTTGGGGTGCAGTTCCGCTAATTTTTTCTGGTGAAAACATCCATAAAAAAATGAGGGATTATATATCATAAACTAATGGGATTGATATTGGGATGTATAACCACTTATTAGTTTTCCATAACCAGCAGCAACCTATATGTTCCATAACCAACTAATGGGATTGAATTTTATCGTAATTGCTGTATATTGCTGTTGCTTCCATCATGGTGAAAACATGGTGAAAACATGGTGAAAACCGAAAAAGACTCAAAAGATGGGATAGGAAACACCAAATGAATCCAAATGACGATTGATGATTACGTCCCAGTGTGATACTCTTCTGACACAAAAATTCCTCGGGTGTTTCTCAAATTGGTGATGCTATGTTTCACATTGATGTGAGTAAACACCAAGCATATTCAGCTGATTTTTTTTTGTGTTTCCATGTTTGGTCGATGATGTGGATGTCTACATTTGCATATGTCTATTCAGGGTGAAATGAACATATAGTCTCATTTTGTCATTGGTCATTGTCATTGGTCATTGTTCATTCTGAAGACTTTTGGGTTCTGGATTGATTCTTCAATTTGCTCCATTTCCAAATTCAACACATCCAAATTTCTCAAAAAGGGGTCGAATTTTCCTCAGTCAAATCAGTTCCAGTCGAATCTCACCAATCTCATTTTTGGGGTTTTTCATGTGGGTAAAACAATGTCATAAACCACCCATGACTGGCGGATGGTAAACGTAATTACAACCCATACCACCTATAAAAATATATAGTGATGACTGGGGGGTTATAATCAACCTATAAAAATGCTGATTCTCCTGGGGGATGGTGCATGTCTGACATTGTTAAAAACCCACATGAAAAACCCCAAAAACTCTGGTGCATCTCCTCCGCTGTCAGTCGGCCTCTCGGTAGACTTCATCCACCACCGGCACCTGCTGGCCGAGGGCCGAAGGGCTGCTGGATTCATTGAAGGCGAGAAATCGGGGCCCAATCAGGTGAGAAATCGATCAACAGATACCAGTTATATAAAGTTAATTAAAGTTATATATGTTTCAATGACTACACATGCGTTTTTTTTGCAGTGTTTAGAAAATCATGATTTGCTATAACTTTTTCAGTTGATTGATGCTGTTTTGAATTAATATCTACAGTGACAAGTTTCCCAATATTTGTCGATTCACTTGTCCATTGTGATAAATGCCCTTGAAATAGACTTTGGGTATTTTCATCATACACATGTTGTCGTCATACATCCCAAGAATTTGCAGTCATGTTACATGCTACCTCATATTGCACCAATGCGCCGCGAGCCACAGATTTCAGTCATTTTCATTTAGTATCAATTAGTAATGCCTCATACCCAAAGGTAATCAAGTGTTGACAATGACATGTTGCTTCGTCACGATATCATGACATCCTCAAATGTCATTCCTCAATTACTGGCAACATATAGGTAGAGGCCTGGGTCAAAAATGGTGTACTGTTCTGGACCCACAGAATTGGCATCAATTGGCCATGTTCAGTTTTAAAGGAAGCCAATAATCCCATAGTTGACCAGGAAATACCATCATTTTGCCTATCAAACATTGCCATAACTTGGATGCCCGTTAGTTTTTCACCCAAATAGCCACATATCAGGTCTTGCATCCCATCTTCTGAAGTCTCCCCGGTCTCCCCTGACCTTTGGTGAAATACCATGGGCTTTTTCTGACCCCAACACGACCCGCCGACCCAGACCCGCCTTCCGTCGTCCTGGCACCAACAAGCAGCTACTTATGCAGAGATCCGGTGTCTCCAGTGGCAACTTGCCATCGCGCTCCTGGTGTCGATGTGTCTCTTCGATTGTGTCAACTGGTGTCCGTCCTTAATTTTTGTCTTGTCCCATCGTTTTTTCCAGATGTTGACCATAAATTTTACCATACATTTCCCAACTTTTCCAACATTTGCCCAACTTTTCCAACATTTGCCAACTGTTCCAACATTTACCAGACATTTACCATACATTTCCCATACATTTCCCATATCATCTCTTTGTCACCAGAAACGGGCGCTCCTGCGCCCGTTTCTGGCTCATGACCTGTCCCCGCCGCGAATCCGCGCGGTTGGCCAACTGGAACCAACGATAGCCCGCCTGAAAAAATGGGTTGAAACCAGGAGATCCAAGGGATTTCACAAGGAAAACTATGGAAAAACATGGGGAATTTTGAAAATACCTGGATACTGGGAATGAACTTTTTAAGTATTGTCTCATGACCAAAAAACCATTGGTAATGGGAATGACATGGGTATTGAGAAATACATTGAGAAATTGGTACTAAAATAGTAGTTCTCAATTACCATTTCTCAATGTATGGAAGAAAATCCAATCCATATAATGGAAATAGTATCGAGCTTCACCAAGCATAATGGGAATGATGAAGCAAATTGATGAAAAATGAGACAAATCAAGGTTGCCTAATTTTTGATGCTTCAAACCAATTCAAAGCCAATTTGTCTGTTGACAGGAATGGATTGGTTGACACGGTAGTTCTGGCACTCGCCATAGGGTGAAAACTGTACCCATGTCTGTGCAGCAAATAGGGAATCTACAACAATTGCTGGTTCAAAGCCCTCTTTTCGTCATTGTCAATGGTTGGTTTACTGGATTTATTCCACAGGAAATCAAGGTTTCCCCTGAAATGTGAAAGTGTTCTGCATTTTTCCTCTTCAACCACAACTGCGGAAAACCATCCAAAACCAAAGGACATTATCATGATGAGTCTGGGATTTGAAAGGATATTGTGTTTATCTTTTTGTCATTTTGCAGGTCATAGGATGTACTCTTTAGACTGACAATTTACTTTGGGGTTTCAAAGGGCTTGGTCCATAGCCACATCGCTTTTGGGGCCTCAGGTGGGGTTGCAGGATGTTCCTGAAGTTCCACGTAGCAATTTCTCACCAACGGCCTAAAATGTTCTTTACACTGTACACTTAGTGTATCTAATATACCCTGCCCTGGGGTAGACAAACATCAATTGTGGGAAACCCATGGCTACGAAAGCGATCTACGAAAGTGCTTCGTCTTCCGCATCTAGTTGAGTTTATAGATGTTGATAGGGTAATGGATTGATAACGTGCGGCAGCCATGAATTGAGCGACTGCCTCTTTGAAAGGCTTTTCAGCTTCTTTGTCCAACAGCATCTTGCCATCCTGGAAGAGCCAACAGTAGCAAGATGTGGGACGATGATGAGGATGGGCTGGTGTCATCTGGCGGTTTTTACATATCCATGTAACCCACTACCACGGGATGACAAGTGTTTGTAGCAGTAACAACGAAGGATATATAGAATCGATAGTGTCAGTGATAACATGTGATAACTATCCAACAACATCGCTTCCATTGCCCAGCAACCTGGCTCTCCGTATCATACTACCCTGGCTAATCAAACATGGCAATGGAAACTCCCTGTAAGTGGAGGTTTATAGCTGTGATAATCGTCTACAAATGTGGGATTTTCCAGCAAGCCACGTTTGAGGACACCGGAGGGTATCCACATCATTAACCTTTTCCATCACCAGAATTTCCAACAATTTTCTACAGCATTGGTTTTTTCATAGTTTGCAATTTATTTTACCATATCCCTTTCCATGTCGCTCATGTCGCTCCTGTGGTGTGTACCAAAGGGTAATTCGGATGGAGCCTCAGGTTGGGGGACACCGGTTGGAGCTATGTCGACGTTGGAAATCAACCACTTGGTTCACTTTAGAACATATTGAATCCCAGCAAAATCAAGCAAACAAATGCTATACAAGTTGTGATTAGTGATTGTTCTGGATATGGTCCATATGCTTCTGATTCAAGACCCGGTCCTTGTGAACATCCTAAGAACGAATAGTGCCATAGTGCTGAAATGTCCACCCATTGCTCTTATTCAGGATCATGCTCTTAATGTAATCTTAATGTCTCGACGTGGGGAAGTGTTTGCGGGGTTAAGGGATGTTAAAAGTATATAGCCTATATAGCCCATCCAATGTCAATCCCAGAAAAGGCTCGGAAGAACCGATAAACCAAACCGATTGCCCTTCGAACTTCCGCCGCAAAGAGAAGGTCTTTCTCGACATGATGAATGAGATCATGGTGCTACATGGTGCTACAACTGGCTAGTGGTCGAGATGTGATCCATCATAAACAATCTGTCTTTTTCTCGCTCTCCGAGACATGTAGTGAAATATCTTGAGATCTTAGTGATGGTTCCAATATTGTGGAATATTGTTTATAAACGATAGTCTTTTTATCATTTCTACCTCATCAATCCGCCATCAGAGTGCAGCCTTCAAAAATCGTTTTTCGGATGCTGTTGGGAACCCCCCAGACTTCGGTGTTTTCCATCACTCCTTTGACTCCTTTGACTCCGAAAGGATCCATTTTTGGTCCACCCACTGATGGGCATCATCTGAAAGAGTTGGAGTCGGAGCGCTTCCAAAACACCTCCACAGGGAATCCCCACACTCATCCATTCCCACATGGGCTTGTTCAAAAATTGATCATACGGATTAATACGGTAGAGATACCAAACAAAAAAACCGATGGTTACTACCATTTGATGATCATTTTTCCATATATTCCCTATTGAAAGTGCCATTTGGGGCTGAAGAAATCAGGCAAAACAACTTGTTCCTCGCCGCGAGCCGCGCGACCTTTTTTCAGCCACAACACCACGCCAACGCTTGCCAGCGACGATTGCGGCGTCGCCACCGCTCGCGGATCTTCTCCATGAATTGGGACATGTCCTGGTCAGGGCAGTCCCAAGTGCGGAGCTGAAAAAATCTGAGAAAGTGCTGATCTACAAGATTTGAAGATCTTGTCTTGTAGAATCTTGTAGATTTGGAAGTTTCGATCTTCACCCCTCAAAACTCCCCCAAAAAGAACATTCAAAACATGCCTCGGGCAGCTCCAAACTGCTTGGCACGTGTTGAAGAATGGCAGCTTCCTTGGTCAATGGATCCATGCCACAGCCCAAAACCGGCATAAAAATTCTGGACCGTGGTTTCTCACATTTCCTTGAGCCCCTACATTGAGAATCCTTGCAAGTTGTGGCATCGCATGTTGAAAACCGGTTTATTGGAACAAAAATAGATTTTTCTTTGGCTTTCGATTCGGTTGTCCCATCTTTTGCTATCACTCTGCTTCAGCACGCCGGATTGCCAACATCGGCCGCATGCTATTGGGGCTGTGGGAACATCAATCTCAGTTTCTAAAATTGGGGGAGGTTCATCCTGAAGTGCAAAGGATCACCATGGATCACCACATCCGTACCACAAGGGGACACGTTTTAGTCAGTTTTAGCCATGGTTATCACACTGGCTCCGGCTATAGCTGAGGTCGCACAGGTCGATGCTAGCAGTGGAGTATTGAGCTGGGTCGAAAACGTCAATGGGCGAAGTTCCATGCGACCGCCGGTCAACGTCAACTCAGCCTTGGGAATTGAACCTGCAATCAGCCCAAAAATCTTAGGAGTGGAACTGCAGGGTGCTCGCCGGCGGAGTAACACAGCTGCAGAGGACAAAAGGCTTCAGACTTCCTTGCAACTCATTCGGAAAAGCACTTATTTGCCAGTAGAGTGGAATGTGAAGACAAAGGTTATCACTGGTGCTATCATGGGTAAGGTAACATGGGGTTGGATGTTTCGTCGACCGGCTCATATGCTGCAGATTATCCAAAATGCCTTGAACAGAGCTAGAGGGGAACTCACAATTTCCGTGCCGCTTCGCGGTTGGCCCGACGGGGCAACCAACCTTGTTTGTCGTCTAATAAGGGTTGGACAGTATGACTGGTCCTTGGTCCAGCCGACCTGGGAAATGAGGAGCTGGGCCAAATCACTTTGCGAAATGTGCCCGTGACCAGGCTGCAGATCGTGTGCAGCTCCGCGAATCTTTCAGGCGATTTCACTTCACCAAATTTCTTAATTTTCGGAGGCGTGAAGCCGAGTTTTGTGCTGAACAGGGTATAACTTACGAAAGAGTTTGTGCAAAAGCCCGCAAGTTGTGTACCACCCGTCAACGCTTTCATATCTTGGCCGGTGCAACTGTCAGATCTGTCAGTACTGCTTGTTTCAGTCGTATGCTTGAGACTGATATGCCAGTGTGTCCTTTCTGCGACTCCGGCGCCGTACCGACGGTGCTTCATGTTGCTTGGGATTTGCTGAACTGGCTTGTTCTAGTGCGCGGTTCATGCACCACAACCATGGCCGCTAAGGTCTTGTGAAAAGGGTAGCACTAAGGTGGGGATGTCGCCGCGATTAAGGCCATCACTCCAAGGAAGATTGATGATGATGACTTACATTGAGAATCAAATCCAGTTTGCCAATGGGAGTATGGATGGTCGACCAGACTTCAAAGAGTTGACTTCTAGTGCCATCTGCTTCGTTTCGCAAGAAGACATGACGATTTGAATGCTGGAAAAGATAGCACTCCTATTAGGCTTCTCCATGTGAATGAAAAACGCCTTGTTATTCCATTCCCAACAGCGAAAACACGACCGATATCGTCATTTGACACCCCAAAACATGTTGAGATTTCATGTCAAAGAACACTACCCAAGAACATTCATCAAAAGAAACTGTGGCACTAGTTTCATTGTTGTCAAGGCATCAAGTTACATTTATTTGTTTTGTTGCTTTGATATATATGTTTTTGTGTTATGGAACCAGTTTTTCATTAGTTTGTTCAGTTAGAATCAGTTAGAACTTCATCTCTGCTGGTTGTATGATATACAGAAATTGTGAATGAATTAATGCCCATTATGGTGAGTGAAGTGATATTCAAGTATTCACACCCTGCATTTTAGCAGCAACAAGAGCTGCCAGGTGAAATCCAGATTCCATCCCAGTGTCATGGTGAACCATCGGTGAACCCAATGAAATCCAGTTTGTGAACATGTTTCTTTGCAAATTTCCATGGTTTCCCTTTTTTGCCATAGATTTCCATAGATTTTGCCATAGATTTCCAATAGATTTCCATAGATTTTGCCATAGATTTCCACCATATTTTCCGATTTTTTATGCAGCACCGAGGTGCCAAACTTCGCAGCTCCGGCACCAGAGGCGCCATGTCCAGGGCTAAACGCCTCGGAAGTTTTGGTCCTAGTTTTGCTGGGAAAATCTGGAGGGAAACCCAGAGAAATCATACAAAACCACTGAGAGAAACTGGTGGGAAATCATGGTGATGTATCCTCCTAACTCCAGAATATAACTCCCCCATGTTTGTTCGATACTTTTTCAGGTGCTTTCCGCATGAAATCACCTTCTTTTTTTCACACGACAAATGCTGCGACGTCCCAGGCGCTGCCGCGAACTGCGCAGCATTGGGACTTGAAGCGCCTCCAGTGGCAAGGACCTGAATGACCAGCAAGGGATGGTAAAATGCTGCTTGAATGTGGAACAGAATGGTGAAGCATCAATCATTTTGAGATGCTACAATTTATATAAGATGGTTTAATGTGCTTTAATGTGGTTTAACTCCATCGAATGGTGATTTAGTCATAACTGGTGATTTGACAATCCATGATATCAGTCCATCAACGTGGAATTTGTACCAAACAATAGATGATTTTATACGTCAAACATCATATGGAAGGTTACCAGCAAGAATTATACATCAACAATTAGGATTTATTCGTCAAATTATGACCAGGAATGTGATTGGATTTGGTGTATGTACCATCGATTTGCAGTTTCAAATGTTTCAATGGAAACAAACTTTGACAGAATCCACCAGACGTGGTGACATCTTCATACAAACCCAGTCAATCATGAAACATGGTGCAATCCTTGGTGTTTGGGTTATGATCAACCAGGAGATGTTGGGGTTACACCTTGTTCTGGACAAAGAGACTCCATATCCCATTAATGCGAACCATGGTGCTGGTATATTTACCTACATACCTGGGTGATTTTGTTCGGGCAGTTGTTGGTAAATATACCAGCACCATGGAGCATATGGGTATGAAGATTATAAAGATCAATAAGGCACGGAAACAGAACCCAAGATCTGAAAACCACACAGCAAAATCAATGACTGCCAATGACTGGCTGGTTGTCACAGCAACAAAACCCTCAGGGAGCCTCATCCCGCATTAGTATCTGAAACCGCTAGCCCCTGAATCCAACAAAGATTGAAGATTAACACCTCTGTGGTAAACTAAACCATGAACCATCCTCAAGTCTACCAGAAATGGGCTGTGTGAACATGTATGAACCATCCCCAAATTGCAAGTTTCTGGTTGGATTTACAGGAAACCCTGTAACGCTCAAACTGGCGCCCAGTGGCGTATACCTTGCCCATGTCCCCAAAATCTCCTGACTCGGCAGCGCAGTTTGGCAGACCCGAAAAACTGTCCAAGAACGCCCATGATATCCCATGGCCCATTGAATTCCCATTTTATCCCAGGTCCTTTTGAGACCTTAAATCATGCTTCCCAGGTCCTATTTAGACATGTGTTTAAAACATTTCAAAACAACATATGATGACAATAGGACATATTATTGTTGCAGTGTTAAACAAAAATATACATTTCTTTGAGATTATGAAACAGTTGATCGAATTACCCATGATATACCCATCATCTCACAATTTCAGATGGTTAAAACATGTCAAATCCCAATGTTCGTTGGCTAAATCCATAAACATCCTCAGAACCTTCGTTAAATCCCAATCTTTGGTGGATGATAAAACCCTATCAAAACTACGTTCCTAGACTCTCCAAATACCCCAAACAAATGATAAAAGTACTATAAAACAATCATCGTGTTAAAACATCGTGTTTTTATGTGTTTTTGGGGTATTCAAACACCATTTGTTTGGGCTAAAAGTACCAGCAAATCACAGGGTTAAACCACCATTTTTTGGGTGAACATCTTGGGTCAACATCGGTCCTGCCGCAGCGCGAGGTCGTCGAGGTCGCTCACTTTGGCCACCTCCTCGGGCAGCGGCGTTATGGACGCCTAAGTTGGCCGGATGGGGATCGTGGCGAGTTACAACCAACATGTCTAGTGACGTGATGAATGTCAACCCTGGATTAATAAAGCCCTAGGTTGTTTAATTGGGGAGATACCATTTAAGTATATTTAAGTATCATATTGTGACTATTTGGAGGGTACCCCCACAATTTTCATTAACCATGGTTATCCAGAAGCCTGTGACCTTGCTATACCTTGCTATACCTTGCTGTGATCCGACTTGATCAGTGCCCTTGGCTTCGGTCAGTCTGAGCTTCAAACGAAGTCCCTCCGTTCCGATGTCCTGAAACTGTGCGGTGTGTTCAACCCGTCCCGTCCGAAAAATGGAACCGGCTGGTTGTTGGTTAGATATGGATATTATCGGATATATCAACAGAAATTTGATGGTTTTTTTAAGCCCAAAAAGATTCAACATCTTCCGGCAAGCAAAGGTAAATGGGTAAATCCAAACCACCTCAAAAGCAATCAAGTATCAATAGATTTTGGCTTGCATGAGAAGTGGATTAGTGACAATCTCTGCAAATCATTTACCATGAAGGATTGCATCACCAAAAGTGGGTCAGTGACGATCACCCTCAACCAAAAACCAGCAAAATAGTTGAATTTGGGTCTGTACAAGCTACATACAGTCCGAAATATCGAAGAATTAGGCATTGAACAAATCATCATGAATCCATTCACTTCAAAAATGATGGGTGATTTTGTACATCCCAGGATTTAATAAGTATTGATTTTCCATGAAAGCAACGTGATAGTCCACTGGGTTCTGCCCTGCCTCGAGATGGGCCAGGCACGGCGGAAATGTTGCAGAGACCTGAAAGGCAAGCATCTCGTTGGACAAGTGTGCTGCAATGTTTGTAAAAAACAAAACATAGTATCCTGATGTATCCTGTGAATTTTGCCAATCTTGTTGTCATTCTCATGGTAATTTTGTTAGCACAATGGTACTAGTTTTAGTTATTAGATGTCATTGTGGTTAATATTGTTGCTATTTTCAGCATCATTTTCACTATCCCGTATTGTTACCATTGACGTGTGTGTTATCTCCTATTATCTAAGTATAAATGGATTATTATCCCTAAATTTCATTGAGGATGCTGCAGTATGCTACATATTCCGTATGACAATTGGGGTACAGTAATTGGTCAGGGGCCAGTGAGGTTGCTTACATTTGCCCGGGGATATTTCAGTATGTACAGATCTCTTATGATATTGGAAGGGGCAACAAATCTGATACTTAACAATATAGAAGCAGTCTTACAACCAATCTTTCTCAGACCATGTTGCTGTTGGTTTTAGATGTTCGACTGGGCTTCAGGGTAGACGTCGGAACATCATCTGGCCCCATGGATCATCTGAAGAATCTCGCTATTGAGCCAGTGAGAACAAGGATATGGAGAGTTTGTACTCCACTTGCATGAGTTTTCTACCGATTCCTATCCACGTCTCTGGATCAATTCCGCATTTTTCGTAATCAAAACCATGGACACCAGGTGAAGAGTGTCCAAAGTGGACACCTCTGAATCCTTTTGAAGATTGTTGTAAAATGTTATAAAAATTGTCGACACATTATGAAAATTTCATGGTTAAGTCAAGTTGTTTTTAAACATGTTTCATGTCGTTTTAAACAAATGGCTGGTGAAAAACACCTTAAAATTGGTAGTGTTACATAATCCTAAAATCTCCATTTGGGCGATTAAGCCAAGTTGAAGCCATGTTTTTAAAAAACATGTTTGTTGGCAAAATTCCACTTTTGGGGGCTAAGTTGAATCATCCTAAGATCTCCATTTCGTGCTAATTTAAATCATCCTTAAACCATCCTAAGTTCATGCTAGAATCCCCCTCTTGGTTGGTTAAATCCCACTTTTTGGGTGGCAAAGTTCACCCAAAGACCTCCATTTATAGGGGATTTATGACTGCCATGTTTGAGTGCCAGGTAAATCCCACCTTTTGTGGCCTGGTGACTACCAACCAAGATCTCCAGGATCCCGTCATCGCCGCGCGACAAAAGGTGGAACTGCCCCCCGATGTCGGCGCTCCAACCCACGCCGAAGTGCACGGGCCAGGCGTAGTCGGGGACTTTCCTCGAAAAGCAACGGAGTTTCCGGGAGTTGCGAAAACCCAACGGCGAGCAGGTTGGTTTTCAGTCTCAAAATGGAAGGGATTTCATGGGGTTTCACAATGGATGTATAGAGATAGTTATTTCCACCAAATGGATTTATAGAAGAAAAAGAATCGAAATAACTATCCACAATATCATGGATGATTTATACAGCATCATGGATGATACAGCAACAACCTGAGATTTCACTGAACAACTGGGGATTTTGATGGCAAACTTGTTTTTTACTTAAATGTGTGTAGATCTAGGTATGTTGATTGGGGATGATTGGGGATTTGATCGTGATGTATCCAATGAAACTGGGATAAAATATGATAAAATGGTTGGATTTAAGATGGTTTAACTACAAAAAAAGAGGATTTTTGCTGGTTTTAGCATTAAATAAGCATCGGAAATGGTCGGTTGAACTGATTTTACCATCAAAACATAGAGATTTAACCCATGAATAATGGATATCATGATAATTTTGAACAACAAAAATTATGGGCTACAATATAATATCATTTTATCGAGATATATTGGGGAAATTATGGGGACTAAATCAGTCTACGGGAAATATCACGGGATATCAATCTAACATAATCTAACCATATCTAACCCAACTAAATCTATGCGAGTGTCGGGTTGCTCATATATTGGCTACTGGAAGCACACGTGGCTGATGGCGAACCACAATTGTGCCAAAGGTATCCAAAGGTGGGAACGTACAGCACGACATTGGAATTTATGTCACCAACAAATTTGGACAAATATACTGTATTTGACAAACAAACATACAGAAAATGCATGAACATGCTGCATACATCACTAATCAATACTAATCAAATCGACAGGGGAAAGACACTTTTTGTTAAACCTTGCCCCTTGTTCCAGGGCTGGGAACAAGGGGCAATGTGAGGCCAAAAATGCCAAGCGGCGGCTCAGGCTAGTATTGACTTGAGTCCGTCCCTCATCTAGCTGTAGCTACTGTAGCTTCAACTCAAGACTCGGGTCAATTTGATACATCATTTATTAACTTATTATGGAAAAATGGTAAATGGAAATGACTTGCAATATCTTGCAATAGTCATATCCGGTAATTATACACATTGCACACGTCTTTCAATACACCAATTCTTGCGAGCGTCCATTCGAAATGTTGCAATGCTCCAGCCTGGCCGCCAGGGAGGCAGTGGCCGACAGCAAAATCCGCTATTTTATGGAAATGATATGAAATGATCATATAATGAATTAGCAAAATATCATACAAACATAGAAGACAGCAAAATAGCATACACATTCTTCTGCTATGTTATATGACCTTATATGTATGATTGTTTGTATACTAATCATTGATATAGTGGTACTCATATACTGTATACTTTAGATACATCATATACTATCATATATTATAAATCCCAATACAAGTCATTTTTTTTTGGGTTATATACATCACTTTCAAGTTTCTACATCACCAAATCCTACACCAAAATGATGTCATTGGCAATTGGTTTAATTTCTACTCCATGCAATGACACCATGGCTTTACAACATTTTAGAAGCAACACTTTACATCACATATTCATTAAATTCATTTGGACAGGGGGCTCCATTTTACAAGCGGCATCAAACGCTATTGTTGCTTCTGGTCGTTCAAAACGATCCCACCTTTGTGAAGCCCAAGATCTTCAAGTCGGTGTCCAAAACGAGGCCCACGCGACTTCCCTCCTGGAAAAACGGCCGAGACGAGACTCCATCCGACAGAGGCGATGCTGGGGATTTACCACAGAAAATAGGGAATATTTACCAAGCACTCCCAATAATATGGTGGTAAATAGTATGTAATAGTGCTTAAAATTACACCATATTACATACTATTATTGTGTGTAATATGGTGTAATAGTATGTAATAGTGCTTAAAAGTAAGGGAGACACAGCTAAAATCTACAGATGGTCTGCTTGAAGATGAAGCAAAGCTCTTGTTCGCGAAAACAGACGAGATAAATACAACATCAGAGTCTCCACAGAATGGGTTCAATACACTTTGTATGAATTATTGATTGTGCACCCATCAAGATAATGATGATTATTAATACATTTACAAGATGATCATCCCTAACAATGAATCACCGCAACAAAAATGGTCTCTCGAAACTTCCAAATCTGTCAGCCATAGGATCTCTTGCCTTATCTGTGGCGTTAAAACTATCTCATTTCCACCATGGCTAAATCATCTATTTATGGACAAATCATCTAGATCTCCACTATTCAGCAGTTAATCCACATATTTCTGATGCTTATATTCATCCCGATTTTGTTTGGAATGACTTTAGTTCACCCATGTTCACCCTATATCAGTGCCCATGTTCTCAAAAACCATGCTCATTCTTCTTGCTGATTAGGTTATATAGGTTAGCAGCACATATCCCCATCAAAAGCAAGAACTTCAAGTGAGAAACCTCAGCTTCTTCGGCCATGTTGGCCACGTTGCTAATGTCAATCACCCATCACCAATTGGTCAGTGAAAAATCACCGGTAATACCAATACTATACCCATTGGTATACCAATTCAGTATAGTTCAGTATAAGGTATACTAATGTATACTATACTATCACCACCCACACTATACCTATACTAGATCACCATTGGAATAGAAAAAAACTGTCAATTCTCCTCGTGCCAGCTGGGTAGGATGCCATTCTCCACGGCCGCGGCTCCGCCCAGCCAACCCTCCGCGCTCCCACCTGACATGTCTACCGATCATCTTCAAACTATTGGGCTAATAGATGATAATAGAATATAATAGTATTACTACAATTTACTACATAGTTTATATAATTATATAGATTGGATTGACCTGTCAAAAATGTCTTTGTACCTTAAACTAGATGAGTTAATTCATTGGGTTAAAATTGGGCTCTATATACAATATTTAGCTATTATGAACTTTAACCAACAGAACATAGAAAGAATGCATGAGGAAAGTTGTAAAGTCAGAGTAATCAAAACATCAATTTCTGGTGATGCTGGAGTAGAATCTCAATTTCTGGAGCAAGATCCATTCGCCAACCAGTCCACCGTCGCCGGCGCCTGCATCTTTTCCGATGAAGACATCACCGTCGCCGGCTTCCCACCAAATCCCTGAGGCACAGCGTTCAGACCTGGGGCTTGCTATGGCGACCGGCAAAGTGGTGCCCCCAAAGGATGTGTTTGTTGGTTTTATCACTGGGAAAATTGTTGGGTTGATGGTGATGAAGTATAAAATTATGGTTAGGTGGGGTTATAACCTTTACTTGTGTTTCTTGATTTATATTACCCCATGAAAGTAATGGATATATCTACCATAGACACAACCCATAGTTGAACTAGCAGCTAGTTAGTTGCTTCAACCAGATTAGGTACTGAACTGGGGCACCAACTTGTTAGGTTGGGATGGGCAGACCACTTTAACCCCTGTGGGGATAGGAAGGGCTACAGGGGGATGCAAACCTGTGTGACCAACTGAAGCCAAACAATCTCATCGTCCGACTTTTTCTAGGAAGATTCAGCTGAAAAGGATTTTGTCAGAAAGGCACCACATTTATATCTGGTTTCTGGTTTCAACCCCTCTGAAAAATATGCTCGTCAGTTGGGATGATTATTCCCAATATATGGAAAGTCATAGAAGTCATGTTTCCAAACCACCAACCAGATCAATACAGTTTTGTTTCTTCAGATATACAGTAAACTGTTTCTTCTAGCATCTGCCAACCAATGGATTAGTTCTTCCACAGCAAGCGGCAGATCGCTCTTGTCCAGCACCAAGCCCAGATCCGCCCGGCAGAAGCCGTCCAACTGCACCGGGGCAGATAAGGACCTGGGTGCACTGGGGACGGACCTGGGGACCACCAGTGGAGCACCAGGGCCGGGTGGAAACCTGGTAGTACCACGGGAGGGAAAACTCACGATTTCCAGTGGGGGATCTGGGGAATTAACTGGATGTAATGGATGATTAGATGTGAAGAAATTGAGTGGGATGACCAAAACCGGGAGGTGGTGACTAAGAATGTAGTCTGAATCATTAGACAACAGAATCATGAACATAGAAACAAAAAGAATATAAAAGAATCATGAGATGGTGGGAAGACAAACAGGAAAACAAGCAGGTTTTTTGGGTAGCTGGGACCTCTACCAATTAGTTGCATTCCTTGCCATTTTTACCCACGTTAGCGCCCACCATGGTCAAGGCCACAAGTCTTAGTACGCACGCATGATGGCAAGACCAATGATGGAAGTTCTAGGAGTGACATCTAACATGAAGTCAGGAGTGTTTGCACTGGAAGTTTATACCAAACAAAACACATCGGACTGAACCACGATGATTCTTGTGCATGAAAAATCAAGGGGTTCTCCACTTGTCGAAAATCTGGGGTTCCCCATGTCTCAATTCCACATCCTCCTGGTGCTTCCCAGCCAAAGAACACTTCCACAGTCCAAACTCCTGGCGGCTTTCGATCATGTTGGACTGTTGCAGTATGCAGTTCATAGTTTTAGATCCCAGAAATCTCCCAAATCAATCCAAATCATCCCATGATGTCAGCATCTTTCAGCATATTTTCCCATTTTTGCCTACATGTTCCCCATTTTTTCCCATTCAATGCGAACATTAATACCCTCTGGGAATTTAACATAGCCATGGAAAGGTCCACCATTTTTAAGAACGGTAAACCATCTATTTCTATGGGCCATCTATACCATGGCGTCCCTAGCATCCCATGGCTCCTGTGTCTGCGTGGATGCTGGGGCCGCAGGTGGCAATGCCGGCATCTCCTCTGGGGCGCCACAGCATGGCGCAGCTCTTGGAATTGGTGATGATGGGCGGTCCATGGTGCCAAAATATGCCAAAATATAGGAAAACCATAGGAAAATGGTGGTTTAATGGGATTTAATGGGATATATCCTCTGGTAATTTAACATAGCTATTGAAAATGGCCATTTATAGTGCATTTACCCATTGAACATGGTGATTTTCCATAGTTATGTAAACGTTTACCAAAGGGTAAACCTCCTGATATTTGATGTAGATCTGGTTGGTGGTATACCCACCCCTCTGAAAAATATGCGAAAGTCAGTTGGGGTTACTATTTCCATTTTTTTGGGGAAAAAAAAACATGTTCCAAACCACCAACCAGAGATTGATATGTATTTAACATCCGAACACATAGCAAGAACTCTTGGGGATATTATAGTCATATGTTTTGGCTACCCATCTTTCACATCCTCCACCGTTCGCCATGGCTCCGCTATTGTACAAAAACACCGACTGCGAGTGCAGCCGCAGCCCGAAGTGCAGGCTCCGCTGCTGGTTGCGCACCACCGACATGGCGTGCCAGTCCGAAAAGACGCAGGGCAACGGGTCGAGAATGAAGTTGCCAATGAGCCTGTGCAAGATGATGGGGTTTGTCAGCCACCTATATATACATACAGGGTGGTGCCAGGAATGTTTAACTAAGTTGCTGCAAATGAGTAGGTTGAGTGTTGGGTTGATTTCATGGATATATCTTTAGTTAGATTTGTAGATCAACCTACAACTGGGGGGGCACCACATTGTAGGTCAGTTGGTTTATAAACCCATCAAACCGTAGTTTTTCCAGCCTACCTGTCACAGGGGACCACGTCTTGGTGCGGCGTCATGTCGGGGATTTAGTAAATTTAAATATAACATAATATAACCACAAAATGGGAAGCTAGAAAGACATCTTAGTTGTGAATGATGGATGTTTTATGATGTTTGAAGGCGAGGGTTTTTTATTTCTGTGCAAAGACAGAATGTATTTCTGGCAATTTTCTGGCAAGATTCAGCTTTCCAGTACCCCCAACCTTTCTATCGAATTCTTGGATCTCAGCCCCAGCACAGTTCGCCCTGATGCCACAAGCGGCACCACTGGGCACCTGAAAATGGCGCGCGGTAGCGCAGCCCACGGCGATGTAGACTTTGGATGACTGGCAGCCAGCAGGCTGCAGATTTCGACCTGATGAGGTCATGCACGGCTTGAGTCATGCTACACTGCTTGCTGGAAAATCCATAGATGACTTTCCCACTAAACCTCCATTTATGGAGTATACCCATTGTGAAGATTCATGAGTCATGGATATTCATGGTACCCAGCATCCTCAACCAGCAAAATAAACAAAATTAAATTGCCCCATACTCCCAATCAGCTGATCGTTTCGGATTGCGGAATACATTTCCGCATCAAATTCCAGAAAACCACAATTATGACACCTCATCAATCTCCAAACTGGTGGGGAAGTGGGGCTAAAGTGGTGCATAGTGGTGCTAAAGTGTTTGTCAATTGTTAGGACTCAACTTATTTTACCCTCTGGTAAACGTTTACATAACTATGGAAAATCACCATGCTATCAATGGGTAAATCCACTATTTCTATGGTCAGTTTATAGTTGATTTTCCCATTAAGAATGGTGATTTTCCACTATAAATGGTGATTTTCCCATTAAAAATGATGATTTTCCACTATAAAATTGATGTTAAATTACCAGAGGGTAGATGTCAATGTCCACGTCCGGGAACCACCAACCCTCCCACTGGGATTCCGACCACGCTCTGCTCCAAGAACTTCTGTCTGACCCTTGGGGAATGAAAAAAAAACCATGGGTCAGGGGTGGTTGAAATGAGAAAAAAAACATATACTTCAAGAATGCCATTGCTTAGTAATAATCTTAATCTGCTATACCCTCTGGTAATTTAACATAGCTATAAAAAACATGGTCATTTACGGTTTTTCTCTACATAGTAAACATGGCGATATTCCATATGTTCTGGGTAAACTATAATATGTCACTAACCTGAATTAAGGCTAGTTGGGGATGATTCCCCTATACATTCACCATGATTCCAGTGAGGGAGAACAGTGAGGTCGTTATAATTTACCCAGATATGTTAGTTTACCAAAGGATCAAAGCCTGCTGCAACCAGCCCGAAGCCGAGCATCCACATGGCTCCTTTCAATTGCCATGACCCGGTGGCGGTTTCGATGACACGGTGCGGTGGCTGTTTTTTGGTGGCTGTGGTAGCTGATTTCTAAAAGGACCTGAACCAAAAGGACATTGGGATTGACCAGGAATGATAGGAATGAGGAGTAGCGAACGGTATTCTCAATTTTTTTTCGGACCATTTAATATCATTTAATGGTGAACGTGATGATCAGCAACCACATTGGAATCTTTTGGACAAATCCATTCTTCAACATTGGTTTACTGGCTCGAGCCGGCGGCTGGAGTAACATGATCTTGCTGGCCCAAAATAAATTAATCAGTTAGCTAGCTATCGAAAATGGATGGAAATGATGGATTTCCATAGCAAACTATTAGTTTACTGGAGAGTATATCACCATTACCATCCATTAGCCCTGCTCTTGCTCTCAGCTCTCCCCCTTTGGGCTGCGGTCGACATCAGCAAACTGGATGTGACCATGTTTAGACATACTGCGGTAGGTTCCATGTCCACTACTATTGTCATTCTGATAAATGCGTTGAATCCAAATACGTGGTCCTATCCTTCTTTGTTTATTTATTTTATTTGGAATTCAGTACTTCCATAGTTGTTTGTTGTCTACAACAAAATCATCAGATTAAAACCATTCAACAACAGAATAACGGGTTTCTCCCTCCTGAGAGATATCAGTGGGATTGTCATCATATATCGTCATCATCGCAGGTATGGAAAATCACAGCAACACGTTGGAAACCAAAGGTCTCTGAACCAAGTGCTATGGGTTTCATCTCCGTCATCTCCTCCCCGCACCTGGGATCAAACAGTGCCAAGGTCGGTGAATCTGTCACGAGAGCGACGGGTGGACACCAGCTATGGCCATGTGAATCTATTTCCACCATGGATCATTTTTCTAAATGAAGGAGAAAAACAACACATGTTTTATTCATGTTTATTCATTGTCAATCTAATAAATGGTATTAAAACATATTAAAACATGTGTTGCTCCTTTTGCCAAATTAAATTATCATTAACCATCATTAACCATATATTAACCAGATATTAACTAACCATCTATAAACCACTGATGTTTGAAAATGGTGTGAATTGGAAAAACCCAAAAGCCATATCTTGACCCTCACACCTCCAGACTTCATCAACTGGAGTCAGAGTCAGTCCAAGCTCACAGATGTCTATAGACGTTGGAGAACGGTGCGATTCCCCCCCAAAAACCTTGGGAAATGGTTGGGAAATCAACATCCTTCAACCTTTTCTCAACCTTTTCCCAACCCTTTCCCAACGTGGAGATCTCATGAGAAACCAAGCGCCTCTTTGAAACTCAGGTGGCTGATGATACAATGACCTTTCCAACTCAGGCGCCACCCGTGGTTCTGAGGGCGGGAACGGGGTATGGAGTTCATTCAGAGTAGTCATAAAAGTCATACATTTCCTTCAATAAACCAGATCCAATGACCCTTTTGGTGACTCAATGACCTACAATTAAGATCAATTAAGCCAACTATGATCATCAATCAACCACCATTTTATGAGTCACCAGAGTTCCTCACCAGAGTTCCTTCGCCATCTGGGCGCCCGCAACTGGCCATCAAGCCCCGTTGGAGCCATAGCACCAGGAGTCCAAAGGAGTCGTGCGGCAACTCGGCCTGAAATCATCTGGAAATCTCTGGAAAGGGAGTTGGAGTTATGGATGATCATTCAACAAAAAATATTCAAGATGGATTTAAATTGGTATGTCATGAATGACTATATTTGATATATTTGATCTTTGGGGATGTCATGGTTGAAATCACCATAATTCACCATATATTTTCCAGCTTTGTTCAGGTGACCATTTTCCGATTCACTTAAGTATCTTAAGTGATTCACAACCGTGATTCAAAGCTCCCCCTTTCTTCGCGGTTTCCGACAGGCGCCTCTGGATGCATCAGCCAAAACCACTGCAGGGGCTGACCGCTGCCCTCCCATGCCTTGCCGTCCAGTGACCACGGTGACTCAGCCACGGAACGGTCCTGTCTAACGGCGTCGAACCGTTGGTTTTTACCGGTTTAACCGATGTCAAACAAAAAAATCGTCTATAGTCATGTCTAATCTACAGAATCTAGATCTATATGCTTTGAACAAAAAATCTATCATATATGATTATCATATCTACATCTGTAGTATATAATATTTATACCATCTAAGATCTACAGAGAGACATGGATCGGAAGCATTTTTCAACGGGCCTTTTTGGCATCGTCCACCAGGTGCTGCCAGGAACAGTCCTGGGTCTCCCCGGGTGCGAAGGCCATGCGGATGGATGGATGTGGGTCCCACATCAGTGGGTTATACATGGTTAGTTAATATCTGGTTAATATATGGTTAATATATGGTTAATGATGGTTAATAATAACATCATAGTGGTTAATGATGGTTATATGGTTATAATAGTGGTTATGATACCAATAATAGTGGTTATATGATGGTTATATGATGGGATTATAACATATTATATATATATATATATCTGGTTGGTGGTGCAATGTGCCCAGCTTGAAAAATGATGGAGTTCGTCAATGGGAAGGATTATCCATCCCATTCATATTATGGAAAACACATGTTTGAAACCACCAACCAGATATAGGTTGATACAATATATATATGTGTATAATACATATCTGGGATGAATCCAGTAAATCAACAAGATTCAACATTTTTGACATGGGATGATCTCAGATGTACCTATTGATCCTATGAAAAATCCCATGAATGCTGGTTTTTGTTGAGAGGTTTGGGTTACTATACCACATACATGTGGATATGTGGATCATATCAGGCATGGTAGCCAAGGGACAGTTGTGATACCAGCTAGGATCGGGTTGTTATACTCCACACTTCAGAGATGGTAGCCAACCAACAAGGAGACTCTTCTTTCGAACCAAACATGGGAATGTTCTTAATGGAGAGGCTCTGAACTTCCAGTTTTTGTCCAGCTGCAGTCTAACATGTACCCAAAGTGTCATCGAAAACTTCCGCAAACATGCCAAAACCTGATCTATGAATCTCAATCAACGATATACTGGGCCAAACAGGGCACCTCTAAAGCCAGTGGTTTATCAACATGTTCCCCATGGACATCGTTTATTCTTGTGTCGTTATACACCAGTTTTAGACACACACACAAAGAAACAAAAACAAACACATATAAATCATATGAAGTTGCTGCAATATGTTCCAGGTCCCGTAAAATCTCCCCATAAAATTCTGTTATCCAACGTGCTGCCCCGAGTTTTAAGTTGGTTTATATATAGACCAGGCCAAAGGGAGACACATCGCCAGGCTTCTAAAGTCTTTTGCAAATCCTCAGAGACCTCACTCAAGTACCTCCCAACGGGCCCATGAGTCGTCTATTTGCTTTGGAATTGCAAGATATATAACATCATATGGGTATGGATCAATACCTATTAATACCTATTAATACCATTTTGAGTGGGATGAACATCCATTTAACAGCTATGTTGATGTGAACAAAAGGGGTACAAGGTTTTGACACACTGCCATATAACATCATATAACATATTGCCATGCTGCAACTTATAGTACTTATAGGCTGCTCAAAAAGGATCATCCACTGACCTGGCAGCAAAAATGCAGCCGCGCAAGCCGCGCGCAAAGCGGCGCACTCGGTAAAGATGCCTTTGATCTCATTTTCCGAGGCCTGAACCTCAGACGATATTAGGATCATTCCATGTTTCTCACGTGGTAAATATACGATAGGTATATTCGCTTGCAGATATGTTAGTTGAGTTGTATATGTTAGTTGTATATATTTATAAATGTTACTTATGCATGTTGGTTATATAATATATACATAGTATAGTCTCATTGAAACCATTTCTAATCAACTATTGTTACACTACCGTACCTGAACCAATCCTCTGCAAAAGTCTTGACCAGTCTGGGAGACGACTTTGCAATCACAAATTTGTTTTTCCCTAGGATTCCTGCAGTAATACTTTAACGTTTCAATGACGGTAACTACATTTAAATTCACGGATGTCTAAATCTACAGGTATTTAGACTACCGGGAAGGCTCTCCTTACCCGGCCCGGCCATTTTAAACATACGGAATCCAATCTGGTTGATGGTTTCAACCCCTCTGAAAAATATTAGTCAGTTGGGATTATTATTCCCAACATATGGAAAAATAAAAAATGTTCCAAAGCACCAACCAGCATTGAAATATACGGATGGAACTGGTGTTTCCTACTACCTCCGGGGCGTCGCGGTCTCGCCTGCCCTCCACATATTTAAGTGTCGTTACCGTATAGAATACTCCTGAGAATGGGAAATGTTCAATGTTCACTCTCATTTCCACATGTCATTTATTGACGATGTATATTTCCATGGTTGCTTGGATTCCACATCTTGCAAACATTGTTCAATATCCTCTCGAAAATTATCGCTTCCAGACCGTGATTTTCCTCTTGCACATCATTGGGTTCCTATTGATGTTCCATCTCGTCAGCAAAAAACATATTACCATCCACCCCCCAAAAAAAAGGAAGAAAACTAGTTTCCTTTAAACATAGATTATTCTCAGGGTCAAACTCTAGTTACCAGAAATGTAAATCAACATGCCCAATAGAAACATCCCTTGATTCTTGCTGCTTAAAAGTCCATTCAACACCATTCATAATAACCATATCCAGTGCCATTGAACACCATTAAACACCATTCAACACCATTCACCTCCAGCAAACACCATGAATCCACCATTAAACATATTAAACCACCATCAAAATCCACCTCCGGCCCGGGCCCAAACACCTTCTGGCAGGCCCCCGGGCTGGCACCAGCTTTGGCAACAGCGCCGTGCGCACCAGGCTCCGTGGCGGCGCTTTGGGAGGCCTCGGGGGGACGATCCGTGACGGCCGTCGCAGTGTCGCATAGGATCCATGTATGGTATATATGGTGTGCCATGGATCCCATCAATATATCCAAAAAATGTTAGCATTTTTCTACCAGCACCATGGATCCTATGGGTATATACAAGATTCTATAAGATATTCCAAGATATTCCAAGATAGGAAATAGATGGATATATTATGATATATAGGATTTACTATCTGAGATACCAACTAAAAAGACATAGGATTTATGAGACATAGGATATCATTGGATTGACCGACACTAGCAATGACCCCAATGTGGCGGTTTCCATAGCAGCACCGTCCAGTACCTGGGCTGAGATTCAAACGGTTGTAGTTCCTGCTGAGCAGCTCTGGCGTGAGAGATTCATGGGAGTTGTCACCTGAAAAAAAAAATCGAACGTAGGGGATACCCACCAATAACCATGACTTATACCATACCCTCTGGTTATGACTAACATAGCCATGGAAAATCACCATTTTTAATAGGTAAACCCAGGTAAACCATCTATAAATGGGTCATTTTCCATGGCTATGTTAAATAACCAGAGGGTATCTTATACCATGATATACCATGCTGATTGGGAAAATGATAATAATCCCCTGGAATTGGGGTAACCTATTGTAACCTATTTTCAGACACACCCTCTGTAAGTTACCATCCATAGCCATGTTTCAAGCAGTCCCCATAATGATGATTGATTTTTAATGTTGCCACATCCCCAGACATGTCACATGGATGTCGTTGGGGTACCCCAAAGAATTCTTCTCTATGTCTTTTCCCTATCCAAAGTGACCAATCAGTTCGGATGACCTGTGCTTGAAAAATGGGTACCCCCAAAATCAGGCAGTCTATTCTCTTTTGTTTCACATTAAAATGCTATCTTGATTCATTTTTTCTGCTATACAGTCTATCCCATTTTCAGACAAACCCTTTTAGGAAACCTCCCTGAATCCATGGTGCCATGTCAAATCTACGAAACAGGGAGCCAAAAGTTTCCTCCAAACCTGCACACTGCTCACACGTTTTGTTCGCATGTGACCGTTTTGGTCAAAGAAGCAGAGGTCCGTTGGGCCCCAGCAACGGCGCTGACGAATCTGGTCCAAAATGCTAAAACACCTCGGTGGACCTAGGATCAACATTGTCAGATTGGAGTCACTTATAGCTAGGCACTTGGAATCATTTATTTCAACAAACATATACTTAAGTGGGTATTCAACTATGGTCTTCTATGGTACTTCAACTGACTATGGCCCGATTGCTGGTTTTTGTTGCCTATCTCCACTGGGATCATCACATTTTGAATCACGATCCGCATAGTTTGGTAGTGATAACTACCTATATCGATAAACTTAACGACGTTGAGAAAAACATGATCACAGCAACTTCCATTATCATTTTTGCATCGTGCATATTCCTTGTTCATGTTTTCTCAGGTTAGCCGAAAACAATCGTAAAATAATATCTGGTTGGTGATATACCTACCCCTCTGAAAAATATGAGGTCGTCAGATATGTTGCCACCATTTCCCACCATGTCATCGACATCAGTCTTCGTTGCCGTCGGCCATACCACACTATCGCTGTGCAGTTAATTGGCATCGTCAAATGTGCACTCGTCACCGGTCACGGTGGGCGCAACACCTAAACGCGGACCACCGGTCACGGTCCACCGAAATGCCAAACGCGAAACTTACGGATTTACGTTAGCATCTTCGACGTGGTCTGAACTTGTTCTGGAACATTCTGGAACATCAAATAGATACTTTTTCATAGAAGTTTTCGGTCAACCCCGGTGGCCGCAAACTGAAACTCCAACTCCGTTTCACGCGTGGGTCCGAAAAATTCAGTGGGTCCGATGTCTCAGGAGCGGCAGCAGGAAGTAGGTCAAACCACAGACTTCGCTGTAGAAGTGGATCTCGCCCTGACCATGGATGGTTAAGACCTGGTGATGAAAACCCATCACAACCATCTAGAACAATCTATACCTATTAAAATATTAACACAATCTAAAGCCACCTATCAACTCTGCGACTTCGCGACAAGGAAGGGGTAGCGGAATTGGTGCTTTTCCATCCTTAATCCTCATCTATAATTGCTTAGAAATATTCATAGATCATAACAAGATCCTATAAATTTATAGGTTTTTAGATGATATAAATATCATCAAGATCCATTAATATACCCTAATATGCTCCATGTATGGTATATGTGCCTAGATTTGGGTGTTTTTTTGGGCAAATGTTGGTACATATTACAGCACCACGGAGCATATGGGATATTGTCCATTAACACATATATATAGTGTTTTATTGTAGTTTATATATATACACACTATATTATAGGTTATATTATAAATATTATATATATATTCTATCATTATATATATATATTATTATATTATATATATTATATCAATATAAATTATATATACATATATATTACTACTATTATTATTATTACTATTATCATTATTGCTATTTTTATTATTATTATTACTATTATTATTATTGTTATTATTGTATTTTATTGTTATTATTACTATTATTTTTATTACTATTATTATCATTACTATTATTATTATATGTATATTGTAGCATATATATCATTATTATTGTTATTATCATTATTACTATTACTATTGCTATTACTACTACTATCATTATTAATATACATATTATATAGTTATCGTTATTACTATCATTATTATTACTATCATTATTAATATTATTATATAATCTGAGTTTTTCTCAGGTTTACTCACCATCCCCATCTGGAAATCCTCAGATCCAGAAAGAACCCGAGGGCCTTCGAGGTGCGTAGGTTCTCCTCAGTTCGACCGACCACGCGACAGTTCAACATCTCCAGGACCTTCTCCTTGGCGGCTCAAGCCAGGAGGATCGCCATGGATCTGATGTCGATCCGAAAAACCGATCCGAAAACCCGGAGAAAACCCGTAGAAAACCATCGAACCCCCCATGGAAACCATGGAAATCATGGAGAATTTGATGGAAATGACTTGGCCATCCAAACTTCGTTTCCATCTTAAGTCATCAAAAAATTCATGGCAAATTTTTGGGATGTAGTCAGTGTCTGCAGTTCTTGAAGTCTTCTTGGTGAACAAAACATGTCAGTGTCAACAACTCATCCACAACATGGCAGCTGAGTCAATGGATTTCTGATGGGCTCTACACCAGCATTCCCAAGCATGTTAAACATGTGATGATAAACATATATTCAAAAGGATCCCGCAAATATGTTTATCATCATGTGATGATCATGATGGCAAAAATTCAGCCATGATAAACATGTGATAATATACATCTTCAAAATGAAACATAGCCGTTGCCCCAAAAACGACCATGACAAAGGATGCGCTCACATACCAATGATTAAAACAGGTTCCCTTACTGAAGCCTTGCACTTTCATCATGGTATACCTCTGTCCTGTTGATAAATCCCTAACAATTGAATCGGTTTGGGATGATTTGGGGCTACAATGCTACCATCAAAAAACATAGCAGATGAATGGCTAGATGATACTAGATGGCTATAAATGCTATAAAACATACTATAGAATGCTATAAAATGGGTATTTCATCTAGCCATTCATCTGATAATTTCATGGCTATAAATGCTATAAAACATGAATTAGAATGGGAACAACAAAGAGCAGATGGCGATGAATTTCATGAACTTCCGAGGAACACCCCACATGGCACCCAGCTCTTGCTGCATCGCCTTAGCTGGCGCTTGGATGATGATCCTCCATGACCCTAGCCCAATGGAGGAATGGGGTGCTGGCGTTGTTTGACATGGGACATTGACCACAGATCTTTGACCAACTATGGAAGAAATTACGCTATTTTACAATGGGATATGATTTAGCTCGATCTTCATAATTGAATATATCTCAATTGTGGAAGATGATGTGGTCAGCATGGCTTTTTAAGCGTACCCATATCTTTTTCCCTTGTAATATCTTTGCATGTACATGAAATTGGGATTAGATATGCTTGAACTCAAACAAATAGGGACACAACACAAACAAATGGTATCATATGACCAATCACCAACAACAATTTTGGGTATTGGTCAAATTTTGGAGAGATTTGCTGACTAGTGCTGCAGCCCATCCCGTTTTCGGTATCAAGTTTAGACCCAAAACCACATATTTTAGAGGTGATGAGGTTTAATATGATTTGAATAGACTCAGAACAATCAACCGGAATTATTTTGTTTGGGGGTCCAAACGATAGATCTGCTTTCTTCTCCTGAAATTTCACCGCTTCATGAAATTTGTCAAGACTGGAGTCCAAGAGACTTTCTGTTTTTCTTCCAAGTAGACCATTAGTTGGGTGTTGATCCACCATGATCATCCATGATCCACACAAAATATTATGAGAAGCAAGGCGTTCACATTCAACAACATCCCTTCAACCAAAACCGGGAAACCGATTGGATCAAGCCCAAACCGAAGAAAAAACAGGGGTGCCAAGAGACCTCAAAACATGCAGTGCTGATTTGCACACCTCAATCGCAAGCGGTGATGCTCCTGGCAATTCTTTTTTCACCACATAGCCGGGGTCAAGTAGTTGGGTTTTGCTTGCCACCACTGGACCGGAAGCATTCATGACAAGAGCAAAGCCACAAATTAAAGACAACAAGCACACTACAGACATGCACGAGGCAAAGGGCATGTCTTGGGTATCCATGATTCCATACGATTCGTCCAATGTGGAATATCGGAATACCTGAATACACTTCTTGAATTGACCATTCATTCAGAAGAGAAAACACAATATCTTTCCGAATTTCCCTTGGAAAGTGCCAAGTGTCTTCCCGGCGAAGATGTTCCTTCCAGAATGTCCAGCACGGAACAAATGCTTCCAAAGAGATGATATCTCCTGGGCGGACGTTCATCGCGCTGTGAATCACACTTTAAATCCGGAAACTTAAGAATATCAACTATTATAGCAACTAGTGATCATATAGTAATGATCAATGATTAAATAACTATTATTTATTAGTAACTATAATAGTGATCAATTATCAAATAGTAAATCCCACTGGGATATTCCTCAACTATCAACTCACCTCTAGTTACTCCCCAGAAGCCGGCCCCAAAGTCGGTTCTGCCCAGCGGCTGCATGTCTTTGCCAACGACGCCACCCACGCACTCTCCGCCTGGGGACCCGGTGAAAGGATTGTGCCGACGAACATGGTGTTTTGTTTTTGATATATCAATATCCTTGGGGATTATATGAGATATGGATAGATAAGAAAAGATATGATTACCACAATAAATTATCTATAATCCCTGGCAGGGGTGTCGCAAGCGTTGGAACTGGCTTTCCTCTGCTGTGAATGGATCTCTGATGATCTCTATACTTGTACAAACAATAAACACTCATATATGCATATCAAGAATTATGAAGACATGTAATTCATTGTAATTCTCAAGAAACAGCGTTCAGTGCGTTCATATCCCACCACATCCCAGCATCACTAAAAAAGCATCTGCACAACACAGCGACCTTTCGGAAAGTCAGATCTGGGCGTCCCTGGCAGTGAACACCCACGCGGAGTCGCACATCTTCGCCCTGTCGTCGGGACCTTGGAAACGGTCCCAAACCACCAGGAATGGTGTTTGATAATAAAGGGTTTTATCCCATGGAATATGGTTTTATCATGTTGTTTATTGGTGTTTAATAATGGTATTTATTAATAACGGTTTTATCCCATTATATGGTTTTAATGACCATTTTTAATGGGAAATCAACTATAAATGACAATTTTCGATAGTGAAATAGTCTAATTTACCCAGATTATTACTGGTTGGTGGTTGACCTACTCCTCTGAAAAATATGAAAGTCAATGGGAAGGATTATCCCATATATTATGGAAAAATAAAAAATGTTCCAAACCACCAGATATGGTTTTATCATGGTGTTTATTGGTGTTTAATAATGGTATTTATTAATAATGTTGTTTATAATGACAATAGTTATAATGGTGCAATGGGTTTATAGATACTGGTGAATATACCATCTAATTATATTAATTATAATGGTGTAATGGGTTTATAGATAATTGTGAATATACCATATAACATCATATAACTATAATCATACTGGTGTAATGGGTTTATAAATAATGGTGAATATGACATCTAATTGTAGTTATAATGGTGTAATGGGTTGATAGATAATGATATATCATATCTATAGTGGATTATAGTGATGGATATCCCACTAATTAATGCTGTTATAGTATTTTTTTGATGATCTTATAATGGTTTTATAATGCTTGTATAATGGTTACATAATGGTTGTATGATGGGTTTATGCACGACTGCGGATTTAGCAAATTATATAATCTTTACAGTAATGAATCATGGTGTTATCCGGTTAGAATAAATATAGTAATTTTGTATGAGGCCTTGATGGGATATCATATCCACTCTACAGGGGCTTGATGGAATATTATGGGATAAATCTGTGATTATACAGTATGTCGTGTATGATTTATGTTTACTTTACTTCAAATGTTGAGTGAAATCCGACTATGTTTGCTTCAAATGTTGGGTTCCGGCCCAAATCCATCAATGATGACTTGCTTAGCAGCGCCAAAAAACGCGGCCGAAGGACCAGGCTTCGGTCTTTTCGACCATCGCCAGGGCAAAACGAAGCACCGTCCTGAGAGGCTGATGGTTGGTGACTGTTGGTGACTGATGGTGATGGATTGATGTCTGGATACCATGTAAATTAATGTCAGTCAATATGTGATACGCATATCATGTTCAATCAATATGTGTTGCATTTCTTATGAACGAATACTGTTGGTTGATTAACTCTAGTGGAATCAAGTCAAAATTATCATGTTCTTGGTGAATTACAAGAAACCATCTGGTTTCAATGGTGATTTTGACTACATGGCCCGTGGTGGCTTCTATAACGACATGATCCACAGGCAGGAGAAGTTTGGAGCCAAGAACTTTGTGCATATCGCTTGGTTCATATAGTGTTTGGTTGGGATCTAGAGAATCCATAGACTCTTAAAAATATATTTCATTACCCATAGGATCCATGTATGCTATATATGGTGTGCCATGGATCCCATCAATATACCCAAAAAATGTTAGCATTTTTCTACCAGCACCAGCCGGACCCGTCATGGGTTATTGTAAAGGGGACATTGCCTCCACCATAGACGCAGCAATACCATAAGGGTTGGAGTTTTCCTCATGAGATCTGGGATTCTTGGTTAGTCAATTCCATTTTGATCTATCAAAAGCCTCCATGGTGGCTCCACTTGTGGATGAAAAATTGCCATGTTCCCCCAAAAAATGGGGCACACATATTAATGAAAATCTATGAAACTATGATACAAAGTATGGTTTTACTTTCTTGTCTGTAGATGTGAACCGGTTCTGAATCAAAACCCGGTCAACACGGTCTAGTTGGTCTAGTTTCATGTAAGACACATGGATTGAAATCCCGTGGTTATATCCCATGATATCATCATTTTCCCGCATCTTAAATCATGTTAGTCCCATGATTCATAATAGATGTCATCTTGAATGATATCATATCCCGATTTATGATGATACCATCAAAAACATAATCCCATTGTCAAATCATTTTTCACATTATATCCCACGTGAAATCCATATGGGAGTTTCCACAGGTACCCCAAAAATGGATGGTTTATAATGGAAAATCCCAATCTAAAATTATATAATGATTTAGGATGATTTAGGGCTACCACCTTGACTTAGGAAACCTTGATATTGTTAAACATTCTGATATACTATAGTCAGTATACCACATTGTTAATCAACTATAGTTCAATTTAACATATGTTCCATGTTATATTCTAGGAACCTCCATATATGTTCATATACTATAGTTATATTAATCAACTATACTATAGTTGATATATATATATATATATAAATCAATGTTATATTATAGTTGATATATATATTATAGAACATAGCTATATCATTTTAGGGAACCTCCATATGTTCCAATCCCCACTTCGAATCCGTCCGAGGTACACCACGGAATGCCGTGGCGTCAGCGGCTGCTCCGCCATGCCCGCGATGTAGGCGTCGCCCACCGTTTCGATCTGCGGCCATGGACCGGGGCCGATCCCAAACAAAACGGGGAGGTGAAAAAAACGGGGATTGAAACTGGAAAAAACCATGGTTAATGATGGTTAATGATGGTTAATGATGGAAATGATGGTTAACCACTATTAACAACTACTAACTAACCATCATTAAGCATCATTAACCATCATTAACCATGGAAACTCCACCACATAGACCCACTAACTTAGGCATGTCGCCTTGTAGACACCATATTTATCTGTGAGGTCATCAAAGATGTTGAAGAGCTCTTCAATGACTTTCACCACCTGCAACGAGCCACCGCTGAAGGGCGAAAAAACAGCTGCGGCTGCGACAAAAGGAACCACTGCAGCACATCTATATTTGGAATATGCATTGAACAAAATCCACGTATCCCCATCTTTCAGCATCTTTCCAGATATGTTTCCCATCCATCATCCATCATCATCCATCATCATCCATCATCATCCATCATCATCCATCATCATCCATCATCATCCATCATCATCCATCAATTACTGGTGTATTTTCTCTTACCTCGTTTATCCATGACTGCTATGATTTACTTGATATGATCATGTACTATCGATTCATTAGTACCTGGTATTATCCATTAATTCGTGATATCCCTATTGTTTAAGGTATCCAAATCATACCCCAGTCCCACTTCCTAAGAAGGTACGACTGGATCCATAGGGATTGGTACAGTAATTATTACCATATCCAAGAAAAACATTATCACTTACTGGTGATATCCCCATTATTACCAGTCGTTACTGGAAAAAAAAACATTACCCACAGGATCCATGGTGCTGGTATATATGCTAACATTTTTGGGGTATATTGATGGGATCCATGTTACCATATATATATATACCATACATGGATCCTATGGGTTATAATATATCATAATTGCAATGGTTATATGATGTTAAACATGATGTTAAACATGATGTTAAACATGATTAATGGTTGATCATAAGGTTACAATCATCTAACATCATTTAACCATTGTAATCATCTAACATCATCTAACATTATTAATGAACAATCATCAACTTAGTTATCTCATGTAACGACTGATGATTTCCCCAGTAACCGCGTCAGTTTCTTCGCTTCGCTTCGCCTCTTCGGGCGTCCGTTGACTGGACATCTCTGTGAAGCCCACCAGGTCGGACTGGGCCTCGGTGTGTCAGTGAACATGGTGAAATGGTGAAACTGATATGGACTTATATGGTAATATGAAAGTAAGACAGTTAACTATGGAGTGAACTATGAAGTGAAACATGGAAGGAAATTATATATATGATTCAAATGGAATGGAAATGATTTTTTTCAGCAACTCTCATATGCAGAGTTCAAGAAACATTTCTGCAAAAACACGTCACCAACCCGTGTCCTGTCGTCGATCACCGTCTGGCAAGGTGCAATGGTGGCCATGTGATATTTGTGGGACGGCAGTGGAGAGTCCTCAGCCGAAGCTTCTGCGTTTACATCATATTGTGTTAAAAACCCTGGAGATGTCAATAGTATGACTTACTGGTGCTTAGAAGGGAATGAGGGAGTGATCCATAATTAATCACTAGTAATAATCATCCCATTCCCCCAGCAACCCATCCATTCCCTACGTAAAACGCACCAGTGTGATGAGCGTGATCAGGAGACCAAGAAAAATGAGGCAAACTGAAACATGGGATTTAGAGATCTTGAAAACAAAAATGTGGAGATGATGAAGTGGACACTTCCGTATGGACTACTCCCGTGTCTCGAAAAAAAACATGTCAATCATATAACATATAAATCATGTGTTTTAATTTATATACATGATACTGATACTCATACAAGATCAAGCAATGGTATCAGCAAAAATAGTTGATCATCACAAGATCAAATCGTCAACCCACTAATAGAGGTAATGGCTATCATCGACTAGTAAAATCCCATAATATCATGAAGAAGTCATCAAATACAACAATAGAAACAACAGTAATATATAATTTATTTGTTTTCTTCAATCTCTGTATATATATATATATATAGATATATAACCACAACAGCTTCTGTGTTGTTGGACTCTTAAATTAAACTGGTGGTTAAGACAACTATTGTCCAACTAGTAGTAACTAGTAATTAGCATCTTAATTACTGGTGGACTACTAGTTACTATATAGTAATTAGTGTTTTAATTACTCTTGAAATGATTCCTTACACATATAAGCACAACAGTTTCTGTGTTGTTGCACTCTTAATAGTAATAATTAATTAATTATGATGTAATATAACCATATAGATTACTAATAGACTTACTATTAATTAATTACTAATTCTGTATTACTTAATAGACTTAATATAAATCTATAGTTCTATATTAATATTAATGAACTATTGTTCTATATCAATATTAATGGTTTATCTCATGATTGGTCCTTAAAATGATGAAATAACCGAGTCGACCAAGGCACCGGGTGCTCTGCGATCTCCTTCACCACCTGGAGATTTCAAACAGAAACTCTGTTCTATGAGGATGTTCAGCAAGAAATATAACAAGATTTAAACAATCAAAAACAGTTGGACATATGTTTGATGGTCATATTTTTTGGTCATAGTTTTGTTGGTCATATTTTTCAAAAAAACAAAACTCAAAACAAAAACAGAGACATGACTCACATGACCAACAAATATGATTGAAGTACACCAAATAAGCTGGTCTAAAGTGACACGCGACCAGCTTAGGTGACATCCAATCCCAAAAAAACCCAAAAACACATCGTTTCTTTTTTGGTCACTTCTGGTATGTTCCTGCTACCAAGCTTTCGATCCAGACACAGCTCGGACCTGCTATGTGTGGCTTGCAAATGACTATCCTGGATCCCCAAAAGCTTGGTTGTGGTGGAAGACATGATCAAAAGCACTATTTTCCCCCACATCTGACAACAGCGGTCACTTCAATTTCCAACCAGGAAGCGTTGTTTCCTTACCAACAAATTCTTGAATTGGGATCTCTCCGACAATCCTAAAAAGTTAATCATCTTCTTTTATCATCATCCAATAAATCCATTGTCCATATGTATTGTGGAAGAACGAAGTATAAATCATAGATCGTCAACCCAAATCACTATGCTATTGTGCTGCTAATATCATTGTCAGTTATGATACTGTGCTATAGTCATCACTTCAGCAAAATCAGATTTCACCAGTTCCATGATGTTTCACAGGTGAAGTGATGATAATAATTCCTAATTTTGAAATGATTCATGATTACCAGCTGGTTATTTAACATAGCCATGGAAAATCCCTTATAAATGGAGGTTTCTAGCTGCGAATATCATCTATAAATGGGCCATTTTCCATGGCTATCTCTTCGTCACAGCCCTAAGCTCGGCCAAGCATTGCTCCCATTGTGCGCCCCAATGGGCACCCAGGTGGCACCCGCCTGTGCAGGCATCATGGTATCCAGAATGCTCTGGACTCGCGACCTGGGCGATATCATTGCGTGTAGGTCTAGGTAGATAGATACAGTAGATAGCTAGCTAGCTAGCTAGCTAGCTAGCTAGATAGATAGATAGATAGATAGATAGAGATATAATAGAGAAGTAGGTATATAGAGAAATAGAGAAGTAGAGACATAGAGAGAGATAGACTTAACAATTGGACTGTTATGGATATACATAAATCAAGGCCTTACCATGCCTTACCTATATTGATATCATTAGCACAGCCGTCACCTAAAACAGCTGCCGGGTGGCATCACGCATTCCACCGCTCGGCTATTGGCATATTGCTGCCGCAACAGCTTCTCTTCCTGCGGGCGTTGGGACACTGACCGCTGATCATCAAATGGCTTTGCCGCAAATGGCTGCGAAGCATTGACTCTGCTCAGCAATTCCGCGATCCGAATCCGAAATTCGACCAGAAAAGACAAAAAAGCTCTGACCGAAAAGAGGCTCCCAGCAAAACACACAAAAAACTGATGGCTTTCCCAACCACGACGTGACGCCCTGTGTGGTCCTGGTAGGAGTAGAACTGCCGCAAGATGTTGAACATCAGGAAATACCAGAGGTCCTCAGACATTGGAACGGCCCCAATTCAGCCTCCATTCTTCAGGGCTTCAGCGAAGAGAAGAGTTCAAAATAAAGAACTAGATGTAACTATGTAAAGCAACCCCGAAAAAGTTACAGAAGTGAATTCAGGATATAAAAGTAAGATTCCTAGCAAAACAGTGGCAATTTGTTTCTCTATCTTTTAGGGGGACTACCATAATATATAAACGGTATCATCAAACGCTGCCACCCTGGCACCAGTCACGCCCAACCTGAGGACCTGGGGCTCCAGACACCATAAGTTGGAAGCAAGTAGCACCTGAGTTCTCAGCTGACAGGACTCACCAAGCATTCGAACTCAGATTCTGAAATGGTCGCCATAAAAAAGCACCTGATTTCACCATCAAAAACCCTGGTGCACTGGGTATATCAATTCTGTTCTGGAGAAATCAGTATCACGTGTTTTTGCTGGAACAAACCAGTTCTGCTCATAAAATCGTCCTTCTTCCTGGCTTAAACCACATTTGTTTGGCTGTAAAATCACCATTTTCGCTGGATAAATCTGCAGTTTTCCTGGTAAAACCCATCATTGGTGTTGGTTCAACCAGCGTGTTTTGCACCCCGCGCCACCCTAGTTTTGCCCCAAGGAACTTGTCCGAAATGACACCGCTCTCGACGATGATGATCAAGAGACAGCCCAGCAAGAAGATGAAGCAGGGAAAGAAGCGAAAGGGAAAGGCCGTGATGCACATCATATACCTCGCATCGCATGGTGAATATTGGTGAATGACATGGTGACATCATGACTTCGTGTAGTGGTGAACAAACATGATTGATGGCAGATGGCAAATGTATCTGCGATGGCCACATTTAGCATGATGGTGACATCATGGTGTAGTGGTGAACTGAAGTTGACAAGATCATAAACCACTAGAGCCTAGAGCAATAGAAAATGGTTGGCATTCAACAATGGGGTTGTTCTTTGTTCTTACTCTAGGAAGTAACCAACAATGGAACATTTTCTGCCAAACGTAGCTGGGACGGGAAAAGAAAAACATGATGGCTGGTATGAACAACCAGTTATCACAGCAATTGGGATTTGATATGGCTTTGTGCCTGGAATGATGTGCATGATGGTGGCATCCCCTAAAAAAAATCATGATGTCATAAGTGGCATGCATAAATCAACCAACAATATAACAACAATGGAAATGATATGAAAACTAAACCATATAACAAAACCATATTAATAGTTTATGGAAATGATATTTCGTTGGTTTATTAGCAAATTAAACTAACTAAACCAACAAACAACGCTGACTGCTTTGGCCAGTTAGTTGGAAGCATGTTTCCCATGGAGCAAGTTGGATCACCATCATGGCCCCATCCATCCATGGATTTGGCGCTCCAAGGGAACATCTTAACCGGAAACCATGGATATTCCCATGAAGATGAAGATGAAATATGGGATTTAAACAGCAAATTCTCCCTGAAAAACCAATCCATGGATCATCATGGATCCTGCAACTTCTGAATTGCCTCAAACAGCACCACATGAACATCGAAAAAAAATGCATCCTTCTCCATCCTCCAGGGCATCCGGACACGGGAAAAGAGACCAACCTCCGTGGCGGGGATACGATCCACTGATGTCAAGGTGAACAAAAAACATCACATCTTTGAGGATACTGCGGATGACTTGACATCTTACAAATACAAAGAGCTCTTCATGGGGTTTCACCTCATTGACGTCGATATTTTTCTGGAAAATGACACCCCAAAAATGCCATAGTCACCATCCCATTAACCATGACTGGGGGCCATAGCGATGAATTTCACGAAGCTCAAACTCAGGGATTGTTGATGGCATAGGGGTTTAGGACATTTAAAAATTGGTGTCCGTAGAATATCACGGTTTATGAAGGTTGATTATTGGGTGTCTTAACATTTCATGGGGGTTTAGCACAGCTTTTATCCCAGAAGATGCTCAAAACGGCGCCGTTGCGGCGCCTCGTGATGTTTCGAGACACGCCTGAGGCCGATGAGTCTGTCTGAACATCTTGGAAAAACCGCGCTTACCCCAGGTTCACACAACCTCTCAACAGGATTTCCATATTCTCTTTTGGCCTTTTCTAAATAATATTATATAATAGTTATATCAGTTATATAAATAACATATACATATATATATATATGATATATGATATACATATATAATATGTATATATATATATGAAGTATTACCAACTAAAAATCCACATGTTCTGTTGCTCCCAACTTCATCCCCTGGTTCTGTCCAACCTGAGATGGGAAAATCGATGGGGATGATCTCATCGATCTCGTGCTTTATGTCCTGAACCCGACCACCGGACACCGGTGGATGAGGACACCGGGGGTAGCCCTGACTTCGGAAAGCTCCATAAAGATCATCAATGTGGTTGGTTTGTTTGGGAAGGACTTTTCAGGATTTTACATTTCTTAAATCCCACTTTCAAATCCCTATTCTATGGATTTCTATGGATTTCTATGGTTCCAGTCATATAGAATTCCTAGATGCATGGTAACATTCGATACGTCGGATGCTCGCGGTGGACTCGATATGATCTCCAAGGACGACCATCTGGTGATTTCACCCAAAGGAAAGGTCGAAAGACCGTGAAAGCGCTAAAAGTACGTGGCTGCACTCAACCAGCTGCACCAACAGTAAGAAGAACACTGCTTCATCTGCATATGGCTCAAGATCATTGACCACCATTAAAAACTTGTTTTTCTGGGTTGAAGAACATCAAGAAAAAAACATTGTTGGTATATATATATATACCATCATATAAATTTTATCATAAGTATACAGTATACAGTATCGCGATATCCAATCAATATACGGTATATACCAACAGCCATCATCTTCGTTTCGGATCATGGCGGTAACAGAACGTCCGAGGCCAAGAAACGGCAGTGAACTGCTCCGGCATCACTTCGTAGGAGAGGAAGAGGATGACGGAAAGGATGCAACCTGTGGGCTGTTTTGGAGGGTCGAACCTATGGTTCTCATTGGTATTCTAGGGATATACCCTCTGGTAAACTTACATAACTATGGAAAATCACTATTTTCAATGGGTAAGTCCACTATTTCTATTTCTATGGCCATTTTCCAGTTCGCAAACTGTAAGTCATTACCAGGCCGGCTACATTGACATCCCATCCCCATGTTAAAAAAAAACCTTGGCGTCTGTAGGGGCTCCACCATCCAGGACAGCTTTTTCCCCATCCCCTACACCAAATGCTTTGCTTCTGGAAGTCCAGATAGCTGGGAATCCCTTGGTAAATCCCTTGGTTTCCGGACGTCGATTAGATGTTTCCGGAGGGTCCCAGGATTCCCCAATTTTTGTGCCTGCTTATTGAAATATGAAATATTGTACTATTATGTTCTAATACTTTTCATAACTAGATTGATTAGAAACTTTATCACTGCTAAAATAATGCTATCACTATAGTATGTTCTAATACTATTCATAATACTAAATGATACTATTAATAGTATTGATACTAGTAACCATTTATCAATGGTATTATCAACGGTATTATGATACTATTCATAGTTACTATCATTATCAAATGGTAAATTATTATACTTCTTGATCCTATTCCTATTCTATTAAAAAAAACAATTATTATACAATTATATTATACAATTATACTATATGAATAGTATTGATCGTATTCTATTATAATAGAAACCATTCAATCGGATTTCCTCGGCTCTCCGGGATGGATCGTGGTCAGATGTCAGGGTGCATGAGATCGCCGCCAGCCATTCGGAACATCGCGCCTCGGCAACGTTGGATCAATGGATGGCGGATGCATAAAACAATGATCCATGATGTTTTAATCACCATGCTATTAATGGGAAAATCAACTATTTCTATGACCATTTTCAATAAGGAAATAGTCTAATTTACCCAGATTAAAACAATGGTTATTTATAACCATCATATTAGAATATGCTTCAAGAATGCAATTGCTTAGTAAAACATCTGCATCCCCTCTGGTAATTTAACATAGCTATTGAACATGGTCATTTATGGTTGATCTACATAGTCTGGTTGGTGGTGCAATAACCATCTTGAAAAATATGACTTCGTCAATAGGAAGGATTATCCATTCATATTATGGGAAATAAAATTCATGTTCCAAACCACCAACCATATATATAACCATCATACCATCATATAAGATCCAATACTAACCATCAATATGCAATCTTATATGATGGATAATATGATGGATATACATGTATGTAGATTACATTAGATTACAATATAGATATATATACATATTCCAAATATAACCATCATATAAGATACAATATGCATCAATAACCATCATGATATATATATATAATTATATATAATCATATTTATATACATAATTTAATCACCCATTGATGATAATCCATATTAATGATGGTTATAATATGTTACAATCCATATATGATCCATTCATCTAACCGATTCATTTAACCCATCTAACTGGGGATATTCGATTCATATCTAACCGGGTTGTATAACATGGTCTAACCTCCATTTGTTGGGGAAACCCAACTTGACTCACAAGTTAATAAGTGTCCGACTTTGGTGGAAGATGTTGGAAGTGGGTGGAAGTGGCGCAAAGTAATCTTCATTTCAGTGACATCTGGAATCGATCTTTCGACGTTTGGGCTGTTAAATGCATTTTTTCGAACTTTCGGAGAATGATTCAATTCGAATTCACCCTTTTTCATTTTATTAAATCCCATATTCCATGAATATCAATATCCCATTAAATCATAAGTAGTATCTCCAGGTAGTATATCCCCATGACATATGTCCATTTCACCAACACACACCACAGGTGTCTCCCCTCCAAATTTTCAAGGTGCGTGGGCCACAACGCAGCTAGTACAGCTGACGATGACACGCCAGGCAAAGACAATCCTGATCGAGTTTCGACACGTTTCGCAAAACTGGGCTAGTTCACTTGAACAATGAATACATATCAATACAATCCGATTCAACTTGACTTAAACACAAATACTAATGGTTAATCTGATGTAAACTACAGAGTAACAATGCTGATCAATACTATTAACCTGGGTAAATCACCATAATTCATACGTTAAAAAGCAACTAGATCCTAAAGCTTAACTATGGCGATATTAATGCTAGATACTAGTTTATCTATGTTCACATGTATTTAATCTGATTATCTGCTTATTAATTATGTTCAATGCTAAGAATCACCATTAACTTGATTTAAACACAACTAACTGATGATTAATAGTATTAATGGGACTATGAATGGGATGATTAATGGATTTGTCAATGAAAACCATGAATGCTCCATGGTGCTGGAATATTTGACAACATTTACCTCAAACATGGCCCAAATGTAGGTAAACAAAATCAACTATACCACACTTGGAACATATGGGTTGAGTTAAGCCCCATATAGTTGGCAAACTATAGGTAATTTGGATGTTGATTTGGAGGATGAGTGGGATAATTGAAGTTTCTCAGTGGCAAGGAATCTGGAGGATGCTTCTGGTTTGTCTGAACAAACCAAAAAAATGCTATCACAGAATTGGGAATCTGGAGGATTTTAAACCATTCGATGGAATGGGGTAGCCTATTGTCAGACAATCCCAACGTTGGAAAGTGCGGATATAACTTGACCAGAAAAACATGAGAGTAAACCAGATAATTGGCAGCTAATTCGATGATCTGATGTAACCAGGAAGTAGTTGTGCAAAGTCCTTTATGACCACAAAATGCGATGTACCCTAACAATCCCTAACATATACACCACATTAATGTAATTTAACAACAACATGTTTTGTGAACATCTTGGGTGAAACTAATACGCCTTATGAACTGCTTAGCCCGAAGTTCCTGAGGGTCAGTTACTGGTCCGTGTACCTCCACAATGGCTGAAGCTTCGTAAAACATCTGAACATGAGCTATCTCGATGTATAAAAAAACACGAACAAACCAGGCAAATCAAGTCTTTTGGGTGATGTTAGTTTCATTCCGTGCATAAAGAAGCCAAGGATAACTATGGAAAACTAATGTATGTTGTTTCAGCAAGTTTCACCCCCGTTCGGCAGTTGTTTTTGCCACATTTGCTGACAAGTGGCCCAAACGCCACCGCTCCTCAACCGGTCAATGGCGACTCGAAAAGTCTCCTACTTTGCTCTCTACTCTTCACCATGTTAGAATAGTAGATGGTATATACCCTCTGGTAAACATACAAAAAGCTATTGAAAATTGCCCATTTGTAGTTGATTTATCGAACTTAAAGATGGTGGTTTTCCAGTTCGCAAACTGTAAACGTTTACCGGCACGGGTAATTCATGTTATCGAAAAAATAGTTTTCTTCACAAAATACGGTGGTGCTTACCAGCCGATCAAAAAAAAGTCGCCAGTCATCGCCAGTTGCAGCGGAGCGACGACTGATGACAAACCTTGCGACGTCGCGGGATTTCATGGAGATTTTCCAAGTCGCTGGATGACATGGAAAATCCCAATGGAAAATTGCAAAAATGGATGATAACTAGAGGTACCCCCCATTGATGGAAACCTCCATATCTGTAACTGTCAAAAATATCCCACCTATGTGCATGTCCCATGAAAATCCGATAACATACTGTGGATGGTAAATGCTGCATCACCAAAAGGATGGTGTTTCAACCCTTTAAGTCATGGGATAAACATGGGATAAACCATTTATCAGCTGGTGCAGGATTCCGCAACCATCTTTAATAGCTATGGAGAATCACCCTTTTTAATAGGTAAATCAACGAACTAAATATGCCATGTTCAATAGCACACTGTAACAAACTACCAGATGGTATGTCCCATCATAAACCATTATAAACCGTCAGTTTTGGACCAGTATGAAACACACCATGGTTGCACCAAGAAGCATCGAGAGCTTCCTTTGGCGCGTAGCCTTGTCCTCGGGCAGTGGCTAGGGTCCATGGTGGGGGAATGATTTGATGGATATGTTCTGGATATAGAATTGGTATACAGTGGACATACAATGGATACATAGGCAATGCATATGATATAGAATAAACAATATATTCTATAACGAATTAATGGGAAGTGCAAAAAATATCCCCAAACTAATTTCTGGATAATGATATCATACAGTATCAACCATGATATGAGAGGATTTCATGGGGGAATTTAACCAACTGCAATGGGGATATATTTGGTTATTGCAAGCAATATGACATGGGTGTTTTTGAACATGTTGGGAAAACCATCACGATCCCATAGTGCATTTTGCCTATCAACATAGCCACCAGTTTCAATCACACACCCATATTCAGCAGTCATAGATTATAATAGTATACACCTCGACAAAATGAGGACATGTTTGCCTTTCTTTGGAAGGGTGGATATTTATGTCTTTGCAACCACAATACCTGGGTCCATTTGGTCTGCAATTCGGCCAGTTGCGCCTGCATTCTGCACCATCAGTGGTTTTTGGTGCTTAAATCCCTGTGTCCGTTGCGCTTCAATTCTCCATGTTCATGATATAATGATATACACATATACATAATATGTCATATGTTGCGCATCCAATTCCAACATCTTGAGTTGAACTCTAAATGCTTGTACTTCACAAAAACTGCATCAGATTCATCAGACTCATAGATATTGATACATATTAATACTGGTTGGTGGTTGACCTACCCCTCTGAAAAATATGCTCGTCAGCTGAGATTATTATTCCCAATATATGGAAAAATTAAAAAATGTTATACCGGTTATACCTCCATTATCTAGAGGCTTTCAACCATCCTGTTGGTGGTGCAGGATTTCGCAACCATCCACCGTATTAATAGATTGGGATATAATCGCTTTCATAATCACTTTCATAATCACTTTCATAATCACTTTCATAATCACTGTCATAATCACTGTCATAATCACTTTCATAATCACTGATTAATAGATGGTTGAAACCTTATAAATAATGGGATAAGCCACGAATCCACTATGAAATCACTGGGATTTCACCAAGCGACCCATGCGAGCACTGCCTCATCGCTGGAGGTCGAGGTCGAGGTCGCGGTGCCTTGCGATTGACTCCACCAAAAACCTGGAGCTCGGGGGATTCCAGATCAGTATATATGAGAGAATGGTTGAAACATGGAATAGATATTATGAGATACATTTTTTTCTATAGATTGACTAAGAATATATGATATATATATATATATATAGCGAAAAATAAAGCTACTATCTATTGTATTATATGAAATACTATGAGATATATAGAGATAATGAGATAGATAGATAGATAGATAGATAGATAGATAGATAGATAGATAGATAGATAGATAGATAGATAGATAGATAATTAATAACAATACCTACATATGATATATGTTTATCTCATGATTGGATCATGAATAATGAATGGAATATGAATTGGGATTATGAATGGAATATTGATTGGGATATTAATTGTCTTAATATGGTGATTCACTAGTGGGAGTATGAACGGGATTATGAATTGTAGCATTAGATAGTATTAGTACATGGAATCCATGGACCAATGATGAAAAACATGGAATTAATTCTTGAGTGTCATTAATAACGGTAATTAACAATGGGATTAATCCCATTGTTAATGTTCATACTATGATTCAATCCTGTTAACAATCCCATTGTTACAATGCCATGGAATTGATCATAATATATTTATATACATATATTAATGGGATTGTGAATTGTAGATTAATTATGCGATTAATACTAGTCATCATTAAATAGAATAATGACTAAGTATATAATGGAATTATGAATTGTGATTATTGATGGAATCGTCTTAATGAAAATAGCAAACCCCTCGAGGAAATTCATCATAGAAATTACTTGGCAAATCACCATTTAGTCCCTATATGATCGCTGGTTATATCAACAGGTCCACAAATGGTATATCGAATCCATTCGAATTCCTCGTCACAAATGTATTTTTATATGGTCACATTTTCTACATGATCAAAGGGAAGCTTCAAACATTTTATATTTAATGGGCAAATTAACGGGCTTAATCCAATGATATTTTACAGTTTTACCATGATTTACCTATGTACAATGTTTTATGTAACGGCTGATCAAATTTAGAAGCTTCAATGGATTGATGGTTCAAATGGAAGATCAAATCGAAGCTTCAATCGTTCCAGGTGTAAATTAGTAAAGATCAAATGGAAGCTTCTAGAATCTAGAATCTAGAAACCATGCTTTCGGACCCCTTTGAAAGGCGGGTTTCAAGGCATTTGAGCCGGCTCCTCCGATTTGTGTTTTCTGTTGCTTCACAATACGCTAGCGCTTCCGCACCGATTGCCCAGGAACAAACTGAGGCATTGTCCACAATGAAAACCTCTGGCGGTTCGTCCGGACACCTGGTGGAGCTCTGGTGGAAGCCCAGAACGTCCGTGGCCCGTGGTGTCACAAAACATAAATGGACCAATGGATGTTTCCTGATAAAAGGATATAAAAGGGCCATAAATTAGAGTATCATATAGTATCATCATCAATTGGGGTAGAATATCCCAAATTTTGAGACAATTCCATGCATCATGCTTTTCTTTGGAGAGATAATGAGCTATTGTAAACATCCATGCGGAGTATTGTATCCATCTTGGCCATGCATTTCGAATGGAGCAGCACGGGAAGGAACTTTGAAGAAGGGCAAAATTTCAACCCCTTACAAACTACAAACAAACTTAAAGGATCTTGAAGGCATTATGCGATCACACAAATGCTGTAAGCCAGTGATAATTATTGGAAATACATCCTGTAAATTTAGCATGTCATAGAACCTAAAAATTCTACACTCTAACCGTTGGAAATGTTTGGTGTCACAGTTACTTGGACTTCTCCAAGACGGTTACTGTAACTCAAAAATCCCGACCGAAGACTGTGCCATTTCTGGTACCAAAAACTCATGTTGGAACTGGATCGAAGTCTATGACCACTCAGCAAATCATGATTTCCTGTTGGTATCCATGTGGTCTCCCCATGTTGGCGCTGTAGCACATTTCTGGTGTTTGGATCCCAAATTTCTGCGACTCGCCGGGCACAATTTGCAAATAAACCACCCGTTTATCAAGTTACCTTCCAGTAAATTGGCATATGAAAAAGCATGGTTTTCCAAGGGAATTATCAATCAAATATGTTGGATTTTTCCATGTTCACACCTTCCTTTTGGTCGTTTCCATCCCAAAAGTCGGATCTGCTGTTCCCACCCCAAGCCTTTGCTCGAGATTTGAAGCCCATTAAACCGATCACCACTTTTCATTGCTTCGAAGTTCGAAACCTAGAATACCAAAAATATATAAAACAATTATAAAACAATATTCTATATTATTCTACCATCCCAATGTTTCCCTGGAAACAAGACATCTCCACATCCCAATTTTTCCTTGGACAGAAATCTCCACCTTAACTCTGCATCAGGTCACTGTCGCAGGATGCAGAGATTGCTGTTGTGGTGGAACTCGATCGCCTTGGCCCCGTTTGTCTTGCGGTAAAATCGTCAAATTTTGGAGATGTAATGTGAAATAATGGGGATATAATGATACATCTATAATGGTGAGATATAATGGTGCTGATGGGAATGTGATTTTGTCGTCATACAATCCTTTACCATGGGGATATCATATATTATATATAAAATTATATATATATATAATGGTGGATGTAATGATTTTTGTGATTTTATCCTGAGAAATCGTGATTTATCCTCCTGTAAACTAACAGTTTAATTATGTGAGAAAAAACGGAAAACATTTGTCCTGTAGATCATCTTCCGAACCGGTTTCCCATGGCTTTCCATGGATCTTTTGCACGTTTACCCAGTTTACCCCTGGGTAACAATCAAAAAACAATCCTTTACCAACCCCTATGGATCCAAGTACCTTCTTAGGAAGTGTTTGGGGTATGATTTGGAGGGTTAAGTACCTTCTCAGACAGTGTTTAGATCCAGTTGAGCAGCGGAATGCACGCCTTTCTGAGAGGCAGACCGTGCAGGGGCCATACGCCCAACACTGGCTTTTGCAGCCCTCTACTGGGCCTACACGGGGAGGGTAAAATGGACAAATGAGAGTGGTCACAGTCAGTTTACAATCCACAGATCCTCATGTCTGTTGGCTCCTGGAAGATCTCAATATAACATTCCTGCAGCTCCTGGAATCACATCCCAATTCTCAACACAAGTAGTTGGCAAATTACAATGATTCCCTTGCCCGGCGGCATATTCAAAATGGTTAATCCTCACCATCAACGCTTGGCCAGTGTCGCTCAACCCCAGTTACATCGGGATATAAACTATAGAGTATGGGTAGTGAGTGCAGATATCAATGCTGCTTCTGCACCGAAAATTGGAACATGCACCAAAGGGGCCAACCGCCCACTTTTGCTGATGAGATTTTATCATCTTGCCATAATTTGCCATTTGGCCGGTTTAAACCTCCAATCTTCTCCATGTTTGATGTTAGATCCCCAGGTCTCCCATGGCCTCCTTCCACTGTGTCATCGATCTTCATCGAGACTAAGAAGGGACACCTGGGTGTGAAATCACATGGCCCAGGTCGAACTATAATTCGATGACAAGAGATGCCCTCTGGCAATGGAACATATTGGAAATAGATGAAAATAACCCATATCCATATGAGCCATGGTCAATACTCACTATATGGTTGATGGTCATCCCATCCATAATAAGGATCCAAAAATAATGGTTATTATAAATCCCTATGAACCATTGGATGACTAGCCCCTATTAATGGTTATTAACCATGAGTATTGACCATAGCTCATATGTTACATATGTTAGGATTATGTACGAATTACACTATGATATTTTTTGATACCTTGGGTATAACATGGTATAACTTCCCATCTTTTTGATGAGAAGTTTCCATTAAAAAGTGGTGCTTTGGCAGTTGAAAAACATGTCAGAGGATGGGATATGCTTTGGGTGTCCCCTGTTATGGTCTTCAGGGGTTCCCTGTTCATGTGAAAAATGCTTCTCGAAAACCATTGATAGTTTCGATGGGGACTGTGGGACTGCGTGTTTCACGTTTGGCTTCAGGGTTTGATTGTCTCATAATATATGTTGTTTAGACATTCTGAAGTAGTCACTTGATATACTTGATCCTCTCCAGTTTCCTATTCCCACAATTCAAACATCCAGCTAATAACTTGACCAACCTGAGCCATTCAGAATACCCATAATCCCATTTCATTTCATTAGTTCGTTGATAGCTGTCCCTGACAAAAATTGTGCATCACTTGCATCATCCACAATAACAACATATACCAAATATATGGGTTAGTGATGGTTAGTGCATAATCCCCAATCACCAGAGAATACCCTCTGGTAAACTAACATAACTATGGAAAATCATCATTCTTAATGGGAAAATCCACTATTTCTATGGCCATGTTCAATAGCTATTTTGACATAACCAGAGGGTAATCCCCAACCACCAGAGAATACACAGATATTTGGTATATTGTATACCCAGATATAGCTATAAAATGCTATAAACATATATTAGGAGTATTTATCTAATTAGTAACCAATCCACAATAACAAAATATAATGGTCAGTAATGGTTAATACCAGATAGTAAAGCTATCAATATTAATGGTCAGACATGGTCATTAATGGTCAGTAATGATTAATCCCCAATATTGATAGTAAAGCTCCTCATCAATCAACGGGTCTCCGACAAATGTCCCAGTCACTGGTCGTCACTCCACTTGCCATAGCCGTACTCGTGCCACATGGGCGACTCGCAATGTCGCAGAAAGGGTGTTTTTTTTGGGGGCAAATGTTGGTTCTTAAAATAGGTCTACATTGGTTTATGGTAGATATAACTATAGTTAATGCAGGTTATATTGGTTTATAAACCAACTTATAACTGGGGGGCCCCATCCTGTACACCATCATCATGTTTTTGCAAATATGTTAAGCATTGTTAAGCCATACTCAACTATTGTCAGCGAAGTGAACATGTTTGACCCAGGAGGTTTTTTAAAAAATCATAGGAATATAACGTAACCCACTTTTACGACGAAAAAACATGAGATTCATGCCGTCTAACAATATAAGAAACAAGGGCTACCTGCAATTTGAAACGCGAAGACCTAAACAATCCTAAACAGCTGTGCTGGGAAATAGCAGCCATTAGCTGCTATACAAATGGGATAGCTATATGTTCTGATCTGGTTTTGATACATCCCCACTTACCTGATTTGCCAAATCGGCCATGTGGGTGTCCAGTTGGTGGATGATTGATAGGTAGCTGATCACTAAACTAAAATGGATTATCTATTACGATTCTTCATTGATTAAAGCCGTCCCACTTTTGATCCTTCAATCATCAACAAACCACCACAAAAACAAAAAAAAACATCCTGTCGGTCAAAATATGGTAAACGTGCCATGATTCATCATGATTCATCATGATTCATCATGATTCATCCCATGACATTCCTGAACTAATCCATAGAAAACGACCAGATCCGAGGCGTTTTCCATGTGCCAAAATATGGCTAGCCCAACCGCGCCTGTGAACTCCGGCCAAGGGAGTCGGCCAAATATCTGGGCGTGGAACAATCATTGATCCTGACCCAATGAACACGTCACATAACTGTTAAGCCAAGTAATAAGATAACCAGTAGATAACACATTTGTTAAGCCTTTCTTATTCTTTGTAAATAATTAATACATTTCTCAGGATCACCAAGAATAAGAAGACCAGTAGACAGGACTTGTATGATTACTATCAACGTCAGCAGCAGGAGCAGGCGCAGCAGGAGCAGCAGGAGCAGCACAAACCCAAGAATAATACGATTCAGTATTCTGATAGAAGCAAAGTGTAATATCTTCAATATTATTCAATCTTCAATATCTTATTTCAATACATGATATGATTCAATATTCTGATAGGGACCAATCAGATTCAAACTCCTTTTCTTGATGACTACCTTTACTCACAAGAATTGATGCTGTGATTGCTGTGATCAGCCTGCACTGTCGCCGAAAAAAATGCTCAAATAGCCACGATTCAAGATCAGGACCGAATCTTTGGATTCTTTTGCCATGAAAAAGTGGAACTTTTTCATGTGAAATCATGGGGTATCTATAGCTTGTCAGGCAAGATCAAATGGATAATCCACCATCAACTACTATAGAGAGTTACATCCTTTTTTGAGAAGAAATATATGGCATTCGGAAGAGGCAACGGAGGCAACTTCCTCCACAAGGACTTTTCAACTCGCTATGAATCAATGATTCCCTAATTGGAATAGCAAAACGCATAAACTTTATAAACCAAGACCCTATACCCCAGCTACAGGAGTGCAATTTTTCTGTGGGGCTTGATCCAACCCCTTCTGTTGCTGCTTGCTACGTGCAGAACCTATGCAGTGCCACCAGGCAGTTTCAGACAAGCAGCATGGTCTCGATAAAAGTCAAGACCTCAGACGACTCGCGTTTCATGGGGAGGTCCCCCTGGCCTTGAAGTCTACGGTGTTTCATCAATTTTGGGTGTACACATCCATTTGCATCTGATCATCCATCCATAAACTACACCACATCCTTTCATTTATATACATCATTTTACATCCATAAAACATCATAAATCAAATCCAAACATCCATCCATCCAGCCATCCATCCATCCATCCAGCCACCCACCCACACATCCATCCATCCATCCAACTGATATCATTTGATCATCTGTAAAACCATCACCTGCCAGCTTTCACCATACCGTTAGCACAACGACACAGGGAGCTGAGCACAGCGCGAAGATGAAGATCATTTGCCTTGGAGTTGGACCAATTGGACTTCGAGGCGTGCCATGGGATCTGATCCAATGACGTGGGATAACTAGTGGGATATGTGGTTTAGAATGGTTTAGAATGGTTTAGAATGGTTTAGAATGGTTTGCAGTTTGCAGTGGTATCATGACTATTATAGTAACTATTATATCATATTATATGATGAATATATATATATATAATTATATGTATATATATAATTATATGTATATATTATATATATGTATGTATGTATATATATATGTATATATATATATATACATATTATATGTATATATATATATATATGGATTTTGAGATATAATCTGACTATCATGGGATGCCAAAAAAACAACCATAAAAACCATGGCTTTGAGCCAAGGCACTTGTCAAGACGTTTCACCAACTTTTTGAAGAGGTGGTTCTCGTAGTACCAGGCCTTGCTTCACAGGATTCGGGTGGCGAGTCAAACAGGGCAACAACTTCTCTGGGTTTCTGTGCTGTGGAGAAGCCAAGTCCCAAGCCAGAAAAAGGTGGGAATAGAACTGGAAAAGATGCCATATTCAAAACGCCCCCAAAAAGAGGCATTAAAAGCAAACATCAGAATGAATACGTCACCCCGCGAATTTGCGATTTCACCAACAAGAGTGCATGCTTACGGATGAAAACAATCATGGGAATCTTCATTTCTCAATTGCGTTTCGGCCATCGGCCCCTATGTTTAAAACATCAAACAAACAAACGTCATGATGTCATATTCCGTGATTTTACCATAATCCAGCAATAAATCAGTAATAATAATGATTTTACCATGATGGATTACTGGATGATTTTACCATAATCCACCATGGCCATAATAATCCAGCAATAAATCAGCCAAGGTCAGCCGTTGCCGTGTGCCAGGGCCGCCGCACCCGAAACTGCTTCGAGGCCTCATCCCTTCCTTTCAAGTCCAACCAGTCCTGAACGGGCTGCGGCGTTGTCATTGTCATGATCAAAAACATAGTGATAATATCATATATATAAGTATAATTAGTATGATAATATATGATAACGATAGTAAAATTCGGAGATATCTAAAGAAATCTATAGTAGTATAGAAATATTATCTATATATAGCAATATTGCTATACTACTATATATATATAGATTCTTCATAATATAGCAATATGATAATATATAATTATATATATATACCATTACTACTATATATACCAATAACGTATCATGACATTAGTATTGTCATTATCAATATTAATGATATATATATATATTATATTATATATATATTATATAATCATAAATCATATATATATATATATATCTCAATATACACTATATATATATCAATGTTAATATACTACTATTACTATATATATTTACAATACCATATACCATTATCATTATCAAAATTAATGAGCAATATATATATATAATATACTACTGTTATCATGGTGTATAGCAATGTTATCATTATAATTATCATATATTATATATATATACCATTGCCATATACCACATATTACATATATAATATTTATCATTAAAATTATCTAACATCTAATATATATATATATATACATATCTTATAAAAATACCAATGATAATAATATTATAATCTTCTACATATATCATATGTATTAACATTATACCGATATACCAAATCCTTTTTTTATGTCGCCAAAGGCTATCCAAGGCTCACTCCCTTGGCCGCACGTGAACTCTTCCGACTCAGCCTGCGGGACTCCGGCGACGAATCTTTGATTTTTCGAACGGCGCCGGGGGCGATTTTTGGTCACTGAAAAATGGAATTCCAATGGAATATTGAACTATATTTTAGTATTCCAATGGAAAAATGGAATTCCAATGTTCCATATTCCAATTTTAGTATTCCAATGTCTATGGAATCTATGGAACATATTGAAATGGACATGTACTGAAATAGAAATGGAATATGGAATTATATGGGAATAATGACATATTGAAATATACAGATGTTATTATTATAATATACAGAGGGCCCAAGTCCACTAGTTTTATAGTTGAAATTACCAGGATATTTCAATTAAAAGTATTTCAAAGTATGAAAACTGAATTAAATATAGTATTTCAAGCTTTGACATAGATGTTATTACACAAATATGACCTACTAATCTTGGAAAGTATGACCTTTGCTATAAAAATAATAACGCTTGTTATAACAATGTTACTTTATTGTATTTCAAAGTATAAAAATGGATTTCACAGTATTTCAAATTTAAGAATATTGTAATACTTTGAAATCCATTGAAATCCATTCCCACTGAATGAAGTAGACATGATGTTATTGTATGGTATTGTATATCTGGATCGTCAAACACAAGTCAGGCAAACCATGTCAAAAACGAAATCCCTCCGCTGCCCTCCCGACGGAGCAGTTAGTACTCCGTTTGATGCTTTGAGCGAAGGAACGTTGACCAACGCGTCTTCGAACATTTCAGCATCATCAGGCCTCAGTAAGAAAAACACAACTCCACTGTCACTGGATTGGTTCAAGAGAAAATCTAAACTCCCATCATATATAGAGGTTTTCTGTAAAATGTCCCTTAAACCAACCCAGTGACACTGTCAAATTAAGTTTGGATCCTATGAGGACATTCAGCAGTAACCCAACTACAAGCCGTAAAATCATTTTTATGTAAGGTGTAACTAGCTAATTTCACAGTTTAAACACATATTAGGGATTCTGCTTGCAAAACATTGCCAGGGGAATTGTTTGAAATGAGCAACATGTTGCCAAAAATCCAACAAACTTTCCTGCATCTAGGATCCAAGAGGTTTGAGACGGGTATCAACAGGGGGATAGTAATGATAGGACTTACATAATTAGAATGTTCCCTGGCAAATTAAACTGTCAATGGAACAACCCCAAGATTTGATACCCATCATCATCATCAGCAGCATCATCATCATCAGCACCATCAGCACCATCACCGTCACCGTCATCGTCATCGTCATCGTCATCATCATCATCATCATCATCAGCACCGTCAGCACCATCACCATCACCGTCATCGTCATCATCGTCATTATTATCTTCATCATCTTCATCATCACCATCAGAATCATCGTTGTCGTCATTGTCGTCGTTGTCGTTGTCGTCGTCGTCGTCGTCCTCGTCGTCCTCGTCGTCCTCGTCGTCCTCGTCGTCCTCGTCGTCCTCTTCCTCGTCGTCCTCGTCGTCCTCGTCGTCCTTGTCGTCCTCGTCGTCCTTGTCGTCCTCGTCATCGTCATCGTCACCATCATCATCAACATCATTATCATCATCATCATCATCATCATCAAGCAGAAGATAAACATCCGTTGATGTAGATTATCGATTATATATCTTATCGCCAAATATCATGCCATTATTATGTAGAGATTGCGAACTATAGGTCTATTTTTAAATATATATATAATTACACACATATCATTGTCACATATCCATTATTGTCATTTATTACACAATCTATTATCATAGGATGGATATTAAAGATTCGTTACACAATCTATTATGTGGATAGAATATGGATCTATTGGGTCTTATAATATAGTTATTGTGATCTTAAAAATCCAATCTATTGTCATCTATACCATCTATTATAGCAACTGTCATATCACATCATTATTATATCCATTATTCCACATATCCATTATAGAGAATGACAATAATGGATATCATTGTCACATATCATCTATCAATTATCATTATATGCACATCATACTTATCATGAAATATTATCATTAGATAATTGATATCTATTACCAACTCTTCCACATATTCCATAGTCATAATTACCATAATTACCATAGTTATCATAGATATCCACATATTCCACATATAGCAACTGTCGATAACTCTCATCCCAGGCGCCCCTCCACCATCGTTGATCCGCCGCCAGATTGCACCATGGCCTCGGGAGGTAGTTGGAACGTAGCTGAGGAAGTCCGATGAGCGGAGGAACGTAGCCATTAAATGTAGCTATGTATGGCTGGCTATATAATATGTCTATGTTGTGTATATATATATAGTCCATATAGGTATTTTTGAAGTTTTGAAAGTTATTGGTCATGTTATTGTGAACTCTATTAGTTAAAATGTGGGGCCCCTGCCTGTATGATAAATACCCATTATATATGGTATAGTCACTTCTATGAACTGATGCTATGTGATGATATGTAACTAAAATATATACATATAAGTTTTCATATATGGAATTTGTACATATACTATGATTAGTTTTCAGCTTCATATTTCATGATAAGTTTATACAAAATCAGCATGGTATGAAATCATGGTAACATCATTCATACATACCAGATTGATACCTTTTGTTGCCAATAATATTTGTTGCAAAGCTGGAAATCTGCATTATATCATATGTGTGTTCCAACAAATATGAACAATACAAGGTGTTTGGGAAATCCATAATATAATATAATATAAATCAAATACGATAATATATAAATAAAAATACATATAATAATAAATATAATATAACATATATAATAATATATATATACAATAATATATATATATAAATATAAAATAATATATATATATAATATATAATTATACATATATATATATTATTATATATATAATAATATATACAATAATATAATAGTATATAAAATAATACAATAAAAATATAATATAATATAATATAATAAATATATAATATAATACAATATAATATAATATAAATATAATAATATAATATAATATAATATAAAATAATATAATATAATATAATATATATATATATATATATATATGAATATATATACATATATATTATAATTATATATATTATATATATGATATACATATATATGATAATATATATATGATATAATATATAATATATAATATAATATAATACAATAGAATAGAATATAGTAAAAATATAATCTAATCTAATATAATATACTATAACATCATATAATATAATATAATATAATGTAAATATAATATAATATAAATATAACACTAATATAATATAATATAAATATAAATATGATATAATATAAATATAATATGATATAATATAATATAAATAAAAATATGATATAATATAATATAAATACAAATATGATATAATATAAATATAATATGATATGATATAATATAAATATAATATGATATAATATACTATAATATGCTATAATATAACAAAATATAATATAATATAATAATGTGTATATATATAATATACATACTATATATATATATATACATGTATGTATATACATATATATCACCCGGAAACATGAACAACAATCACCTGATTTTCCTCTAAGAAAACTGAGGCGTGTTGTCGTACACTTGGCGGTTCAATGAGCAAAAGTTGGCGATTTGATTCAGAAAACTGCCAATATTTGGTGTCCAGACTGGGATCTCCCAATAAAAAGGAAGTTTAACATTTAAATTGGGATAAACTGGTATAGATACAAATATGAAATTGATTGAAATTGGGTAGCCCTATATCCACTGGTTCATCAGTGTCGCAGCCCTCAATTACCTGCGGATATGAAGATACCCGCCCTGCGCCGAGTGGCAGCAGCTAGCTGAACAGTACCATGGACGTGCAATCCTGAGATCCAGGGAGCTGCGGAGCTTACAGAATGTCAAACAAATCTGAAAGGCAACAAGCTGAGCAACTGGTCAATTTGAGCCTGAAACTTCAGGCATGCGAAAAGTTTAAGATCTAAACATCTGATCTTTGATCGGTTTCAAAGAGGCCATGGGTGAGTTTGCTGGGACGTTCTGCTAGTCTAACCGGGGAAAATCCACCATTTGTATTCATTTTCATATATATATATACATATATATATATAAACCTTTTTGTTTGTCTCTAAGGCGTTCACAACTGCCGACAATGCAGCGTAACAACATAGCTCTCCTCAAATCTACATAGTTGTAGAGTGTATGTAACTCATTACCTGTACATAGCATCACCCACTCATTTGGGTTTGCCTGATTTTTGTTCAATTGTCCCAGTGAAATGTATGGGGATGGGTCAAAACCCTGGTACCTAGTGAACCCCAAAATAGCTGATAAATGGATGTTCATCCCACTAAAAATGTATCTATAGGTATTGACCCATACCCGTATCATAAATTGCAGCAAAATCCCCTATCTTCAGATATAGCAAAATCTATCAACATCTATGATATCAAGTTGGTTGTGTTTTTCTACATTATCCTTTTTTCATATCCCCATAAAATGGCATACTGAATGCCACCATTGGTGCTGGTTTAAATCACCCCATCCCCATTGACCGATATTTCAACATATTTCAACTAGGATATGTCTCAAGAAGCCAACTAAGGTGAATTCCAATTCTCCGGATAAATTATATGAGACTTCACCGAGCTGAAATATGGCCATTGCGGCCATTGTCACCACTGTCACCGAGCGGCATCATTCCAGCGACTATCCCTCTGTGTCCGATGATATCTCTAATCAAATCTTCACCATCAAAAAACAAAACATCAAGAAACTATCTGGTTGGTGGTTTCAACCCACCCTCTGAAAAATATGAGTTCGTCAGTTGGGATGATGACATTCCCAACTGAATGGAAAGTCATTAAAAAATTGTTCCAAACCACCAATCAGCTATCAATGCCTGTTCCTATCACGTTAAATGACCAATTTTGGATGTGAAATCCCACGGTCCAAGCATCTGCGAGGACTCTTGTAGCTGGTCCTGGGGAGAAAACATGATGAATCAGCAGCAAAGTTGGAGGATTTCAGGATGAAACGATGAAAAAACTGGTGTTGGGTATAGACCTGAATCAAAAAATGGATTTTGTTGCAGTAAATGGATGTTTTTATGGATAGAAATGGAGAGAAGCCAGAGATTGGGATACTTGACCCTAGCCCGCGAGCCCGACAGCAGAGGCGGCCTAGGTGCGAAAAATTCCCGAGACCAGTGTCCACAAGTCACCATGGCTTTCAGTAGTCATGGATAATCAATCGGATAGTCATGGTCCAATTTTCATTTGGGGATACCACCATGTCATAGTTTTCTGAATTGTCATCACTCGATGATGATTTTGATCCATGACTTAGTCTTTCCATGAAGGCTACCCTCTGGTCAACAAACAGTTTGCTAGTGAACATGGCCCAGTCGAAATAGATATCATTTACCCATTTTCATAGCATGGTGGATCTTTCCATCGTTTTTTGTAGGTTTACCAGAGTGTAAGTCCTTAACATTTGGGGATCCCACCAGAGGACGCCCCGAAACTTTTCCGCTCCTGGGACCGCCTTGCGATCGATACTCGTGCACCAGGAGGTAGGTGTTGATCATCTCAGTACCCAGGCGGTGACATGGAAAACCCATGGAAAACCCATGGAAAACTCCTAGGGTTGTTTGTTCTACAAAAAAAAACATCTGAGAATTGTGCGGATTTTTTTGATGTGAGAAAACAGTGATCCCATACCATGAATGTTCTTGGGGCCGCTTTTCACACCAAGCTACAACTTGCACCGTGCCACCAAATTGGCGCATCTCGTTTTGAATGTCTATCATTCACCCATGGTATGGGTATTGGTCATTGGTATGCTTCACTAAGCAACCAGGTAATTCCGGCAAAGGCCCACCCACCCCACTCTCAATATTGATGCATCCACAGACTGGCAAAGTGGTCATTGTATGGCTAACCGTGGACTCAGATATCCCCCAAACATTTGATTTTGACATGGCTTGTGTGTATTCCTTCATCAAAACAACTTGAACAAGTCCAACAAGTGATGAGACCCGTGGGAGATACGGTTACCATGACATAGCTATATATCCTTCAAAAATCTTAAAAAGTGGTAATAACTAACTAACATATAGCAACATAGCTATATAATCTATATACTTTCAACATAACTAAGACATAACATGGCTCCAATGTCACGGAAGAAATTGGCTCCAAGTCACACCTTTGCCCTTCATCTCGACTGAGCCACGTGACCTGGACGTACAACGGTCCAGCCGAAGATTTGGGTGTTGGGGTTAAATGAAGAACCACCAAAGAAGTGAAACATTGGAAAAAAACCTGGTTTTAACCAGTTAAAATAACATGTTTGGAAAACCAACTGGGTGTAATTTAACCACCATCATGAAACATGGGATGTAACCACCGAAGTTTGGTTTTAACCAGTAAGCACTGGACAATTGTGGGTTTACGAACCAGCCGACATTGGAACTCAACCATGACGACTTCTGCAGTGCTATGATTAGTAGCTTCCCAGAGGCTACTATGGAAATATGGCTATAGTAACCGAAAAAAAAAGAGAGAAACAAAGTGTTTCCAGGATAGTGTTTCCTGATAGTAGATTATTCTAACTTGGACGATTGGGGTTATAGTATGTTTATATGGAATAGTATTATGTTACACTATAGTCACTATAGATAACTAGAATATATTTAATACTATAGTATAATGCAGTCCCATAGAAAATTATTATATCTATAATATACTATATATATACTATAGTACAGTTTATAATATTCTATTAATGTATAGATATCTAGCATAGATTATTCTAACTTCCTCATAGTTCCAGGTTTCCAGCCTGTAGACAACTCCCACGGGCAGTTCTCGTCGCGTCTCTTCACCGAATTGCACTTCGTTGGGAAGGCCCTGCACGGCGCTGCACGATACCAAAAGTGCTGCGTGTTGCGGAAGACACACCCGAAAATGAACACAGTTGGATCATTTATATCCAATTCTAGTTACCTATACTATATATCTATACTATATTATATATATATATGGCGACCATAAAGATCACAAAACAATGATCAATTGACGTCAATTGATATGATGATCGTCTCATGGGGCGATGCTTTGCGGATACGGGGTTTCTGAGTCCGTTTTTCTGATCAATCCACTCTGTTTTCTGATACGGAATTACCACTTAGAATCCAGGGGTTTAAAGTGCAATGATGTTCAATCCCATAGGATCCATGGTGCTGGTATATATATGCTAACATAACTGGGGTATATTGATGGGATCCATGTTACCATATATAGCATACATGGATCCTATGGAATGGTAAAGTCCAATTTTGCCCGTCTCTCAGTGGTGAAATCTAAACTGTTCTCTTGCTTCCACCGGATTCTACCAGTTCGAGGTGCTTATAGATACCTCTTTCAGCATAGGTGGGCGATGAGCATTGGATTCAAAGTACTGCCCCACCAAACTGGATGGTGTCAGAAACAAAATTCAACCAATTGTGCAGATCCATTGGAGCCTCAATGACTTGTGACATACCCTTTTCATGAGGAAATTTTCACACAGGAATCCCTATGTTTCATATGATACACATTCAATCACCAAAATCCCATTAAATCCATGGTGAACTCATCATTTCTCATGGTGAACATCCCCCAGTCGTCGTTGCCCCCGAAACCCGAACCCTGTGCCCACCTTCTGCATCATCCGCGCCGCGGTGTTCACCGTGTCGCCGAACAAGCGGAAGCGCGGCAGCTTGGCACCCACCACACCTGCGATCTCGGTCTTCATAAAAATGGTTAACTATGGTTAATTCGGTTAACTATGGTGAAGTATGGTTAACTATGGTTAATTATGGTTCACACTACAACTATGGTTAACTAGAACTGTAACTATGGTCTAGTATGACTGGTTATTATGGTTAATGGTGAACTGTAACTATATGGTTATAAGTATAACATACTATAACTATGGTTAATTGGGTTGATGACGGTGACAAATCCAACAAAACATAACTTCGGGGAAAAATAATTGTAGGTTTAAGAAATGCTACCATCACTTGGTCCATCGTGCAACCCGCTAGGATTTCAATCTTAGTTCCTCCGTATACTCAAATTTACTTATTCCCGAAAGATACAAGATATTCCCAAACATGGATCTAGATCAAAGACACGGATTTAACACATGAATACCACATGTAATCCTTTTTTTAGACCTAATATTCCTATTTCTCCGCGCGATGGAATTATAGGCTACTACCTATTGCTAAGAACAGTTCTTGTTGCTTATTCATTGCTCTTGACTTTTATCAAACATCCGATCATATCCCCGTAGAATGATGCTATATCTTTGATCTACCCCCGGGGCAGTAACAGTGACTACAAGCCAGGGGCACAAAATGAGCACCAGCCAAATGCAGAAAATAGGGGTCTAATCTGGTGATATGATATGGATAGATCCTTATACCAAATCATACAATGAATCAAGTAGACACAATTGCATATCCGTAATAATAGTCTATATATTATACCAGCCACATTATGATAGAAAATAAGCAAGAATTCGTGGATTGAACCATCCAAATCATGGATTTTTGGTATAGGGATAGAAAAACGTCATAAGTGGTATATCCAACTAAACCAACCATTCACCATGGTTTCCCATGGTTTTCCCATGGTTTTCCCCCGTTAAGGTCTCCCGTGTTCGTCTCGTCGCTTGGCGTTCCCTTGGCACCTGCAATCACCGGACCTGTATGGATGCCCATCTGAAAGACCACCTGGTCAGCCTTCAGCGAAAAAAAAACACGGAGGGGATGCCTTGAATTAAGAAATAATAGACAATTGTATAGAGATATATTGATATAATAGATATTATTGTACTATGATTAATAATTGTACTATTTAATATTATGGATTAGATAATTGTATAGAGATATATTGATATAATAGATAATTGATATAACAAATAATACATATATATATAAATATTATTGATATGTAAATGACAATTATCATATATATATATATATTCATATATCAATATCCCAATGTATTAGATAATTGTACTGTATATCTAATATAGACTAGATTGATGATCGATATACCTGGAGTTAATGTATAGGATTGAGTAGGATATCAATACCCCAATGATAGATGATTAGATAATCTTATAGATATATAAAACTATATCAATCTACAATGGGTGCCTTGATGAATGAACGGATATCCTGTCTTAATGTTGATGATAACTATAGTAGGATATTAATAGGATATTATTTTTGGATACATGCTAATTAAGATGTTTTTTGGAAATCAATATCCCGATAGATGATTATATACAACATTATACAACTATATCAATGTACAATGCTTGGGTGATTGGGTGAAAGAATCCCGTTCGGGATATAACTGTATAGTTGGTGAAAGATCCCAAATGCACCGTAAAATGAAGAATGGTTCGGGGTATTGAAATAGTCCCGATAAGTGATGTTGTGAACATAGAAAACACAGATCATTAAGAATGATTGGGATTGATTAGATGATCATGTTGTGAGAATAGTGAGTGTTTATGATTATACGATAATTTTGGTCATATCAATGATATATATATAATTATAATGATTGGAATATTATATTGGAATATTAGCAATGATTGGGATTAACATCATTATAGTGATACAAAATAATATAAACCCAAAGTGATGTACTCACTTTATCCTTACTGACCTTATAGTCACCATTATCTCATTTGGGTAGATAAGTTGCCCCAAATGGATAATGATAATGAAACTTGGACTTGGAGAATGTTCGTAGAGCAATGTCATGTCATGAAACACCAATCAAATAAATAACTGGTCTCAATCCCACCTATAGAAATGGTAAATTTGGGGATGGTGGATCCTATTGCTGTACTAACATTGATCATAATAATCCCCAACATTTTGATTTGGTAGGTAACATAGGTAAGGGTAATATGTAATCCTCTTGTACTCATCAAGCAGTTTTAGCAGCCACCAGTTGATTCTCAGGTGATGCTGTACCAATACCAATAGCATGACTGACAAACTATCCTGAAGCCTAGTACTGAGAAAACTTCTGCCCCCTCCTTGGCTAAGTCGTGGATTCCCTGCTGTACCCAGTGATCCCAAGATCCGAAACCGTTGGATCCGTTGGTTATCTCAGGATATTGACACTGGTGGGTGTCCTGGAACATCCTGTAACTGTTACTGGTTTAGCCTCTGGTTATGTCAACAGTTTGCTATTGAAAATGACGGAAATAGTGAATTTTCCCATGAAAAATGGTGATTTTCCACAGTTATCTTAGTTTAAGTTGACCCATCCACGGCCATGTTTTTTTTTCGACACGTTCAACTTTCGCAGCATCCCCAGCTGTGTTTAGTTCAGCAGCTGTGGTGAGGTTTCTGGAATAGTCCAACACGTCACCTGCCATCGAGGTACTTGAACAAAAACACCCTAAAACCCAAAACCATGTAGGATATTGATACATTATGAAATAATTATTGATATCAAAATCAGCAGAGCTAATGGTTAGGTGTTTACCCAATTCGTTCCTGTCACGTTCAATATCTTCCAATAAACATCAAATCACTCGTTTGGATCAACCCATTCAAGGATACAAAAAAGACAAAAAATTCGAAACCATCAACGAATCTCAGGGCGGGCCTTCCTCCAAACCTTTTTCCAGTCTTGTTTTTGCCAAAAAGGGCAACACTAATTTATACCATTAGTCCGTATAAATCATTGAATCCAGGATATGTATCCTCTTTATCCATGTAATATTATCCTATAATCAATTATCATTTATATGATCCTATTAATCCAATTTATCTGAATTATCCAAATAAATCATAAGCCATAGAACTTGGGATAACCCACTGATTTATACGGATCATTTCCACTAATCTATATCAACCATTTATTATGGAGTACTAATCCATATAAACTATATATATGGTCATATGGTTGGTGGTTTTTCGCCACCCCTCTGAAAAATATGCGAAAATCAGTTGGGATGATGAGTCCCAATATGTGGAAAGTCATAAAAAATGGTCCAAACCATATACCCATAGGATCCATGTATGGTATATATGGTAACATTTACCATCAATATACCCCCAATGTTAGCATATATACCATACATGGATCCTATGGGATAGATAAAATTAAATGAACCACATGCAATTTTCATCAAGATTTTGGGACTACCTGACACAAAACACCCAAATCTCGCACCTGCTAACTGAACCTCGGTCCGAATGATTTCATGGAAATGTTGTTAAGTCTCCGTTGGACATTGGAAATCGTAGCTTTTTGTGGGATATCTTGGGTACATTGGGATAATTCTTGGGATTATATATGATTATATTATATATATTATGGGGACACTGTATATAATCCGTACCATCATTGATATTCAGCATTGGGATATAGTTCAAGGGATTTCAACCTACGTCATGCTATGTTGAAAACGTGGGAATTGTCCAATCAGCGAATCAAAGTCATGGAATCTGGCAACAGACAGGATCAACAGTTCCAGGTTCCGATCAACACCAATCAACATCCCTGGTTTGATTTCCCATCCATGTGAAACGATGAAGAACCTTGACGTCTACCACGTCATGTGGCGCCATTGGAATCTGGTCCAACATCCTCCCTGTAAAAACCAGGTTTGTAGATCTTGAACCACAGAACTGTCTCGGCCGCTCCAGTTTCACCACTCTGAACATGGTGCATATCCCAATTGACGGCTATCATATTCCCTGGCGGAATTAGGGGGTTACCAATCTGTGAACAGACAAACCCATATCATCAACCCGCCATAAATTATAAATCAGCAATGACTATTCCCATATGTTTGATGGTCAAAACATGGTTTGTGAGTTGTGGTCATCTATTCCATAATGCCCATAATAGGACTCCTTTCCATAGGTATGTAAATCCCTACTAATGGACCGATAACCACCCTCCAATATAGGCAATTTGCCCAAGTATTGACCAATGCCTGGTAAATGGATCTTGATACCCCCAGATATTGTGTTACAGTAGTAGGTTTGACCCATGGCCACCTGTTTGATAACTAATCATAAACCCGTTCACAACTAATAAACCATATAGGGATGGGTCAAGAGTCGAGAGCTATTGGTTACCATTGGCTATGATGTGGATATGATTCCTATTTCAAATTTTAATTCCGGAAGCTATGAGCTTATTGCTCCTATTGGCCATTGGCTATCAAAGTATATAGCTTATCTTTTTTCTTCCAGCTGTCAATGGTTACCAGTAAACTAACGTAGCTATGGATCATGGCCTATTGTTTAGATGGTTTACCTATAAAAGATAGTGTTTGTTTAATAGCAAACTGTTAGTTTACCAGAGGGTATCTATTTTTCTATCATAGTTATCTATAGTTCTATTGCAGTCATCTATACTTCTGTGCTTATTGGTTATCTATATATATATACTGGTTGGTGGTTTCAACCCCTCTGAAAAATATGAAAGTCAGATTGGATCATCATCCCAACTATTGGGGAAAATAAAATTCATGTTCCAAACCACCAACCACTTATTGTTGCGTTAAACAAAAATATACATGTTTTTGAGATTATGGAACTGTTGATGGAATTCCCATGATATATATATATATATACCCATCATATCACCATGAAACGGTGGTTAAATCATCTCTATTTCATTGGCTATATATATATAGATTGCTCCATATATATATAGATAGACTATATAGTTCTCATTTCTATATACAACCAATATATTTCTCTATATATATATAACCAATATCTTTATATATGTAATTTCATTGGTTCCATATATATATATATAATATTAATATGTATAGTTCTCATTGCTCATCGGAGGCGCCAGGCGCATCAGCGTGCGATGCCCTTGGCTCTCGTCCTCCAACTCAAAGGCCTGGTCCGACGGCACGATGCCCACGGCGCACATGTACTCCTGGGACGCACGCGGCACGCGGACGCGATGGGTGAAAGCCATGGGGTTCCCATGGGGATTTAACAGAAAAATCACCGGAAACAACCCAGGATCATCATAGGGATACCGGGATACCTATCAAATTTTATATATTTTATGGGATGTATCTCTAATATTATAATTCTGTATATATATATACGTAACACTTTGTTTATCTGGCGGTTGGAGCTGACCCCCATAGAAAAACATGTTCATGGTGGATCCTCATCGCAAATACCCATGTCCCATTTAGTTCCATGATTTGCGAAGCAAACATGGTGCATGTTTTTTGCCATAGCAAACTGTTACCCTCTGATAAACTAACATAGCTATGGAATATCACCATGTTTATTGGGAAAATCAACTATAAATGGCCATGTTCAATAGCTATGTTAAATTACCAGAGGGTAGTGATGGTAAAATTGGGTATCAAGATTTGAGTACTTGGCACACCTTGAGAGCTCTGTCCAAACACCATCCAACACAGCTGGTACAGTTGCTGGTGTGAATCATGTGCATTAAATTAATGCCTATAAAATGAACTGAGCAATTGAATATGGGACAATTAAAGGGTAACTATCCCAAAATAGCAAACTGTCATCTTTGTAAAATAAAGGCGAAATTTCTCCATCAGAGAAAGACCGCTGGAACTTTGGCTAAGCGGAAGCACCACAGTTGCACTCCATGGGAGATGGACCCTCGGGAATTTACTGGTATATCGGTATATCATCAATGCGGAATGCACTGTCCATCATCGCCACTCATTCTATATCTTCCTTGATCAATTTTCTCGTCTACCCCATTAAAAATCATTAAAATGGTCAAGTCTCGACACGGGTATTTGTCAGTGAAAAAGTTACCACCTGGCAAAAATGGACCACGTTTTATTACTTTGTGATGCATTATCAATTCCAGTCGGAATATCGTCCAAATCATCTATTCCAGTGAAAATGATCAACAATCAATTCCCCACTCAAAATCCCGCGACCAATCATCAATTCCACTGAAAATCAATGAACATCCACTGATCAATCATACTCATGGTATCTTCCTCATTCAAACATATTAAAACATATCTCTTCCCAGTAAAAACCGCCCAAGGAGTTGCCGCTTTTCGTATCTCCACCACGGAAAAAACGACCCCGTCTCCTCGGCTACGGTCTCGATCTTCGTGACGTTGCGGCTGGAACAATAGGAGTCCAGGCGAGAAAAAATGCCTCGAGCAGTGGACTTTTCGTCACGCGAAAACGGCGACGAGAAATTTCGAAACATCAAGGACTGGAAAAAAACCGACACGAGGATCAAGGGACATGGGACTGGGATCTAGTGTGATTTAATATGATTTAATATAATCATTTATATAATGGGATTTACATAATCGAATCTAATGGGAAACATCTAAGATCCTGCTAAATCCCATCAAGAGAATCCAAGGACATGGTATGTAATGTGGATTCAATAAGAATATAAGGGGAAGCGTGATTTTAAGACTTAACCAACCTCAATATGCGAGGCACGAAGCCGTACAACATCACAGTGGTGGCTCACCATTTCGCATTACCCTCTGGTTATGTCAAAATAGCTATTGAAAATGGCGATTTATAGTGGATTTTCCCATTGAAAATGGTGATTTTCCATAGTTATGTAAACGTTTACCAGAGGGTACAGCGTGATATATAGAAGCAAACCCAAAGAGTATCTCCATTCATTTCACGATTTGTTGGTTTAACCAGTTGCTCACTGGGTCTCAAGTTTTCAATTTCATTCTCCCATTTTTTTTGTCCAAGATCCCAACTTTTGTTGAATAACATCCGTTTTTGTCTTGATGATACAGTTATACCCTGAAGATGGTTTTTGTCTTGATACCCTGAACATAGCTATGGAAACAGCCCATTTATAGACCATTCATTTACCATCATTTACCTACAGGATGGGGCCCCAAGACAGCTAAATTGCCTTATATGTAGCTTAACTATGGTTTATGGTAGATACAACTATAGTTAATGGATGTTGGGCTTTATAAACCAATCATAACTGGGGGGCACCATCCTAAATATACTGAAAGTTGATGATTTTCCAGCATCGCCTAAGGTCGGCAGGGGTGAAGACCAAGTGACTGTTCAGTTTCTCCAAGAGATGCGACGGTGACAGCCTGCGATATCATCGCTCTGATCGTTGTCATCAGGATGAGTCGTGGCTTCTTTGAAGTTCTTTGACTCCTATGGATCCCAATATTTATAGGATGATTTATCCCCCAAATACCTTCAAATACCTTCCTTTGGTATTTGGGGGATCAATTTTCAGAGGTGGCCTCCCCATCCGGAGAATCGTTGGAGAATTACCATCCTCTGATCCTCTGGTTATGACATTCACAGTTTGCCATGGAAAGATCCACCATGGCTATTTTCATAGGTAAACCATCTATTTCGATTAGGGCCATCGAAAAACCATGGCGAACTGTTAGTCATAACCAGAGGGTATCCATTATCTTGCCATGTTAGATTTCCATGGGATCCAGCTTCGGCAATGGTGTAACTGAAATCAAGCAAAAAAAAAACAAGCAACGAACCACCCATCACTTAGCTTAACCAGCCTGTGTTTACCGCAGCTATCATATCCCCAGATTAGTTCACACATGTGAGGACATCATCTTCAGTCATTTTCTGGTGTGATGACATAAACCAAACATCTGTGTGCGTGCGTGTGTGCGTGTGTGTGTTTCTCCGTTTTTTACCTGCCAAATGGTTGAGGATTAGTTGATATCCTCATCTCAAAATGGTGTGACATTATATCATATTATCATGTAATGAAGAACCATTTGAACAACATTCATAGGAATTTATAGGGGATTTTGATATTAAAATCTCCATTTATATCTGCAGGAACAGCAGCCCCAATTTTGTACATCGGCGCCTTTGAATCATGTCGTCAAAGTCATTGATCCTTGGCAGGTGACAACCACAGATATAGTCTTGTGGTGATTTTCTTGTGTTGAGAAATGTATAGAAATGTGGATTTCCTACCAAAAAAGTCAGGCTGTTGTTGATTTCTTTTGGAAAACAACATCCCCTAATGAAGGGAAATAAACCAACATAAGTCCATGGGGTGGCAAAAGCATTCAGTTCTCCGCCAGCGAGTCTCTTGATGAAAAGGATGGAGGCTCGCTTCACACTCTCAGAGATGGTCTTTTCCGGACCTAGAAAGGCGCACGCCCAACTCACGAGAGACGAGATGACTCGACATCTCACTAAGCACTTAGTGACTTATTGCTTGGCCATATCTCTATGTAGTCAATGTAGTTGATACTTGGTGGCTCATCCCACTTAGGTAGGGTTAATCCACTTATAATTGGGGTTATAACCCATTTACTAAGTGGGATGAGCCACCAAGTATTACTTCAAGCATATGCTGCCCACCGCAGGTATTCATCCTCTCCACATCCAATCTCCGGCAATTTCATCCATCAGATTCAGTGCTTTTCCATCCACCAGCCCAGCATTTGGTTCCAGACTTTTCAAGATGCGCGTGACCATAAAGGATGGCAACATGAAGGTCAAGATCTGGAACATACCTTGACCGTGTCTGTCGAACACCCGCTTCCCGTGGAGTTGACCATGGCATGCCGAACAGCAGAAAAAATGCTGTGGATCGATCCAACTGTAACCAGAGAACGATGATGTGATGCATCAAAAAGGCTTAATTTTTCAAGATCAAACATGCAAAATTGATTAGTTCCTAGACAAATGCAAACGAACTAAAAAAAATCACTATTGAACGATGCTTCAACCTATCCACCCTCTTTTTGTGTCACCGAGTTTGAGGCCACAAATGTTCCACACCAAACCTCGTATACTTGGTTCAACCACACCCCAAATAACGGAAACCGCCATGTTTTCATGTTGGAATTGCATCAAAGCCATATATTTTTCAGTTCCATCCTTTTAGCCTTGGTCCGGTCCAACGTTCCCAGGTTTCCCCACTCTGGCTCGCTTTCTTCTGTCGCAGCGCCAGCACGAAACCTGGGCGGATTCTAGGAGGGCTTGTCCAGAAAATGGGCCCCAACATCCCGTAGATAATAACAATAATAATAATCATCATCATGGTGATGTTCACCATATGCTGAAAAGAATTGGGCTATATACTGTATCTCCCGTATTTTCCGAAAAGAAAACCATGACAAAACCGGTTTTGACTCGGGTCAGTTTAACTGATCAAAAGCAAATGCGGCCGTGCCACTCACTTGATCTGCCCGCTCCATGTACCATTTCCTGGGATGGGGTCAGTATCTGAGTGAACTCACAAAGTCTTTCAGTGTTTTTTCTTTGGATTCGTTATAATAATATCTATATAAAGTTATATATAAGTATATACTGTGTATACATAAATCACCTGTTTGGATATTATAAACAATCAATGATTCACATTTTGTTTGCAAGTGATATGTACAAACAGGCAACTTTGTTTGTACATATCACTTGCAAAAAAAGTGCCGTCTAATGATCAACTCGAAAATAATTCATGATGACGTACCCAGCTGGTTGCGCTTTTCTACTATATAATTGGAGCAATACAAGAATCCTTGGTAGACCAAGTAGAACAAGCCCATCTCTATCCATTTATGTACATGTAGTACATATGTATTCACAGTAATTATACATAATGACATGACTATCAAACATGTTCAAATGATTTTTCATTGGTTTATGATGGTTTATGATGGTTTATGATGGTTTATGATGGTTTATGATGGTTTATGTCTCTTACATATGCATATGCATAGACAATCATATGGGTCGACAAACACTTAGAACATCATTTGGAAAATGCTCCTCCAACATTTAATAGGGTAGATGTTCTAAGTGTGAAGTCGGGGAACCACACTTAGAACATTGCCCCAAAATCCACACTTAGAACATCAATTTGTACATGATGATGTTCTAAGTGTTTGTCCACTATACTAAAAGTAATGGAAAAAGGCTGGGTGAGTATAGGAATGTTTCAAACCAGTTATTTAAGCTTTGATGTGCGTAGAAAAGAATGTGTGGCACAAACCATATTTTCAGTGATGACTCCAGTGTCAAAAAAGAATACCAAAACCATTGCCGGAAAGACACTTAGAACATCAGACCACCTTTTCCCCTGTCAAAATGCATGTTTTATGTGTTGATTTTCTAAGTGAGGTGTTTCTTGATTTCTGATGTTCTAAGTGGTGCACTTAGAACATTCCCATCTTGATTTTTGTGATGTTCTAAGTGTATGTGTGTGGGGGGGGTGTCGGCGCATTTGGAAAACGTTTGATGTTCTAAATATATGTCGACACATATAATAGGTAATAGAATAGAGAATTTACACAGGTAGTTTTACATTACATATATATATATATATCTATTATATACATTAGAGTTACTATATATTACATAGAGAATTTCTTCAACATAACCGCGACCGAAACAGCCCAAATGAATCACTCCGCTGTCCTGTGTCGTGCTGCTTCATTGACCAGGAAGAGGAAGACCAGGCCTCTGGGACCCGAGACCCTGAACTTTGGAAAAAAAAACAGCTGTTTTTGGGAAAAATAAACATGGTTGAATATATATGTATATATGGGGAATAGACCTCAAATATATGGTATTTACCCCATATATGGTTGCGTAGACCTCAAAATCTACGAAGAGGATATACGATGTGTGACTTTGTGATGTAATGCTTGTTTCAGGGAAGTATGGGGTTATATAATGGACCTTGAAAACAACCAAAAAGTCATCAGGTCCCATCCTATTCATCAAACTCAGTATACAAGGAGGTTATGATATGTTATGATGTGAGATTGGGGCTGAGGATTAATTTCACCCAATCAATCTCGCGAAAATCTTGCCAGAATCCAAAGGCTATTCCGCTTCGGAGGTCACATTGGAGAGCCGGGTCTAGTTGGCCTCCAAAATTTGTCTGCCCAGAACTGATCATTGCTGATCTTTACCCTCTGATCTCTGGTAAACGAACACTTTGCGAACTGGAAAATCACCATCTTTAAGTTCGGTAAATCAACGATTTCAATGGGCCATGTTCAACAGCCAGATGCTCCATGGTGCTGGAATATTTACCTACATAACTGGGCCATAAAATTGGGGTAAATGTAGGTATATATTCCAGCACCATTCTTTCGCATTTGGGATAGCCATGTTAGTCATTACCAGAGGGTGGCTCCGGCCATCTCCGGCCATCCCTGGCCTATGATCACGTCGAAGTAGGCGTGATATCCTTGGGGAAAACGGCGCTCGGAAACCACGACATCCCACTGGCGGGGGAAACTCAACATCCGACGGAAAGGGATGTTAAGAACCCCTATAAAAATTATAAAACCAGGGAAAAAAGAGTTACCTTTGGGGTTTGTTGCTTCCGTCTCTGGGTTTAATGATTGTTTATCATCAGTAAGAGTCAAATGACCTACACCAACCGCCTTTCTGTGGCGTCAAATGTGGTTCCCTGGACCCTGCGATCATTTGGGATATGCTGAGTCTGGGTCAAAGTCGGGGTGCCCCGAAGAATGGATGGTTTCCAATGGTTTACTGCGAAAACTCTGATCATGGCTGATCCATAGCAGTCTGATATTCCATGATCTTTGCTGCGTTCTTTGATGAACTTGTGCAAAAGACATGTTTTTCCTGGCTGCTCAGCGTTAGATGGATTTATGGACATTATGGAATGACATGTTCCTAAGACATGTTCCCATTTAGATGGATTGATGGCAAACGCTTAAATTAGTGACTACACATCCCTTGGGGGTTGACCACTAAATCCACCATCTCCAAACACACCCAGGGCACGTTGATTTGGCGTCTTCACGAGCTGATGAATCGCCAACATCGCTACCTGCGAAGCAACACAAATCTACCACTTGGGGGGTTCCTGGAAAGGGGATATCCCAACTCAGTTAAATGGATGAGAACCCCCATTTCAGGAAACCTCCATATCAACCAGTTCAAATTGTAGAAACCCGCCACAAAATGGAGAAATTTGACAAATCCCAGTCCAATAGATAGTGCTACGCCTGCTGATTTTTTTCATGATCAATTCACCCCGAGCAATCGCGGCTCGCAGCAAAAATCGGAGGTTGATATGAGTTGATTGAAACCAGCCAGTGGAGATATGGATTTGTCCCAAAAATCCAGCGCCAAATCTTTCCCAAAAGCAAGTTGTTCCCATTGAAGTTGAAGGGCATCCATTCCCAGACCGGCCAAGTGCTGAATTTGAAGCCAAGCAGCCACATAGTACAGGCCCTTAGGTCAGGAACCAAATCTGGTGTCGTTTGAATAGGAAATTCTTGCCCCGACCAACGGCTCCATATATTTCTATACTGTTCATTCCAGCCGAAAAAGGGCAAATTCCACACATGGAATTGACTTTTGGAATTTTCTTTTTGGGCTTGGCCCGTGCGGATTTCAAGAGACTTGAAAATCAGTATCAAAAGCCAACAGCAGCAGATTGTTTAACCGATCTGCCCGGTAAGGACATTTATGATTCTTGGGGATGTTTTCCCAGCTGCTAGGACGTGTACCGGGAAGAAAATCCTTCCGCTTCGCCTCAAACTTTGCTAAAAAACCAATCTTATGGCGATTTTAATATGCAAATCGTGATGAACCGCTGGATTCTTAGAAAAACTATGTATATCCCATTGTATCACCGTTATGTTATGGTTTGCACCCCCTTTTCTATCGGTTATACCTTCATTATATCCACCATTGTTTATTTTTTCCATCAGTTCAACATACCATTTCGGAGGCTTCCAAGTGATGGTCAAATCCAGAAAAACTTCCAAGTGATCCACCATCTTCCAAGTTTCATTGGACTCCCCCAAAATCACCCATGGTTTTTGTCTAACTCTTCCGTCCCATTTGGGATTGAAAAACCCATTGGATTCCAATGGAATCCCGATTGAATCACTCAAATCCTCGCGAAAATGTTGGTGTTGAAAAAATCACCCATTTTGATGAGACTTCAAACCATGTCCTCATAAAATCATGATTCTATCCCCAGCATTTTCAGTTAACATAGTTAAAATGTCCATCATCCATGAAAATCATGGAGACTTTTTTATGGGAATCCCTAAGTCTTCAGGACACGGTGCCCCAGCGCTGTGACAAAAACTTACGCCACGGCTCCGTCAAACTCCAAAGGAAGCCCCGCATCTTGCTGCACTCCGGGACCACGGCTGGGGACAGCATCACCAATCTGCCGCCCACCCGTCGTCGTTTTTTTTTTGGATCAAACGACCACACAGTGTGGATATGATGGATATGATTTTGTGGGAATCAACTGAAATCAGGTTGGAGGAAAATGGATGAAAATATGATGATCTATTGGGATGTGATATATATATATATATGTATATATATGTATATATATGTATATACATTGGTAGGTAGGATACAATGATGTGTGTGTCCAACAACATGATTTTGGTTTTCTGAAAATGCTGGGAAACCGCCGAAGTTCTATGGCTTAAAAATTAATGTCCGCGAGCGAATACTTTTTGAGGTTGAATTTAAGTGCTGGGATAAAATAGTGGATTTAAGATCAATGATCTAACATGATTTAATCCAAAAATTGGAAGTTCTTTGATTTTGGCATCAAATAACCATCAAAGAAGGTAGGTTTATATAACTGTGATGTTACCATTGCCATCATGAGTTTTAAACAACAAACAATGTTGCTATAGTGTCATCTTATGAGGATATAATGGGATATGATGGGGTACAATGGGATGTAACCAACAAAATGATATGGATGCGTCTGATAATGGGATATACCCCAAGCTACTTGTAAGTATCAACGTGTTAATAGGAAAATGACACTCACCCAAGGGATTTTGGGGACCCTAGTAGCCCTAGGCCCTATTTTAAGACAAATTCAAATCAGCAAGGCAGTCTGATTGATGGTTTCAACAAAAATGTGTCGGATGTAATGTTGATATATCAATCTAATCCAATAATTGATATTAGAATTTCCCGGAATTTCAATGTTGAGATGGCTTCCAATGATCTAATGAAACACCAACAAGAAAAGAAAGTGAAACAGTTCGAAACGGTTCAATACAACGTGAACTTCATGGTGGTTGAAATCATCGAGCAACTCCAATTAGATTTTCATAGCCTTGCACTTCAAAATTCGATGTAACATCTGAGATTTTGCAGACTATCCCCCCAAACATGTTGCTGGAATCATGTATATGTGATATACATATATATATATATATACATTTACAGTATATGTATATATATATATATATATGTTTCTATATTTATACCAGTGAAACATTGGCGGGTCCCAGTTGTGGTGGCACTTGTCGGAGTTTTTGCGATCAGAGGGACGCCATGTCTTTGTTCAGCAGGAAAAAACCCAAGTTTCGGCACCTTGGACAAGAGATGAGCTGAAGTTGACATGGTGTTGGTAACCATGCGGCACCAAAGATTACAGGAAAATATTGGGATAAATGGATGTTAGTACATGATCAATCATACATGTGTATACATACATACATATATATATATATATATATATGTTATACATAATATGTTCTTCCCCTGCAGGCGAAAGCTGTCGCTATGGCGAACAAAACGCTTGCGCTTCGAAGCCTCACCATTTCAGCGCTTCGAAAGGTCTCCGCAGAGCTGAAACAAAACCTATTTCCGCCCTCAGAATTCAACCTATACAAAAATTTCTGGAAAAAACTGAAAGGTCAGAATTCAAGCAACAATAAATGCATTTGTTGCAAATAATAATATACTCTATACATATATATATAAAAGATAGATATAGGAATAATAATATCTACATTTCGACAATGGCCTGCCCCTCCAATTTTTGTTGCTAAGCTTCTCTGGAATAAGGTCCTTGGTGGGAGCCCGGTGAGGGAGCCCCGGCAAGTTTTGAAGCAAACAGGAAATTCGCAACTCCAGAAAAAAACAACAACAAAGCTTGCAAATGCTGGTTAACAATGATTGAGTACAATGGTTAATGGTTGTTAATCGCTTAAACTGAAGTTATGTTTGTTGGTTTACAAACCCATCCAACTATATATTATATATACATATACATAGTGTGCCATAAACCATCTGGTAGACCTGGCACAATAAATCAGCAAACAAAAAAATAAGGGGCCCAACATTGTACCTGGTACTTCGCCGAAAAATTGGACGCAGTTCCAGGTCTTTTTGATGCTCAAAAGGTGGTGTATCCCCTCCCAGGGAACTACAGGTGAAAAAGCAACCCCAAGCACCCCGTCCCGTAGTCCCAGCATTGGTTTAAGGAAAGATTTGAGGACGCCATATTTGGCTAGTAAAAGCATTTCTTGTAGATAATCCCTTAAACCAACCGAGCGAGGTAGGGATACAGCCATGCGTAGACACTTGAAGGCCCATTGGTGATGGCAATTGATGGTGAATTGCCAGTGATTTCAATGGAAAGACACAATAAATAATTTACCCATGGCTACAAAATATTGGGAAACCATGCTTGCTGCTGAAATTATCATTTAGTATTCATTTAGTCTAAGTTTAACTTCCAGTTGTTGTTAGTTAACATGTGCTTCTTTCTCGTGCCTCTACAATGTGGTTCTCCCCAGGTAGAAGTTGGTTTATAACTATGGCTACAATCATATAAGCCAACTTATGTGATATCATAGCTATAAGTTTATAACCAACTAAGATACCATCTATAACTTATGGTGTCATATATATATTCACATATAAATATGGTTCATCTATAGCTATAGTTCTAAAATCAACGAACAAATAGGGGGCACCAGCTAAACCACCGCCAGTGACGTCGGGCATCTAAGATCTGATCCTCACGTCCGATTCCGCCACAGTTTAAGGCGCGCTCGGCCAGTGAACAATGAGCACCCACGGGGTACATATACCTTGGCTTAATGGATTGAGTTCCCTACGAAGTGAGGTGTCCGGGACACAAAAACACCTTGTGTTTGTTGGTTTATGACCTCATCTACTGGTGTTTTCATGGTGTTTTCATGGCATTTAATAGGCTAAGTTGGTTGATAACCTCACCGAACTAGATCAAGATATCCCACCCCAGTTACAAACCAAGTTATATAGCTATTTTTGGGGGGCAGACGGTGGATCCAAACACTTCCTCACTTGACCACCTGTTCTGAACATGCCGCAAACACTCCCAAAAAGTGTTACCTTTGGATCCATTGGGGTTGAGGACCTGTAATTTTGCCCTCTAATTTCCAGGATTGGGCGAGCTGACCATGGCAAAGCTGAAGTAAAAAATCCTGAAATGACGACCAATCAATGGGCTTGGAATTATATTTAATAACCCTCTAACAGTTAACAACGATATAACAATAACAATGTATTGTATGTATATATATATAATATACTGTATATACATCAACCAGGGGTTGTTAACTGTTAACATGGCGTTGAATATCATCTAACAGTTAACAAAGATGTTGGACGGGTGAGAACTCTCCACGACCCAGCGTGTTTTTTCGACATCCGCCTTGGACGAACAACTCCAGAAATGTCAGGCCGCCCATGCCATGAACATGTCAGGGGGGGCCATATCAAATACCCCATTACAATAAACCATTACAATAGTTGATGGACTATAGTATTTGATGGACTATGGATTATAGTAGTCGATTCCGATTATAGTGATGTGGGTAAAACAATGCCATAAACCATCCCCCAGTCATCACCATAAATATATAGGTGCTATGGTTACCATTCCCAAATGGATGGTTCATGACAGTGTTTTACCCATATGAATAGTTATAGTCCATCAACAACCCCAGCAAAATCTAGAGGAAACTTGCTCATCTCCTGCAAGGCATCTCTCAGATCAAGTGAACCAAGGTTTGTACGCTCTTCACTCTTGTTTTGACTCATGGATTACCCCTGGATTAACTGTGGGCTATCACTATGGTGGGTAAAATATATCCTTTGACTTCCAGAGTTAATAGCTGGTGCAATAAATTGAAAAATCTCAAACAATTCCCACCAAAAAATCATCAAACCTATTCAAAAACTGAGAATTCCATGCAAAAAAAACATCAAACACATCACAGAAACATGTGTTTTTCGGATATCCATGGATATGCAAAAAAGATCCCATTAAAACGGAGGCGCATCACCCAAATCTTCACGTAGATGATTCCCAGCACCACCTGCGACCGGGAGGAACATTGAACGGGGGGAATCTCACAATTTCATGTATTGATTGAATTGAATTAATTGTTACATTGTGAGAATTAGAATTACAAATTATCAATTATATCATATTATATCATAAGAATTGTATGCATTCATTACATTATCTATAGATTGATAGAACCACATATATAGATTCATTGATACGTGTATATGTATATACATTGAGAAGTGTATATCTGTATATCTATAGATTTGATACATGCTAGTTTTATTACATGGGGATGTAAACGAATGAAGAAGTGGACCCAACCAAGTCTCAAGCATTTGACCCCAAAAACATGGGGACAACAGACCTAAGTTCATAAGCACGGCTTTCGGCCCCCGCAGGCGCACCAAATAGATTCGCCGACGCATGTTGGTGTCCTCCCAAGTCTCGAGATGTTTATGGGGAGTGCCGGGATTTTTCTGCTGGTTTAACGGTTTTAACGTGGCCAAATCAATTGGGGAACAAACATGGGATCATACACCAGATCTATTGGTAATCCCATCCTTTCAAAACAAACCTAGCTGAACCCAGCTGTACAATGGCTGTGACTTCCTCCCAGGTCCAAATCAAACACCCGTTGGGAGCTGAATTTCTGCGTGAAGTCCGATACTATAAATGGATTGAAACGATGGTTATTAGCCACCTGGTTGGTGGTTTTAATCATCTTGAAACATATTAGTCAATGGGAAGGATTATCCCATATATTATGGAAAATAAAAAATGTTTGAAACCACCAACTAGTATGTGTTTCAGTTTGCATTTAGCTGTGCATTTTTTTGGGGTATCACTTTTTCCTTGACCACCTGATACCACTGGTACCCTCACTATGAAAGAAATATGTGGATGCCAAGTCTTGGTGAAATTCAACAAACCAAAACTTTCGATCAGCAAAACAACCAGCTTCCAATAGATCTTCTTACAAAACTATCATATTTCGTATGGGTATTTCGCATGGTCAAGCCATTGGATACAGTTCCAATGATTTCCAGGATCTGCAACAGGTCCTTGTGACTGGTTCCCCAGAAGCAGTAGAACAGCACTGGTACGACCACCAACAAATAGAGCACGTCGACCTCACAAACGTCAGATGTAGCCGCTAAGGAAGTGCTGAGTCCAACTCTTACTTCCAAAATCCTCGAGTTTTCAGCAAGTCCAAAATTTCTTCCAACTCAAACCAAACAAAAATCGATATAGTCTATAGTGACACCCACCATTTGCCACGTCCTTTACCCTCTGGTAAACTAACATAGCTACTGAAAATTGCCATTTATAGTGAGTTTTCCCATTGAAAATGGTGACTTTCCATAGCTATGTTAAATTACCAGAGGGTAATGATGGTATAATGTATGGTTACCATTCCAATTTGCCACGTCCTTTAATAAAAAACAACACGGTTAGTCTCCGCGGCCAGCTCTCCGGGCGCCCGGGGAAACGTCAAGTGGCGAGGACTCGGATGAGACCTCCATTGATCTCCACCAGGAGATACACCACGCCGCATCCGTGGTTCGTTTCACCTCACAGATGAAGTTTTTGAAGATTCAAAAGCCCATCAAATGTTGGATACATAATATCATTATCTACATATCCTGATATAAATGATATGCATTCAATATTATTTCTCATATATATATATATATATTATATATATCATGGTATATATATATGAATAGTTTGAATATTTTGAATATTATTATACTGCCTAGATACAAATATATTCATGATTTGATGTCTATCATTCATGATACATATATTATGATATATCATATATCATGATATAAATGAATATTATTAGATCCATGATAGACATCAGATATTATGAACGAGACTGCTGGATCAAACTTTGAAACACTAAGATAAAGACTGAATGCATTCCTCTTGCAAAGGACAATCAGGAGAGGTTGTGCTTTCGCTGGTGAACCCCAACCCCAAATGGCAGAACCAAGCGGCAAATTTCATTGCAAGAGTCTGGCTTGTGGAAACTTGCAAGCCTCAATGGCAACCAACCCCCTTTTCTAAACGGACACAGACTGTGCACCACTAATTCAAGTTCTAGCCAAGCTACATCAAAGGACAACTGTTCTTACCCTAAGGATCCATGTATGGAATATTTACCTACATTGGGATTATTTAAAATTACTTTAGGGGTCAATGTAGGTAAATATTCCATACATGGATCCTCTGGGTTAATGTTGTGTCGTTTCCAATAACTGTTACAAGGCTTCGTTACGAAGATCTGGATCACACTAAGTCGGCAATACGAGTGTGACTAAAAAACCAGCGATAGCTGATAGCTGTTCTGCAGAGGACATCGAGAGTGGGTTCCGAACCACTGGATGGTTAATGATGGTTAATAATATATCTATAATGGGATTTTGTTATGGGATAATCAGAAAAATAATGGGATTATATATCATAATAGTGGTTATAATACCCATAATACCTAATAGATAACTGCTTGGTGGTTTCAATCATTTCAATCCCTCTGAAAAATATATGACTTCTTCAGTTGGGATGATGACATTCCCAATATATGGAAACAAAGAGTTCCAAACCACCAGCCAGATAAAGAGATGTCTCAGCGTTGTTCCTATGGCCCAAAGGAAGAGAAGGAGACGGCAGCCAAGCGGCAATATCGCAATAACGACATAGGAAAGAGAAAACGTCGCCTGGGTTCAGCAATTTCTGACGACAGTATTGTTGCCAGCTTCCAAACCCATCTGACTAGTTTTCCGGGTTGCAAAAGAAAATCCGCAGACATATAGTCCAAAAAAAACTAAATGAACGAACCACATTCATGTTGTTTTCAGTGCCATACATTCTTGGGGCTTCGATCCCTTTGAACTAGAGGTACATCAGGGTCCAGCCAAGAATGTGTAAACTCGCTTGGTTGATTCGTAGGGGTATGCAACAGTGCAAATCAGCATGTCATGAGCCAAACCCTCTCCCTCCAATCAACTTACATGGCCAGGGCTAAACAAGAAAAACGTAAAATAAAGCCAAAATCTCAAGGAAAAGCAATCTTCAAACAAATCTGGAAGCCCATCTGGGATGTGATTCAGGGAGCTCTACCAACAAAAAAACATTTGTGCATATATGTATATATATATATATGTATATGCCCAGTAGATCCCCCAGTCATCGTGAATTTACCATTGGGAAAAACAGTTTAAACAAAAAAAACATCGTCTCATCAATCCAAGCAATCTTGGCAGCTGGTATCCTTGCAAGGTGGGGTCCCCCAGTCATGTTTGTTACTTTATAAACCCTATGAATTGTAGGTATATTTGCCATATACCATAGTGAAATTGGACTTATATTCACCAACTTATGGTAGTTATAAATTCAACCTTATCCAGCTCTTGAAATCATGTTCACCAATCCTATGAAAATAGGGGTGTCTCAAATGGGGGATCTCCAAGTCACCATGGTTGTTTCAGTACGAAGTTGTGGTGGTTAATGACTTGGATGACTTGGGGTACCCCGGGAGTACCCCCATTAGGAAAATTCCACCCATCCCCTCTGGCAAACTAAGATAACTATGGAAATCACTTTTTGTTATGTATAGGGTATATCAACTATTTCTATGCTTCGTTTTCAATAGCTTTTTCTATGTTTACCAGGCCGGGTACTACAGTTCTATAAAGCCAGGAGACCAGGTTCAGAGCCAACAGCAGCTTGGCTCCGAGCACAATGTTCCGACGGTCCAACACCTTTTTTTTGCGAAGCCGGTTCTGAACAAAGCTATGTCCTTTTAAGGTAAAAATAAAAAGGGGCCGGTATAATAGTATACCATAGTATACCATCTATCAACCAATGGGAAAAAGGACATCTATGGTGCTGAACAGGTATTGAATCAGGAAATCTTTAACACCAACAATGAGAGAAACATATAGCAGGAAAGAATGACATGAACAATAATAGACAATAAAATGAACAACAACCTCTCCTGACCAATAATCACTGATAACCATAACTTGTTGCAAAAATAGCTGACAAGCAATAAGTTGTGAGAGAACAACGTTAAACGAGATGTGCAACCAACAAGTTAAAACTGGTTGGTCAACATGGATATATTCAGCCATAAGTGGGGAAAACCAACTATGAAGTGGAATTTAACCAAGAATCAAACAAGAATAGACAGAAGTTTAACGGATTAACCAACAAACTTAAAATGGATTATTTTCGGTGGCCAAAACAAGTTACGGAAGACAATGATTGCTGGAAGGGACGCAGGGATGACCATCGTTATATAAGGGACCCTATCTGCCCGTTTTCTCATACCGCATGCCATCCTAAAAAATCCAGACCCCAAGGAGTTGATAAAAACGTGGGACAAAGAGTGAGGCCTTTCACCCAGTGGGGTGTTTCGTGGTGCATCTGTTGAATCTGTTGATCAAAGACAGATACATGTTGATTTTACATCCTCTCTGGTTGGTGGTTGAGCCCTACCCCGCTGAACAATATGAAAGTCAGTTGGGATTATTATTCCCAATATATGGAAGAATAAAACATGTTCCAAACCACCAACCAGATCTGTTTCTACATCTGTCAACGGAATGAATGTATTCCGCCTCGCTTTGGAAGCGGAAACTCTCGGGCATGTGCGACAGCAGCTGGTCGGTGTAGCTGGTGGCAGCCTCATGGGTCAAAATGATGCAACCAAAATCAGGCACCAAAAACCGATGAATATCATTATGTGTTGTTATTCTTCATATCATCATAAATTATCTCAATATATTATAATATATATTCATGTATCATGCCACATCACTATATCAACAAATCAACAACCAAATCCATTTCGGGGTCTTGTGACCCGGAGGTCATGGGTCACATAGGTGGTACCCTGGTACCCTCCAGTTCACCCCCATAAATTTCGCCCAGCGGCGCGGCGGGCATCTCGACTTTGCCAAATGCCCCAGCGCCATGTCCTGGTCGGTTTTATCCTATGAAAAGATGTGGAAAACCCATGGGAAATCCTACTCAAATGATCTACATTCATGGTGGGTAAACTCCACAACTGGTTCGAACCTTTCCAGGAAGGTATCTGATACATTGAAACCATGTGCAGCTTATCGCACTTTGTAGCCTAAACAGATACAAAGAATTGCTGGTCTTGCTGGTCATTTCTCGTAGGTGCTGGGATTCTCCTATTGGTCCCATCAGTTTTGAACAGGAAATGAAGCAGCTTATCACACTGGATAAAAGATGCTGTAATAACACAAGTTTCATCAGCATCTTTCATAATCAATCTATGTCCATCCCTATGATCACATTATTATTATGTTTTACATATTCCCTAGGGCCCTAGGATTTCCCCATAAGTTTGTTTGTTACATTGTATATATAAAAACATATCCATAGAATTCCCCATTGTTGTTTGTTACATGATATATATATATATAATATATATATATTATCATATCCCCAGAATTTTCCACAAGTCATATGATAAATTCTAGGGATATGAGTTTTTGGGCTACTGATAAATTCTATAGGGATATTCCATATCATTCATGGGGAAACGTCGTTGAAACCCCCAAGGAATTTTCGCGAAACGACGGCCGAAACGCTGCCCAAATCCGGGTGCCGCCCACGGCACTGATCCAAGGTCTTCCGGACGGGCTTCGTCAGAGAGTCCGACGAGCCGGAGTCCTCCTGGCGCTGTGCACGACATGAGATGGGAATTTTGTAGATTTTTTTTTCAAAAAAAAAAGGGAATTGTACAGTTAAACTAATAAAACAATGGAAACTAGCAGAAAAATATGAAAATTTAAAATATTTTTTAATGGAAATATGACATTTAACAATAAAACATAGCTATTGAATGGCCTTTTTAAAATAGTTGATTTACCGAACTTCAAGATGGTGGATCTTTCCAGTTCGCAAAGTGTAAACGTTGACCAGGCCGGGTATGGGATTATAAAACACCATGGAATCTGACCATGGGATGAGGATCTAGGGATCTCCGAAATCCGATGTTTTCAGGGCTGCCTATGGCTGTCAACATTGATGACCATCCCCGAGCAATCACGCTTTATGGGGGGGCAAGCAAGTCAGAGAAAAAATGAGGGGGTTATACATGGTTATACTGAGGTGAAACGTCGAATCTATGGACTGGTGGGGTTAACTTGGTTAACTAGCAAATGTCTGGGAAACTCACTGACTCATGAAACTCGGGGTGGAGATACACCCTGGGAAATCAGCAACAAAACATCGTGGAGGGACACTGTAGCACAAGCCGTGTTTTTTTTCCACACTGGAAACTAATATGGACCCTCCCAAACAATCATGACAATCATATATATATATATTGTATATATATATATATATATATATCAGGATTGCAAACTATGGTCACCAAAGTTTTGATATTTGCGTGACCAAAGCTGGAACATCCACCAACATCAGGAAATAACTTCTCCTCGGCACTGGAAGGTCTCTGAAAACATCACGACGGGAACCCCCGTCCCTCGTCCCTCGTCCTCGCTGGTGCTCTTTTCATCATCACCTGGACGGTGTCCAAACCCAGTGGCAGTCACCCAGAAAAAACTTGGCGACCCAACAGCGGAAGATGCGGGCCATCCAAAAATCACCATCTATGGGATGAAGAACACCATGAGAAGCATGTGTTAGGCAATGTTTTCTGCACATGTTTCAAACCCATCGACATCAAAAATGGAGTTGGAAATCCGTGTTCATTTCATCCACCTCCTCATCATCATCACGATCATCAGCAGCACTTCTTGCTTCTGCCATGGTTTCTGTTCTATTTCCCGGTTTATCATCATTAACCGTATGAAAAATTAACCCATCTTCAAGCACACTCGAAAACATATCAACTTGGAGATCTGGTTAGTTATATCACGATAACTATCATACATATTATATTATACTATACATACATTGGTTAGTCACATCATGAAAGTTATCTACCTGTTATTGTATATGATATACAGTTTATTGTACATTATTGTACATAGACACATAGATGGAGGTTTCAAAATGGAAATACCCCAGTGGATCATCCATTTTAATCTGGTGGTTTCAACCCCTCTGAAAAAATATGCTCGACAAATGGGAGTATATTATTCCCAATAGATGGAAAAAAAGATGTTCCAAAGCACCAACCAGTTATACTATCTATATCTATCTATTGAATACATCCATTGAATTACATCCATTTTTTATGGATGATTATCCATTGGATCATCCATTTATAGAATTTTATAGATGGTATTTTCCATTCAATGGATGATAGTATAGATATGGATGATCATTAAATAGATATGGATGATCTATAAATGGATGATATCATATAATATATCCATGATCATTATATTATCATCCATTTATAGATGGTAAACTAACCATGAACGAACCATTGGATCGATGAGCCACTCTCCGAGGCCGATGAACTCGGTGGGTGCCGGAAGGTCACGATGCCTCGGGGTGGTTGGAACGGGTGGAGGATGAGTTTAATGTTGGTTATGTTAGGGAATGTTAGGGCCTACTTAGTATGAGTTAGTTCTAGTAGATTTGTAATATAGTTTGGTTTGTTAACTCCACTAGCAGCTAGTTAACGAGTTAGTAAATGGATTATGGCAATTGGCAATATAGTGCAAAATCACCCACTTACTAACCAGGAATCGCGTCTTTCCCATGGCCCATCTAAGTGTGTTTTTTAAACCATCTGCTTGATTAGTGGATGTATACAATGGGATCTCCGTCTTTCGGGAAAACATGTACATTTTTTCTGATCAAATGGGGTGGTTTGGGTGTGGCTGAAAAAAAAAAACAATCTTATGGCAATCAACATTGGGAAAGTTATGATAACCCATCAATTTTGGAACATTTTGGAACCCTCTTTTCAGACAAACAAACCCCCATCAACTGTTCAGCCGCTGTTCCATATGATTTTTTGGGGATGAAGGCAATCTTAGTATGATTACCCTCTGGTAAACGTTTACAGTTTGCGAACTGGAAAATCACCATCTTTAAGTTCGGTAAATCAACGATTTCAATGGGCCATTTTCAATAGCGAACTGTTAGTCATTACCAGAGGGTAATTTGGGATGAATCAATACCTATGGGACACAAATGATACGCAAAAAAAACACCGAGAGAGAAACTTGTTGTGGTGTATTTCATCCAACTTTGTTTGGGTCACCACCATCCCTGCACATTGTTATAGGTCAAAGATCAAGACCCTGACACCTACAGATCTACATCTGTATTTGATTGCATTTGTATATCTACGGGAATATCTGCATGTGTAACAGTGTAAACATATGTAAACATATTGAATATCACATATAATATACATATGAATATAATTCATATTATCTATCATAGAATGAGATATGTATAAGTCACATCGACTCTATGTATATATATATAGATACATGTATTTATTTGATTTACACATTCAACGACTAATTATTGATATTTATTGATATACTATATATATGTTGAATTATATTGGATATTATATATACTATCTATAATGTGAGTAAATTAATAATTCAGCGCCCATGACTGGCAACCATACCACCTATATATTTATGGTGATGACTGGGGAATGGTGCAAATGGCATTGTTTTACCTGTATTATACTATAATGGGAATCGACTACTATAATCCATAGATATCCATAGTCCATCCAATACTATAGTCCATCAACTATTGCAATATTGGAATGGTAGTAGATAGGTGGTATGGTTACCATCCATAGGTATCCATAGTCCATGGATATACCATAGTTTATTGTAGTTTATTGGAATGGTAACCATACATTATACTATCTATAACACTCTGGTAATTTAACATAACTATGGAAAATCACCATAGAAATAGTGAATGTTCCCATTAAGAATGGGGATTTTCCATAGTTCTGTAACAAAAATAACCAGAGGCTACATCTATATACAATATTAAAATCATGTGGGTAAATAATTAAAAAAAGCGCCCATGACTGGGAATGGTAACCATACCACCTATCTATGCTACATCCCATCCATCACAGAGTCACAGATCTCCCCCCACTTGACCATCACGGCACCCGTGGTCGGCACCAGCGACGAACCGTGCATCGTTTTTGAAGCATGGTGGTGAGAGTTCCCCACCGCAGTCGCGTCAGGACGCGTTTTGTGTAAAGAACGAAAGCTGGAGGTCTGAGTGGATGGCTTTTCTCGCACAAAAACTGGTGATTCTTGATGAAATCGAGGTGATATGCCAATGTTTTTTGTGAGTTTCGGTACATTACTACGGAATTCTAAGGCTCTAAGCTTTTCAAACATGCACGTTCGAATGCACGTTCGAATCTGGATTTTGAGAATATCCTGACTTTCCAGGACCGGGGAGTGGGGAGTAGTGATGAGTAGTGGCTGGCGTAAAGACGACTTGAGACTAAAAAACAGCTGTGGAATTGGAGAGGTGGCAACCCAAGGGCTTTCTCATGTTTCTCCAAAGAAAATGGGGGTAAGCCATCTTGAAACTGCTGGTGATGATTCTCCACCCTACTTAGTTGATCAAGATGCAGAGGTTCCAGGGTCTGGTGGTTTCAAGCCTTGCCCAGAAACGTATGGACATATGAGTCAAATGGAATGAGCATCATCATCATCATCATCATCATGAATAATAGTAATAGTAATAACAGTAATGGTGATTAAACAATAATAGTAATGGTGATTAAACAACAGTAGTAATATTTGTTGATAACAGTATTACAGTAACAATAATACTAATAATCATATATAATCATCATGATCATGACAGCTAAAATCATGGTCCTTTTGAAAACATGAAAAACCTGCGGTAAAAAAAGTGTCGTCCTCCATCCATCCCCTGCAGGAATGGTCCTCCATTTCCACCATACCTGGAGGGACAACCACCTCGCAGCTGATCAACGGGATGACAGCTTCAGCTGATGGTTAGTATTGGCTGGGAATGCAAATCACAACGGTTAGGAATGCTGAAAACAATGGTTAGATAATGTTGAATAAACTCTGGCTTCCTAAGGTCGATGATTCTGTACGATTATGATATTTAACAAGGATTGATAACGACGAGATAGACATCAACCTTATCAATCTTACTAATCATGGAAACATTATCTTGTTTCCTATTATATGAAACTGGCATTGATATTATCAGTATGACTATTGCAAACTGTGGATGATAAATGATATGGTCCTATATATATATACATAAACGGCTAATCAAATGGAACCTGGAACTTCACAGTGCTTGGGAGATATATAGTCATGTAATCTCATCCCATTGCTGTTGAATTCATCAATTGGTGGTAAAGTGGTAAACATATTCATGATTAGATAAGTGTGTATATATACCATATATACCATGAAGTAGCAAGTGGATCATGATTTTCATATGTGGATCAATACCTATATATTAATACAATTTTTAGGGGAATGAACATCCATTTACCAGCTATTTTGATGTTCACCAGGGGTACAAGGTTTTGACACACTGCCATGTGTAAATACAGCGAACATCTCGCACTGTCCCTCCGGATCAGCAAAATCCAAAAATTGCCCAAGCTCTCCAGTTCTGAACCAATCTCTGTCGGATAAATCGAAAAATGGGTGTTTCCCCAAAATGACGTCGTTTTTTGTCATTTTTGGGAAGTACTATGAAGTTCAAGATGGGTAATTTTTCGTGAAAAGCATGTGTCTATCATGAGTGGTACATATCCCTAATCTCCAATATTGGAAGGTATACCGTCTGCGAATCAACCATTACTTTTTTCAATCCCAAAACTATCTTTTCTGAAAATCCAGAGTTTCTATCTTTTCAACTGTTGGAAAATCCAAGCATGGCTGAGGTTTCTAGCTGGGAACTGTTCGTAACTCTGGTAAACGTTTACATAACTATGGAAAATCACCATGCTTTCAATGGGAAAATCCACTATAAATCACCATTTTTTAATGGAAAATCACCATTTTCAATGGGAAAATCCACTATAAATGGCCATTTTCAATAGCTATTTTGACATAACCAGAGGGTAGTAACTATGGGGTGATTTCCCATCTTTTCCATCGCCTGTGCCACCTCTGGGCTGCTTCCAGCGATGGCGATGTCTTTCTTCGGCGACAGGTCCTGGACTGACAGTTCTGGCAAGGACGGCAACCACGGCAAGTTTCGCCATTCAGAAAAGGTTGGGAATGGGGAATCAACAATTTTGGCATTTTTTCTACATCATCATATATATATATATATATTATATACACTAGTATAATAATATATTAGGTATATATATATATAACATTATATATATACACATAACATTATATATATAACATTATATTATATATATATAACATTATATAACTATATAACTATACATACATTGTTCTGGGAATTAACCCAGAACGATTGGGTCAAAGACCAACACTGATTTTGTTGGGGAACTCTTAAGTGTTCCGGCTAAAATGTTCGCATCTTCCAATCTTGGGCTCTCCCCATTGGACAGAAGAATGAAAGGACCAACAATTTGGGCCAAAGTACCGATTTGGATGGGTTAATGGGGGTAATGGATGGCTTTGGCACATACATACACAGTACACATATATAATATAGATATCAACTTGATGTGTTTTTTAAACAATACCTACCTACAGCCCTTGATTTTCCTTGTGGCAAACCCATCACTATAAGCCTCTGTTTGGGGATGGTTAACAAAACAAAAACTGCTAAGTCATAGGGTGTTCTATGGTTGGGCCTGCAAACTTGTACTTGGTGGTTCATCCCACTTAGTAAGTGGGTTATAACCCCAGTTATACGTGGATTAACCCTACTTATCCCATTTACAACTTGGGTCCACTTACGAGCCGTGGAATGAGCCACCAAGTATGAGAGATTTCGATTTTCAATGGATGCTTCGGGGAATTATCAAAGTTGCTACGGATTCCCATTCACCCTTGTCAAACTGAGACATCCCATGTATCCTTTGCAGTCAAGATTCCGAACCCAGCACGTGTTTTCATCATCTACGGGCTGGGATTGAACAAAAATACTCCGGTCGCCGGTAACCCCAAAACAAATGCCACAAAATGCATTTCATCACTATTCAATTTTCATAGTATAGATGAGTTGATTCTATTCTTCTGGGGATTACTATATATCTGGAATATTAATTAGCCTCCAGATCCTCCAAACATAAAACGACCCTGGATAGCTGGAAGACAAGCTGGCACCTCCTTGCCCGGCGAGGGTGAAGGTTGACCTGGCGGTAATATCCCTATCGATCCCATTGTAGACATTCTAAATGATACCCTCTGGTAAACTAACATAGCTATTGAAAATTGCCATTTATAGTGGATTTACCCATTAAAAATGGTGATTTTCCATAGTTATGTTAAATTACCAGAGGGTATCTGATATCTCATTAGTAGATCCATGGTGTACCAAAAAATATAGTAACTAGCAATTAGATTTCTAATCATGTTTACCAACCAAAAACATAGTAACTAGCAATCATTTTTCATACATGATTGGAAAAATGATTGGTATACCAAAAACATAGTTTCATATGTTTCATAGCAACTAGCAAAATATAGTAACTAGCAATCATTTTTCCAATCATGGCCATCAAATCCCTCTATGGCCATCAGCCTTCTGGCTCGGTGCGTTGCTTCTTGGAAGCGTGGCCGTTGTCGTCCTCGGATCCGGAGAGAAGTTATGACCATGTTTTCTCGCCATGTTATGGCCGATGTTTCAGGAAATGGAAATATTTTGTTTTTTTTTAGCATGGTCATATTTAAAATAGTTTATTTCTATAACCATCTATAACCATTCATTTTAAACCATGAAATATATAGTTTTTTGGTTTTAAATCCCAACCGAAGCATCTGACATCAACACATTTCTGGCTTTCCAAGTGGGATTGGACCTGGTTTGAACCACTGGGATCACCAGCCCAGCGCAGACTCCATGGATCCAAAAAAATGGTTGCTGTCGCGATGTTCCGTATTCTCTTAATTGAGTTACGTTAACAGATGCGAAATGTTTTAATATGTGTTATTTTTATTTTTACATCTATGTTTTACATTTATGTAATATACTTAATATGATGCCTAACATATATATTTGTTTTACCATGGTATTCTGATGTATTCAAGTTACGTTTACACCTGCCAGCCATTCACGTTCAGTCTACGTTTGCTAAAAAAACCTGACCTGACATGACCTGTCGAATGACCTTTCTGGTGCGACATGTCTCGTGCTGATAAAAGCGCCAGGTCGCATGCGACACCACTCGACCTGTCACCAGGGGATGGTCATAAAACAATGGATGGATCATGATGGATCAATAGATGGATTCATGGATCGATAGGATCAATAGATGGATTAATATCTAATTTAATTAGATGTATTATGATGTATTAATGGCACACATTTCTCAAGATTTTTAGATATTCTTAGGATCACTAGATTGATGATATAATAAATCAGTTATCGTAGTGTAAAAGTTTTAATGATCTGACAATGATGGATCAACGGATACTTGACATAACTTAACATCTCCTATGGATCCCATTAAAGTTTGGGGTATCATTCAGGTGGCCAGCAGTACCTCAGCTTGTAGCTAGTTGATTCCACAGATTTTTTTGATCCAAAGGGATTCATAGAGATGTTTCCAGCACCATAGCGGGGTTAGCCTCTGGTAAACGTTTACATAGCTATTGAACATCACCATGTTTAAGTTCGGTAAATCAACTATAACTTGGCAATTTTCAATGTCGCGAACTGTTAGTCATTACCAGAGGGTAATAGAAAGGATGAGGAATGATCAACATGCATCAATATCCGAAGAGATTCATCAGCTTCATTTTATCATATTATTTCATCCATGAACTACATGCATCATGATCTGCTGACTATCGATTGATCCACATAGCAACAACAACCAAAGAGAAGTGTGAAAGTCACAGACCAGAATGATGGAGTTTATCAACAAAACAGGAAAGGAATTTAGCGACTGGGGAATGTCATTTTTGAATGGGATCAAACAGGATGGTACTTAGCACAGAATAAGATAATAATATACTTAGCACATCTTAGCACAGCAGTGCTATGTGCGGAAGTGGCATTCCATCTGATCCTCTTGGTATGATTTGAATAACCTCGAAGTAGATGGACTTTGCAACAGTTTTGGATTCGTTATTGGATCAACCTTGAAGCTGATTGGTGAACAAATCATCAAGCGAAAAGATGATCCAGTCATCAGTTCCAGGTATAAAAATCACTGAATAGCCAGAGAGGATCCTAGAGTCCCTTCGAGCATGGTCTGACCAACATAAAGTTGACTCAAACTTGAATGACAAGCCTCCACTGGCATGTTGGTTGAACATGCCCCGAGCCATGTTAATAACAATCACTGAAACAATGATGGAATTCAGTGAACTTTGACCCGCTTAAAAAAAACGGAACATCATCTTGTTTAAGCTGAGTTTGCTGGCTGGATACCCATCAGTTTTGTTGGCTTGGACCACCCAGCGGCGACAGGCCAAGCCACTGGAAGAGCTGGAACAGCAACCCATGACGAAAAGTACGTCACTGCGTCACGTGTCCTATCTACTACGCTACATGTTGAACCAAAATCGTCTGCAACGCATTGCGAACAACTTACGGCTACCAAAAGCCAATCCATGTAGGGAGGATAAAATCATAATGCAGAACCACAGGAATCAAGTGGAGATGCCAACATGAATGGATTCCACACAGAATTCACTTGGAAACTCTTGGTTCGACCATGTTTCATCAATCTAAGTGTGTTCAAACCTATGTCTCTGAAACATCCCCAAGAAGTCCCCAAGTCTTCCAGCAAGATTTGCATATCCACAACGACCCCTTAACGAAGCACCCGAAACGTTGCGCGGCTGCAGAGATCCTGTTTCGATTGCGTGCGGACTCGCATGGAGCATCCCCCCAAAGTCCAACGGATTCCCACAATCTGCCGATGGAAAATAGACACATTATGACACATTCCAAAATCAAAAATCAGGAAAATCCAGGGGAAAAAAACACTTTGCAGAACAAAAACAACTGGTCCAAACATCTCAATATGTTCATATAGATCTTTAGGCCAGCCGGTGGCTGGTGAACCTCTCAGCTCAGCTGAGAAATTTTACGGTGAAACGGTAAGAAACGGTAGATGACACGAATTCCGCTCAAGTTATGATCCGATCTGGATATCACCACTACCCTTCGGTAATTTAACATTAACATAGCTATTGAAAATGGTGATTTAGTTCGTGGATTTACCCATTAAACATGGTGGATCTTTCCATTAAAAAATGGTGATTTATAGTGGATTTGATTTTCCATAGTTATGTAAACGTTTACCAGAGGCTAATCACCACCCAAAACCATGGGACCGATTCGTGGTAAATGTCACGTCCCTTTAATAAAAAAGATCATCCACCGCGGCATCGGGGCCAAAAAATCATCGCAGGTTCCTGGCAGGTTTCTGTTGACCCGGGGCAATGCAAGGAATGGATGAATCGTGGCTACCCTTTGGCAATTTGGCATAGCTATGATATTGTGATTAGCTATGGAAAATAGCCTGAAAATACCATGAACATCCATGAACATTTAAACTATTTCATAAGATAAATGATCTACAACTGGGCAATTTTCCATTGCCTGTGAAATTGCCGGAAAGGGGGGCACTGATTGGCGATACCACAGGGCTCTGAGGACCTCTTCGTGTTCCTTGAGGGGAGCTGAGACATCCGAAAAAGTCTAGTCGCTACCACTGATTCTTTGGACCAGTGGCAAATAGGAATATCTAATCAAGTAATGTAGTGCTTGCAGTAATTATCCAAAATCAATGGATAAAACAAGATTCAATTAATAAGTAATTATCCATAATTCTATTCATAAATCATAATCATGCTTAAACAATGCAATTGAAATGCTATAATTCAAGTTTTTCTCCAACTGCCAAGACCAGAAAAATATAGCAAAGTCAGGGAGGCCTGGAACACGGTCACCCCAGTCCGTGAAATCTGCGAAAACAAAGGCTTTGTTTAGCCACGTCTAACATCATTTCTGGATAACAAGTGTTAAACACTGGATAAAGTGATCATTTCATGACGAAACTAAGTGGACTAAACTTAACTTAATAGTCTTAATTAACACTTGAAGTTAAACTGACACTAACAACTTAAAAACGTCATCCTCATGCTGGCCACAAGCATCCAATCCCCTCCAGGAAGCCTAAATTCAGCTATGGTAGTGCTGCGCAATGGTCAAAGTGTGCATGTCTCCGGTGGCCACGGCTCGTACCCGGTACTGCGATAGGGACACCACCTAGGTGGCAACTGGCCATATCCCCGAATGCAAAAATCATAGGACTCTATAAATAGAGTTTTCTAGCCGTCCTGGAAAAGTCCTAATGGTCTACCAGGTATAATCTATAGATATGGGTGTGTTTGAAAATGTTGTGTACCCCTTTTTACCCAATGGTTTGTCTGATCAGACAATCCCTATTAAATGGCTATTTCATTGGGAATATACCCTACATTTTCAGACATACCCATTAACTATAGTTATAAGTACCATAAACCATAGTTATTGGAGTTATAAACCAACTTAGCTATCGAACGGGGGCACCACCTTGTAGATATGTTTCTAGCCATGTTTTCACTATAAACAGGCTGGGAACATCAATGGGCGTCCCGACACGCACAGGCAGCCAGAGCTTCTCGATGCCATTCTCGTAGAGCTGGCAGGACTTTTTGGCGCTAGAAATCCTCAAATTATTGCGATATTGATGAGAATTGATTGATATTAGTGATAACATATGATCAAATAATCATAAGAAATATTGACTATTGATGATATTAGTTATGAAATAATGACATAATATTGATGATAACTGATAAGATTAGTGATAAAATGTGATCAAATAATCATGATGATCAATAATGATAGTTTGATGATATTGTGATGACCAATATTATCAATAATTATCATTCATCAATCATTAAAACAATTAAGGATTCATTATGATGATGATGATGGTGATGATGATGACAATGATGATGATGATGAGGAGGAGGAGGATGAGGAGGAGGATATTGTGGTGAGCATTGATGATTGATGATTGATGATTGATGATCACACTGTTATCATTCATCATAAAATAAAAACTATCAGACTCTCAATCCTCACCGATGTGATAAAAACAGCCCCGGCTGAGTCACGCCTTTGGCTGATCCATCTCGACCTTGTTCCTTGCCTGCGCGCAGTCAGAAATTGCGAAAATGCCTAGTCAGCTGCTCTTGATCCCTTTAGATCACAATTAATTACATACGATTACACCATATTTGTCGAATTTTGTTGATAATGTTGATATTGCAGGAGACTGATGAAAAATATATCTCAGTCACTCTCCCACCTTTCAACTTCACACGTCAAAAACAGAAGACTCAGAAGACCCAAGCAGCAGTCGCTGCGCAGCGCGTACCTTGGCCCGATCTCTCAGGGCCTTTTGCTGCAGCATCTGGTGTTGCGTCAAAGGATCTCCTCCTAGGACCCCAGATGACCATGGCCCCATGGCCCTATGGAATATCTACAAGTTCCGGGGTGGAATATCGCACAGGTTTTGTTGATTGCACATCTCTCGAAAATTGATGATTGCATCTGCATCATCATCATCATCATCATCATCATCATCATGTTTGTTTCTAGGAAAATATATGAGGGCAGGTACACATTCTGGTTTGGTTAAAAAATAAATAACCATTGATGTCGAAAGGATTACAGCATCCAGAGTTGCTCTCCTTTCAACAGCGGAAACAAAACCGGGCCCTTTCGGTCACCCAAACGATCCCCGACGGATGCGGTCCCTCTTCGGACGCGAACATCTCACTGGCACCTCAGGGCCGACTGGAATGGCATCTCCTATGCAACGCGGGATTTTTTTCCGGGAATAATCTGCTTGAGAAAGAAAAACAACTGCTGTAGCCTGTTGCTGGCTAATATTCCAGGATGACTGACGAGCCATCCTGGATGTGTTAATGGAAATTCCGAACCCAAGCCCCTGGCGATTTCAACTCAATCACCGGGCAAATCGAACAACTATTGTAAATTATTGCAAAAGAGCTAGTCTCACACCTTCAATTAGCAAAATGGCACTTCGACTTAGCCACTCAGGTTGTTTGGATCCAAACAATCGGGCGACAGGGCCGTTGGGAAGTTCCTAATTCTCCAAAGTCTGTTGAGGTCAAGAGTAAACTCCGCTTGTATCCCCAGTTCAATCACCATTTTATGGCTGAATTTCATCACCAGTGGCATAGTTTTTTTGTTTTTTTAGCTGCTTCTGTTGGTAAATTTATCTGTCAGGAATATGTTCATGGGGATTCAACCCACCCATGACCCAACAATTGTTGGGTTTCACGGTTTCACTTCTGTTGGCCCATAGAAATAGATGGTTTACCCTTAAAAATGGTGATTTTCCATGGCAAACTGTTAGTCATAACCAGATGGTATCTGTCAACCCACGACCCAATCGAAAAGCCCAAGGAACTCTTCACGGTGGGGAATCCCAGCTGGCCGTGACCTGGGATGGGTGGGACTCCCAAGTTCTTCAACTCCAAGAACTTCCCAACTTAGGGAATTTCATGTAAATTCACAGCTATCTTAGTAAAGTTCCCACTATTTAGGTATGGTTCTATAGTTGTGTGATGTTTTATGCCCATCATTGTTGATTGATGTCATCATATCCTCACCTTTCATTGTCTGCATCCCCAAACCCAAATCTGGAGGGGCAGAACTTGGTCAAACACTGCTAGCACTTAAAGCCCTTTACCAATTTCACATGGATATGAGTGGGGCTATCATTCCATAAATGGGGTTACAACTGACTTAGACTTATACCTGGTATTTCGGGCCATATCTGAAGAAATCATTAAACAATCATTGAGAAATCTAGGATGGTGTAAAATCTCCCAATTTCTTCCACACAACTCTATTTTTTAAGGATCGCTAAAAAACAATTTTCATCTCCAAGTGGCTGTTCAGGCCGAATGCATAGACTTCACCAGTCGTGGTAAGAGCCTCAGCTGTGAATTCAGCTTGGTTTCACCTTAGATCACGGGTTAGATATGATCGTTTCTATAACTGTTTGCTGATGTAGCCATATATACATATATAATAATTAATAATATATACATATATAGTATGCGTATATATATAATATAATATACATATTATATCATATATATTTTGTATATAATCCTGTATATATATATATACACAGAGAATTTTAGAATGACATGATATCCCATATCACAATATGGGTCTTAGAATTGTTGCACCCACATTAGCATAATTTTCCTGATGTATCCAATGTGTATGCAGATTATGCAGATTATTAATATGTTATATACTATGTCTTGAAGTTCACACATGATTTCCTTTCATGTTACACTTAGGGAGGGCCGCGACCCGTCAACCAATCATTTTCAGGAACCGCTTCAGGACTACTTTGGATTTGATGAAACCATCATTTGGTTGACCAACACAACCAATTAATGTGGTACAAAGGCCCAGAAACAGGAATGAATTTATCAATCCAGTGCCTTGATTCACTAAATCTCCCAAAGTTGCTGGATCTCGAAACATGATTATAATTATAAATGTATAGAATCTCTACTCTTCGGTGAACTAACATCGCCATGAAAATCACCAGTTTGTGCATAGGTAAATCATCGAACTAAATGTAAATGGGCCATTTTCCATAGCTATATATAGCTATGCGAGTTTACTGGAGGTTTTTTTGGAGCTCATGGTTAGTTTCCATAGTTTAAATGGGATGTTTTATAAATATCATATCACCCGGTACCCCCCCGGTTGTCCCCACAACGTTTCAACGTTTCTCCGAAAGAACTGAGGCTTCTGCCAGCGAATGGTTGGAGGCAGCGGTCACCTGACGGTGGCAACGACATGGATCTGAAGATGGAGATATTTATGGGAATATCATGGAAATATCAGGTGCATATCCATTATATGGACATATGATTGGGCATATTATAGGAACTATTATGGGACTATTCTGGGAATATCATGGGACTATTCGTTTTATGGGAATATTATGTGAATATCCATTATAGGAAATATCCATTATATAATGTCGTTGCCATGTTTAACTACCAGAAGTTAATTCACAAGTTGCTGGTTTCACAATTTCTTGTTGCGGTTGATCTCGCTTTGTTGAACATGCATGAACATACCTGCTTACGTTTGTTGGTTCTATCCCCGATGTTTGACATCTGAAATCCCTGCAGTTGTGAGACAAAACTCTCCAACACACAAAACACCGCCCGCTAAAAGCTGCTCCCAAGAACACCCTTGGACTACAATGTACAGTAAACATCAGTAAACCCTCCTTAAATTATACAAGTTGGCTATCTATGGCTATCTATGGCTATGACCCTGGCTAGCTATATGTTCATCAATTCTCTATCAACCATCATTAAAACCATCAATCGGCCATGGAAAAAAACATCGCACCTGGCACATCACCATGTCACGGCGATTGCTCAGAGCCTGGACTTTTCAGAAGGGAATCATGGCAAGAAGATCCAGTCATTCAACCAATAAAGATGTTGCGATCATGGAAATATATGGAAATATATTAGAATATTCATAAGATATTAGTGGGACAATAGATCGATTTGCTGTTTTGACATAGATGACATGGTAATCAAAGCATAATTTCTAGTATGGTAATCATAGTATACATGCTTTGATTACCATACATTGCTGATCATAGTTATTTGGACGCCCATCTGTTTCATCAGGGCAGTATCCAAACCAATGCGATAATCATAGTGTAACACATCATAACCAAAACCATCGAACCGGTTTGCTTCAAAGATACTAGGCATCGTTCTACATTGATTGGTACATAGTTGGCTAGCAAAGATGGTCGTGCAACAAGGAATACACTGAATACCATAGCCATGGTGTAGGCTGTACCCAACATTGACCACGTAGGCCATTACTAGGGTAACCACCATCATAACCTATATATATTGGATATGTTGTTTGTTTTCTGGTCAAACAAACTTATCCAATATTTTGTGGTCAAAATTCATCTCCAATATCTGAAAAATCTCGCTAAATTGCGAGATTTATTGCCCATCAAATTCGCCATCTTTTGGGTAATTTATCAGATTGTCCCATGAAATTATGGCAAACCAGTTTGGTCATGTCCTCAAAATTCCCCATTATTATCCTTTTTGTTGTGCCCATATTTACCCACATGGAGGTTTCCTCAAATATACCTTAAACCATTGGTAACAACCCATTGATAATAACCCATTTTGGATAAACAAAAATTGGGGTACCCTCATGACTTGGGAAACCCGAATCTCTTCCCATTGATCACTATTATCTGTATCTTTATCCTCAGTTTATCACCATTATCTCATGATTGTCAAGTTACCCATATTTTCCAATTCTACTTCCACATTGGAATCTGATTGGAATCTGATTTTGACTTGAATTTCAGGAGCAGCGAGGCTGCTAATGTTGTGATGTGCCTGCACAACAAAAAAACTTCTCCCGCATTTTGAGTCTCAAACATCATCTGAGAGAGTTCGATGATTTTCCTGTGACTTTTCCGACTTTTCCCATTCTTTCTATGATTTACTCATCAAAAAATCCTAGTTTTCTCAATCTTTTCCATATGTCCCACATTTCCCCCATATATTTGACCCTCTGGTTATGTCAAAATAGCTATTGAAAATGGCCATTTATAGTGAGTTTTCCCATTAATAGCATGGTGATGTTCCATAGTTATGTTAGCCCGTTTACCAGAGGGTAATGATGGTATAATGTATGGTTACCATTCCAATTACAATAAACTATGGATATATTTTACCTATATTTTACCGATATTTTATATCCATAGTTAATTGTAATATTACATTGTTTATCCATATTTATCCATTGAATATACATATTTACCTATGAATAAACTACAATAAACTATGGATATATTTTAACTATGGATATATTTACTATCAAAAAATCCCAGTGTTCTCAATCTTTTCCACATTTTCCCCATATATTTTACATTATTCTACCATATGTTCCCGATATTTTCCCATGAAATTCCCACATTTTGCCGCGAAAAACAACCGCCCGAGGCGCCGGGATCAACGAGGGCTTCACCCGCTGCGCGGCGCCGTCGCCGTCCACGCCCACGCCCAGCTGGCCGTGGACGTTGGAGCCCCAGGCCCACACCTGGCGCCATGGGGCCACGGTGGGATATCATGGAGATATCATGGAGATATCATAGAGGGTAATGTTCCCCCATAGATGATGACGAGTTTTCATGCACTTTACTAAATTATGGGGAGATGTATAAATGATAAGCCAATTGTTATATAGGATTAAATAGATTGGGTATACCCTCTGGTTATGTTAACAGTTTGCTATTGAAAATGACCATAGAAATAGTGGATTTTCCCATTAATAGCATGGTGATTTTCCATAGTTATGTTAGCCCGTTTACCAGAGGGTATAAGATGCTTATGATAAATGATAAATGATAGCCATAAGCATCTGGTTGGTGGTGCAATCACCATCTTGAAAAATGATGGAGTTCGTCAATGGGAAGGATGACATCCCATATATTATGGAGAAAAATGTTTGAAACCACCGGCCAGGCATATAAATGACTGATAAATGGTAAAAACATAACTCGTGTGATTATGATATATATTAAATGGATAATGGATCTATATGATGGTTTATCAAAGATTAATGGTAATTATGTTATAATGAACAAGAAGTAACATATGGATATTTACCATTAATGGTTTTCTGAACCACTTTATGATTGGCAATTAATCACCATTAATTTATTGGTCTATGATAACATATAATTTTGATGGTTTTTCATGGTTCATAAGAATGGTTCATAATTCTATCATGATGGGTATATAATCATTAATCTGGGTAAATTATAATATTTCACTAACCTGAAATAAGGTCATTTGGGGATGATTTCCCTTACTAACCATTATTCCCAGTGAGGTCGCAGTGAGGTCGTTATAATTTACCCAGATTAATGGCTAAACTAAACCATGGTCAATACAATGGGTACATCATCGGTATTTCTAATGCCCATCCTGGATCCAATAATAAAGCCGTCAAGCCGAAGGAGTGTTTGGTGCATATTTCAGGCGGTTTTTGGTACCTTCTATTTAGAAGAATTTGGATCCATATGGATAGATAGATATATATATATATACATATCCATTATATATTGAAGCCATGGTGATGATGTAACCATTTTATGGGGTTGTTTTACTAATTGATTAAACCAAAATGATTCTGAAAAACTGTGGGTGATGACTCTTGTTAGAACTCAAGATAAGTTTCACCCCCAAGGGTAAACTCTGGTTGGTGTGGAATGTCCAAACTTTGCTTCAGAATCCCCAAGGGTTAGAATATGTTAGAACCACCAACACCAGCCACACCGAGGGAAACCCATCATTGGGGATTAGTTGGTTGGTTCTGATTCCAAGAATCTCCAAATAATGCTTTTAGCTAAACCATCACCCTTGGTTAGAGCGTGGGATTTCGAAGAAGTCTAACTAAATACAATCAAGATGTAACCCACAAGAAACCCATCAGGATATAGATTTTAGGTCTATCTAGCAAAAATGAGGAGTTAATTTGTATACCACTGGGGAAGGTTGATAAACACTGGATGAAATATATGCACAGAATATACATGTTAAAATGTGGATAGTATGGTCTAGTGAAGATCAACAACATCTCAAAATATCAGGTAATTATAGATAATTGCCAGGAACATACCAACACATATCAGAACCAAACAAAATCAAATGATATTTGCCATAACACACACACACACTTGCTCAGACACTACAGGCCTTGGCACCGTCGTTGGTAATGGCCTCAGCGATGGTGAAGTCAGCCATTTCATCCATTTTCCATATGGATGACGCCCAAATTCGAAAAAAAAAAATGATCGAAACTGCTGGGTCTGGAGTCTGGAAATTGGTTTTCATGTTTTTTCAACGGAATGTACAGTTCGACAAAATCATGCGAGTCCACCCAACAGCATGGATGACATCAAAATGATTGTGATTTCGCACACTGGTTTGATTGTTGATAATACTGTACCCCCCAGATTTTGATATGTGCATATCACTAGCAAGTTTACTGTATGTTTGTTTTCCATTTATGGCTTAACAATTACCTGACTTCGAGTGAAACCCACCCTGACACACTATTCTGACATAGTTTCTGACATATCATCTGGAAACAAGTAATATATGGCAAACTGGCATTCTTTCTGGCATATACCCTGACATTCTTTCTAGCATTCTATCTGGGATTCCATAGTTATGTAAACGTTTACCAGAGGGTATTCTATCATTCTATCCGGGAATTCTATCTGGCATTCTATCTGACATTCTCTCTGGTATATGAATATGTTCAGGTCGACAAAGCCCAATGTGGCTATGGGTCACAATCTCATCCCCGCAAATCTGAATACTGACACGAAACACTCCATTTGTTGATGCTTTTGATGGGCACAAAAATGGACCAGCCATGCTACCAGTTGCTTCAGCTGCTTGGTTTGCAGCAAACTCCTGAGAACTTCCAAGGTTTGGACAATGGAATGGCAAGCACCGCAGCAAATGGCACCAATCCGAAGCCCGCCTAGGGATGCATATGCGCCGTTTGTCGAGTTCACTTCAAAAAAAGGGGGAACAATGTTGCCAGTAGAAAATCAAGTATCTCAGTATCAAAACGTATCTCAGTATCTATTTTCGTAAAAAGTCTTACCAGTAGAGACTTTCAACACACAAAAAGGGGATGTGACGCACCGCCCAGGTGCTCAGTTGCGGAACGGGCTGTGGCACCATCTGATCCTGAAGTTTCCCCAGCCTCAGCTGCGCTGGCTAGGTCTGGGACAGCGCTTGAGCACAGTAACGGTCATTTCTAGTTGGGAAACATCTGAAAACTTTGGTGTGTGGAAACTCTATGTGGCGATATCGAGATTTCATGCTATGATACGTGGATCCGCTGATGGGATGAACACGTGCAAAGTTGCAAGCAGTGCCTGGTGTGAAACTGCTTGGGGGTTCTGCCATGTGGATTGACGAGTCACAGAAGATAAACTGTTAACCAGCCCTAACATGCTGACACCACCTGACACCACTCAATATTTCTCCTGTGTGGCAAGGGACAATCATATTTGATTCACACTTCTCCCATGCTACGCTTCCAGTGCCACTGCTTAAAGATCTCGGGTCAGCATCCATCATGATCCTATGTTCAAAGTACCCAATCTGGTGAAATCAGCTCGTTCCAACTAAGCAATCATATACCAATCCTTGATACAAACATATATATATATATACATAGATAATATACATATAGATAATATATATATATATATATTTATGTATAATATGAATGTTTCCTACAACGGGGGATACCCCCAGTCATCCATTTTTTCATTGGGTGAATTGGATGGAAACCAAGAGGCCCCAATTGGCCATTGGCATTGGCCCCCCAGGTGTAGAGCTGGTCCTCCTGTGGCGCCAAGTTTGGTAAAGCTGGTGGATGAGGAGAATCATTGGATGAACGGTGGATGAACATCGGATATATATATATATATATATGCATATGTAATGGGACTATAATGGGATTTAATGGGATTTAAGGGATTTATGGTGGTTTAATGGGATCTAATGGGATTTAATGGGATTATAATGGGACTATAATGGGACTATAATGGGATTATAATGGGATTATAATGGGATTATAAATGGGATAATCATCTTTATAATGGGATTGTATAAGAGTGGTTATAATACCTATAGATATAGAACTGGTTGGTGGTTTCAACCCCTCTGAAAAATATTACTGTTTATCACTGTTTCTTGGTTAAATGGGAAAAAACATATTCCCAATATATGGAAAAATGTTCCAAACCACCAATCAGTGATTATTAACCACTATTAACCATTATTAACCATCATTATCCCATATTAGACCAAGCAAATAAGAAACCAGATTCAATTACATAGTCACAAGCATAATATAGAAACTGATTGGGATATATGGGGGTATCACTGGATGATTTTGATAGAAATTGCGTAGTAATCACATAGTCTTACCATGTTAGGCCCTATGATATTCGTATTATGTACTTGTGATGATGATGGTGTTGGTGGTGATTATTATGATCATTACGATGGTGATAGGAATGGTGTTCCGGTGATGACAACTAATATCACACCACCGAGCAGTGGCAGGGTGATTCCAATGGAGGGCCCAGATCCCTCAACACTTCTACCCCTCAAATTTCGGGGTTCGCTACAACGTCTCCCCATTCACCAACCATTCACCAACATCTTTTCCGTCCAGGACACCAGTCCGTTTTCTCCAGAATTATCCGAGGTCCCAACCGTTCACCAGCCACCCAGCCGCACCTCCGTGACGGCCATGGTGAAACTATCGCCCGCCGCAATGAGCTTCACCTGCACCTGAAAGGCGCTGAAGTGGGGTTGGTTCTTCGGTATCACCGCTTTCAGCTTCATTATATAATATACTTGGTATAGTACCCTCTGGTAAACGTTACATAACTATGGAAAGATCCACCATGCTATTAATGGGAAAATCAACTATTTCTATGGCCATGGCTTCAATAGCGAACTGTTAAATTACCAGAGGGTATATGATATCCAGTATACCAATCACGTATATTTGGAGGCATAGAGTAACAAATTGTTCACCATCTATTCAGTGTATTGTAATTGATAAATTGATAATAGTAGTGATTATTATGTAAATTGACAATAGTAAATTGATAATAGTAATTGATAAATTGATAATAGTAAATTGATAAATTGATAATTTTATGTTAGTCATTGATATCATAGGTATCATATCATAGATATGCATTGTTCATGGGTGGTAAAATAATGTAAAATAGATATCTAGATCTTCTAGATGAATAATGTGGTAAACCCAATGGAATAAGCCTCCGATGTTAAATGGTTTATACCATCTGTACAAACAATTTCTGGCAAGTACTAATATCATCATTCAATCTTACAATTGGGTTTACCACACAATAGATCAATGATTGGTTTTCATAATCCTAACCATGATACTAGGGGATGTTAATATCCCAACGTAATATCTCACCAAAAGATGGAGGGATGGTTACTTATCTTTACAACGTTTGTTAAATAAAGTTAATATTGTTCAGCCAGGACAAATAGGTTGGTGGTATTAATTGGTTCACATGTTTTCTTGCTTAGATAAATCAACATGTTTTTGCATGTTACATCCCTCCGTCCATGGTGTTTTCTCACAAAAAATCGGGGCAACCCATGAAATCATAACGGTCAAATCCCCACACGAAATGGTCAGCAAGAGATGTCCATATCGCCATGAATTGAATAGTTGAAGCCCCAATTCTTGATGAACTATCCAAAAATCAGTACCTTAATTTGATCATGAAAATATATGCGCATCATATTAATCATGAAAATCGCCATGTCTTGAATCATCCATCATCCATTTTCTTGGTGAAATGCCTGCTGATCCCTGCACCTCTTCGTCTCCAAGAGGACCCTCAACTGATCTGGGCCTAGGACGCTGTTTCGGCACATCACTTGGTGGTGTCTGGATATAACAAAACAGTCACTAGTCAATGGGGTTTATAAACCCAAATTTGGGGGAAAACCCCAACTCCCATTCAAACTTCTCACTCTTGCCATTCTTCAATTGCTGAGGATTAATTCCCCAGTTTACACAACAAAAATATCATTCGCCGACCCGGTCGGGGAGGATTTTGTCAAGAGAACCGTCAAATCGGTCCATTGAACCCATTGAGATGACCTAAATTGCCTCCTGCAGTTCTCCCATTCATATTCCATTAATATCTAAAACATATATCCAGTTATTATATAAATGGATCTATGTGCATTAATACTACTCATGGGATATTTATTTGAGTTTACATGTATCCAGAGTTACATCCCCACTTTATCATACTCTGTATTATATTATATTATATAATATTATATAATATATTATATTATATTATATTATATTATATTATATATAATATTATATATATATATATTCATCCAGAAATGATGTTTTTCTCAGCGAGCAAAATAATCTGCCATCGGCTGCAGCTTTGGCAGGTCTTGCTTGGTCACGATCAATCGGAGTGCCCCCTTGTTCCTGACAAGAGTCTCCGAAAACGGGCAATAAGTTACTAAACAGGCGATACTAATATGACATTCAATCAATTTCATTGCCAAATTGTCTTTGGGAAATGTATTTACAATACTTTATATGTTCATGTGGATGCAATATATGCAATCGCATACCCGTTTCACAGATATCCAATCAAAAAAAGCTATCGCTCCCTCTCCCAGTGACCCCACCTGCCATTTTCATGTGGACATTATAAGAGATCTTATAAGAGATATACTAAACTATAGGAATTTGATTATCCTATCACTTCGTTTCAAAAAATATATATCGTATCATATATATATAATATGTCACAGACAGTCGTATATAATTGATAAAAATATATTATACCATATATCACATATAATATATCACATACAATCTGTCACATACATTCACATACCATATCACATCATATACACACCAATCCAAAATATGTTCAGACAGACCTACTTGCAAGACGAGTTTCCAGGAAAAAATGTATGCTGTCAGTTCCAAAGTCTCGAAGAAGTCCAGGGTTGTTGCTCGAAGGTCACTGTTTTGCCAGGCGTGCCGCGACTTCCCATAGCCTGTTACCACGATGCACTTCAACCTGTCGCTGACTTCAAGGTGCTTTGTGACAATCATGGACAACCACCACTGCAATGTGAGTCGAGCTGCTCCCTCTGATTGTTCATGGAGGTCTACAATCAGATCTTGAAATGCACCTGATTTCATTAAGATTGGCAGAAAACCCTGCTTGAAAATCCGACCACCAAGACTCTTGCTGCCGCAGATTTCCTTGCAAGCAAGCAAAGCATTGTAGGCTACCCAGTTCGGTTGCACTGTCGAATCAGGCATTGACCCAAACAACAGCAGCGCGTGCTGCCACCGACTACCCTTATCACATGCACTGATTGAAGCGCCATAGCTATAGATATCCGGACTGATCCTTACCTTGGGCATTGCATCAAACAACATCAGCGCTTGCTGCCATTGACCACCCTTCTGACATGCGCTGATGGAGGCATTATAGCTAAGCACACTTGGACTGATCTTTGCCTCGGGTATTGCCTCAAACAACATCAGCGCCTGCTGCCATTGACCACCCTTCTCACATGCACTGATGGAGGCATTATAGCTACGCACACTTGGACTGATCTTTGCCTCGCGCATTTCCTCAAACACCATTAGCGCACGCTGCCATTGACCACCCTTCTCACAAGCACTGATTGAAGCGTTGTAGCTAATGACGTCCTGACGGATCCTTGTCATGGGCATTGCCTCAAACAACATCAGCGCATGTTGCCATTGACCACCTTTCTCACATGAACTGATGGTGGCACTGTAGCTAATTAGGTTCTGACTGATCCTTGCCTTGGGCATTGCCTCAAAGAAGATCAGCGCCTGCGGCCACTCACCACCCTTCTCACATGCACTGATTGAAGCGTTGTAGCTAATGACGTCCGGACTGATCTTTGCCTTCGGCATTGCCTCAAACAACATCAGCGCTTGCTGCCATTGACCACCCTTCTCGCATGCACTGATTGAAGCGTTGTAGCTAATGATGTCCGGACTGATCTTTACCTTCGGCATTGCCTCAAACAACATCAGCGCTTGCTGCCATTGACCACCCTTCTCGCATGCACTGATTAAAGCGTTGTAGCTAATGATGTCCGGACTGATCTTTGCCTTCGGCAGGGCCACAAAGAAGATCAGCGCGTGCGGCCATTGACCACCCTTATTACATGCACTGACTGAAGCGTTGTAGCTAATGATATCCGGACTGATTTTTGCCTCGGGTATTGCATCAAACAACATCAGCGCTTGCTGCCATTGACCACCCTTCTTACATGCACTGATGGAGGCATTGTAGCCAGCCACACTTGGACAGATCCTTGCCTGTGGCATTCCTTCAAGCAAGGTAAATGCAACCTGCCAGATGTTTCTTTTCCCACACAATGAGATTCCTCTTGTGTACTCGCGTTCGTTCGGCAGCAAATTCTGATCAATTGTTGCGAGTTTGTAGGCTTGAGGAATCAACTGGGCTTGATTTTTCCGCACCGGTGTCCTGCGTGTTTTCAGCAAAACATGCACTGAACATGACAAATTATTGGAGGGAAACGATGGATCCTATGCTTACAAACAACGTTAACCATGGCAGCTATGGCAGCTCCAACAGACTGGTTGAATAATAGAAACTCCAATCGGCCCACGATCGGGATATTTTCTCTTAGATAATTGTTTTCATCATCACCCAGCTAAAAAATGGATTCTGATTCTCCCTTCAAAAGCAGCACAGAGACTTTAGAGAATTACCCTCTGGTAATTTAACATAGCTATGGAAAATCACCATTTTTAATGGGAAAATTCACTATAAATGGCCATTTTCAATAGCTTTTTGTATGTTTACCACAGGGTAATTTAAGGTCTCCACATTTTTTGCTGCGTTTTAGTGTCCTCAAGGTCTCCTTGACCTCGTCCGCTCCAGGTGGTAAAATTGCCATGGCCACAGGGTTCGGAACGCGCGCTGCGCTGGCTGAGCCGAAATCTGCAGGAACTGGACTCTAACTAATGTTATAAGTGGCTTTATGGTAGATATAACTATAGTTAATAGGGGTTATAATGGTTTATAAACCCACTTATAATGATTAATAGGGGCCCCATCCTGTAAGGAGTGAGCACATTTAATGACAGTTTGAAAACGTCATGAAGTGACCCAATTTATGCATCAATTGACTGAGATGTAAAGAGCTTGTGGCTGGATGAAGCTTGAGATTGGGCAAATTCTGGATTACAGTGTTACGACAATTTATTCTGAAGAGAAAACACAAGTGCTTTGAGTAAAACATTACAGGACATCCCAACAACTTCGTAGGTCAAATCAAGTTGTATAGTGGTTGCAACACCCTAAAATAGCCACTTCTTTTGGCAGTTCACCCCCATACTAGTCCACTAGATCTTGACCCATATGAAACATTATGAAACCCAGGAAAAAAACACGAATCTTTGCTGCTTAAACTACGTACATTACACATCATTAAACATGATTTAAGCCCTGGTTGGTGGTTTCAAGTTTCAACCCCTCTGAAAAATATGTCAGTTGGGATGATGACATTCCCAATATATGGAAAAATAAAAAAATGACCCAAAGCACCAACCAGTTCAACCATGTTGACCCCCCTATTTTGGTGAGGTCAACCGGTCAACCGGTCAACCCCGCAAGCAAAATGGTGGTGCCAAGCAACGTATCCACAAAGGAGCCATGAAGCCTTGACTCCATTCCCAGCTGGCCGTGCCTGATCTTTTGATGGCGTTGTGTGGATCAAAAGCATCGTCTGAAATATCCTGATTTGATTGATTTGTGAATGGACCATGATTTGGTGATTTGGCATATCATTCATGGATCAAACAGGGCTTCATGTTTTGTGCGGGTTTGATTCATGGATCATGACTTGTTTGATCATTTTTTGTCAATTTTGCGGGTGTTCGGGTCAAACATTCCAAATTTGGCTGGTAAAACAATGGATTCCTCGTCAAGTTTTTCAGGAGCCGCATGGCTTTTGTTCAAGTTTGGACCCCATTTGGACCCTAACGTTTGGACATTTTTTAACAGAATTTCGTTCCATGGTGACTTCTTCGGCCAGTTTTTTTGGCTGGTCTTCCGCGCAGAGGTATTCCCAGGAACATTCCAGGGTTCCCATACATCGCTGAAGTCGAAAAACGCCAAGCTACGTATTGTCACCCATGGCAAACAGCCGGCCGCTATCTGTGAGCAGCAAGCTGTGCCTGGCGAATATGATCCACCATGGGGCTTTAATCAACTGATTTCTGATAGCTAAGTTAGCTAAGTTGCATGAAAACTAGATGAACTATTGGGTTAATGGTATTGTTTTAATGAACTTAGCTATCAGTTCTTTATGCAACTTAGCTACCAACTATAGTTGCATTAACCAACATTTCTATTAACTATTGGGTTGATGGTGATTGTAACTATAGTTCGGCGGCTCAATCAACGAACTGGGACCTGGGGGGCACTACCATCATGTTTCCGGGCTACCTTGGTTCCACAGATAGGCTTCTTTAAACGCTGGTTTAACGTCATGCAACTAGAATGGATACCCTCTGGTAAATTAACAGTTCGACCCTGGCAGTCATCGGGGTTGGAAGATTAGTTTCCATTAAAACTAGGCTATTTTCAGGGTCCAACTGTTAATTTACCAGAGGGTGATCATGACAATGTCACTAGGAGCTTAACCTTCTGGAATCGTGCATGCATAAGAAGAATAATGCTGTACGCCCACAAAGCAACAGATCCTGCTACGAGGTGCTCATTGAAGCAACAAACGTGCTTAACAGATGTCCGATTCGCAAAATATCAAAATATCAGACAAACAAGATATTCAGTCAGTCCCTCCATCAAACATCCAAACATATCCAAACATCCAACCATCATCAAAGTCCATCAAACATCCATCCATCCATCTCCATCCCAGTCATCCCACCAAGCAGTTCCACCTGGCTCCGGCAGCAACCATCTTGACAGGCACCTGGGCACTAAAGCGCCTGGCACATCGCACGGCGAACCAAAGAGGCTGAAGCAAAGGGGGTCTAGTCACTCTGAAATTTAAGGGACAACAAAACCATGGATGTATATAATTAACATATTTATTAATGATATATATATATATGATATATATGATATATATACATATATATGATATATATGATATATATGATATATATGATATATATGATATATATGATATATATGTTAATTATATCATATATATATACCATACCATATTAATTACAACAAATATGATCTATATAATTCTATATATATATATATGATATAATTAACCAACACGCACAGAGTTTTAAAGCAACAAGACCTGAGAAAAATTGACCAGCTAACCGACTACTCCATGGACCAATAGACCGAATTTTAGGCTTTGGGACAACCAAAGTGGATGGCTACGCAAAGCTGTCAGATATCACAGATTCACGCTGTTTGCTACCCAAAAAATGCCATGCAATATGTCCACTTAAATTCGAATTTCACGGATGAAAACACTATTCCAAAGCTGCATGGCGAACCATACATAGCTAATCTAACCCCAAAGTCCAAGTTTTCTTACATTTTTGGCTTGGTTAGTTGGTTTGACCTCAATCACTAGATCATCAAACTTGCCAGCAGGACAGCAGCAGCGGTGCGGATTGTCGCACCTAAGAACAAAGACCCGAGACATGGCAAGGGCTAGGGCAACTGAAGGGGTTAACAGTCAAGGTCGAAAATGCAAGCCTCAAATTCCCACTATTGCAATCACCAAATGATACAGAAACATCTAGGTCCTAAAGTTTTATTTATTTAAATTAATTTCAACAAAAATAGCGAAACATCATCAATCTGCCACCAACATCACCAAAGGCATACCACCAAGACCATCAGTATCTGGCAAAAGAATCGGTTGAAACTGGAAAAAAAAATATCGAAGAACAACTGGAGTCCCACTGAGTTTAGAAATTGAGAAGCAACAAAAAACAAGTTGCAAGAAATTGAGTTTAGGTTCCACTGAGACAGATATCATCAGATTCTGTTCCTTTTGATCCTTCTTTTCGAGGCACATCGGGTCCTTGTCCTAGGGCTCCACAGTTGGAAGCTCCAAAGGTGTGAACCTGTTGCGATTCGCACGGATTTGCTGGGTATTCTTACATGGGAATGGTAGTAGTGGGTGAATTTACCATGTGAGTTATATGGAATTGTCATGAATGGTAGCTGTAATGGGTAGATGTCTAATGGGACTGATCATCTGCTAATTGAGATTGTTTTTAATGCTATATAATTGTACTGGCAGTTAGTATTTGCACTGTTAAATTTCATGGGAACTGTGATGCTACTCTATAATGGTGATGAGAATTTTTAGAGTTTTATATAACTGTATATAACTTATATATTGTTCTCATGGTACTTATGGATACTTATGGTATTCTGGTAGTTTTTCGAACCAACCATTACATTGGTAATGCTACTGACAGTAGATGATGGCACTTGCGCCAACATCGAGGACAAAGGAACCTAAAAAATTGCTATACGTCCAATCATCTATTATTGATATTGCCATATTAGTACCAATCAACAAGCATATGTAATACATAAAGATTAAGCATCCATTAACCATCATTAACATCCATTAACATTAAATTATTATTGATGAGAATGAGAATACATCAATGGTATCACCATATATTAGATTTTGAATTGCTAATGACAGTAAATTTGATTAACATATATATATATATACCCTCTGGTAAACTAACATGGCTATTGAAAATTGCCATAGAAATACTGGATGTTCCCATTAAACATGGTGATTTTCCAGTTCGCTATGTTAGTCATTACCAGAGGGTACACATATTTCTACAGGTGACGCCGTGACGCATTGGAACACTTGACCAGGTCTCCGAAACAGCACGCCTCACCGTTGTTGCCCAAGACCAGGGTGTGCGATTGCCCCGAAGTGGAGTTGGCACTGGACACCTGGCGATTCTGGTGCCGAAGTTTGGATCCACTTAGGATCATCCGACATCACCATCATGGGATATCACCATAATGGGATTGGCCATTTCGTTCATCCGAAATTCGCCGCACCGATGTTCAGAATCAGACATGTGTTTTTCTATACATTCACAGTGTGAACGCAAATGAGGCGTTTCATCATGTGTCATATAGATTTTGGGATGATTCATATACCCTCTGGTAATTTAACATAACTATGGAAAATCGCCAGGTTTAATGGGAAAATCCACTATAAATGGTCATTTTCAATAGCTATGTTAAATTACCAGAGGGTAAATGGCTCAATTTGTTTCACCTCATCACCAGCAGCGTCACCTGCACCACATGCACATCCCGCACGCTCTTCATGCGCTGCGCGCTGGCGATTTGCGCCACCTCCTTACGTCCTGCGCGCTGGCGATTCGCGGATGCCACAAGGCCACAAGGTGGGTCCCAGCTGTGGCTATTGGGGGTTTAACGGGTGTAACATTTAAGCCCCAGCTGGTTCATCCATGAAAATATAGAGTTCTATCAAGTTCTATTCCCCCAATCAACCAAGTTGTATCAACTTTGCTATCATCAAAATATCAACCATGAAAACATTAAAATCCCAATGCATCCCAATGGAGCTTTCCCAGTCGTCATGCTGCTCCCAGTGGACACACCCATTTACTTCAATGGGATCCATCCATCCACCATCCTCCAAGTTCCATGGAGCGATTGGAACCGAAGGCCCAGACCTGGCGCAAAAAAAGGATCAACCATGGCAACTTGTTCCTAAATGGGAGTATTTAGATTTTCACACTCTTAGAAAAAATAGGATGCTATAATGTATAGCTATTTATAGCTACTATAAGACTGTGTATGCATAATTATTTAGATATGGCGTGTAATACCATTATAATCCCATGATAATATTATTATACTTCCTGTAAAAGGTAAAACAAAGAAAAGCTGTCTTCCCGGATTGCAAATTCAAGTGTTGACTATGACTGGGATGGTCACATAGCGTCTGTGTATGTCCCAAAGTTTCTGAACATCCCAAGTTGTTCATATAGTGATTTCAAACATGATCAACGCATCATTAGACTCTCCAATATACATCCATCTTCTTTAAAAAAAAAAAACGGTATCTTAAAACTCCAATCATCCTCAGAATCTATACAGTATATAAATCTATCCATCTTCCTAAAACAATAGTTACCTTTCATGTCAGTTTAGTTCATGCTTTCAGAATTTTTCTGATAGTTCTATGTATATATATATATAGGTAGCGTGTAGCCATATTGTTCTATATATATAGAATTATTACCTATATTTGTATATATATATAAATACATATCATATCTATATATATATATTACATCATAATATTGTATATATAATTTTACATGTCAAAGATCGCCAATTTGTTTTGGCGCCGTCCCGCAGCGCGACCCGCACCTGGCCCTTGGAGCCCACCACGAAGGAGGCCACGCCTGCGGCCTCGATCTGCACCGGTTCCTGGTGTCTCAACTCCTGCAGCGATGCTGTTTCGGCCTAGGGCGAACTATGGGGTTTACCCTCTGGTAAACTAAAATAACTATGGAAAATCACCATTTTTCATGGGAAAACTCACTATAAATGGCCATTTTCAATAGCTATGTTAAATTACCAGAGGGTAACTATGGGTTTATGTGGGTTAACTATGGGTTTAACTATGGGTTTTTGATTAATTGGGTACTTAGTGAATTGGGTTAACTATGATTTGAATTAATTGGGTCTAACTATGGGTTTTTCATATTGGGTTGAATATTATGGGGCTTAATATGATTTAACTGTGGGTTTAACTATGGGTTTCTAATTTATTGGGTTTACTCAAAATATTGGGTTTCGTGTTGGGTCTAGAAATATGGTTTGAATGATTTGTTGGGTGTTTTGTTTGGTGTTTTATTTGGTGTTTGTGTGGTGGTTTGTTTGGTGGTTTGTTTGGTGTTTTATGTGGTGCTTTGATGGTGTGAATATGGTGTAAATATTGGTCTTAAGATGGTGTATTGAAGTAGTGCAACATGTTAACATGGGGATTTTGGTAGACAGGGAGTTTGGCAAACTAAATACACAGGGTCAATCTCACCTATGGGTTTAAGCCGCACAGACCATCAAAATTAAATGGTGCTCGTTTTTTCAGAAGTATAAAGCCTCAGATATCGACCCAATGGATGCACTAACTTGAACCAAATCCGGGAACTTCCAACCGATTGAAAAGAAAAAACCATATTTTTGAGCTTCTGAGTCATTTTTCCTAAATTGAAGCTGCCCAAATCCAAAAATCCTGCGCCGTGTCAATGTCTTTGTATTGTCTTTGTCTTAACAAAAACAAACAAACAAAAAAACAAAGCCACTGACCGGGAAGGGATTCCTCCACCACCAATGTAGTCGTGCGACTGATCTGCCTGGTCGAGATCTTGAGCACATGCAGTCAATGGTGCCACAAGTAAAAAATCATCAAACGTCTAATCATAATTCATCATAATTCATCATAATTCATCATTGATCAATCATATCCATCATATCCAGCATTAATCCTATCCAATGATTATCCTCCAATGATGTCAGTCTGGCATGTCCATGCCACAGATGCCACATCTCTGCAGCCATTTCCGCCTGGCGCCGGTCGTCGGTTCGACCCCCAGCTGCCCGCGCTTGGCGTCGCCGAAGCAGACGATCAGCTGCCCTTCGCCCGGAGGCCCGGCCATGCTGTAGCCCGAATACCTCGGATGGAGAAAAAAAGGGGGAAATGGCGTTGGAATGTGATGGGAATGTCATATATATATATATGTATATATATATATATGACATAGTTTAAAGACATTGGATGCAAGTTACTTAAGTCGAATGGACATCGGAAAATGGATGGATCAAGAATAAAGAAAAACATGCAAACATGCAGGAAGTTAGGAGTTCACCAAACGCTCAGGATGAAACTTGAAAACCAAATGCAAATGGAAATGAAGCAACAAACAATGTGTAACCGAATGTAACCGATCAAACAATTGGAGATTCACAGAGACGGTGTGGGGATAGTCAATATATATGTATATATATATATGTGTGTGTGTTATAACTTGATATAACTTGAAACAACCAAATATAGAAACTGACGTGCCAAATGTACAGAATAGAACACGCTATAGCTCCACGGCGCCACGAAGTTTCCGAAGAGAAATCCCCGCAGTCAAGGCGCTGCCCCATATTATAAGTTGGTTTAGAAACCATAGCTAGTTGGATACATCACATATATCTACCCTCTGGTAAACTAACATAACTATGGAAAATCACCATTTTCAATGGGAAAATCCACTATAAATGGTCATTTTCAATAGCTATGTTAAATTACCAGAGGGTACCATAAAACCAAGAGTTTTTCCTTTGGAAACGCTCAACAACTTAGCGATTCCGAACTATGGATGGCACCCCCCAACAATTTCCCTCATCGGTGTCCATCGATTCCACCACGGCGCCACACGCCCCGTTCAGAGACGGGCTCCCCATGCGTCAGTTCTCGGTAGTCCGTGGAGGTCAGAGACATCTGCGAAGTCATCACCTGCGAAATCATCCGGCGATTTCCACGGAGAAAATGCATCAAAATGCACTGCTTCATCTTTTTTGGACTATTATTACTATTGATATTGATATTGATATTGGTGATGATGATGATGCTGATGATTATGATGATGGTGATGATGGTGATGATGATGATGACGACGATGATGATGACGATTACAATGATGATGCTGCTGATGATAATGATGATGATGATGATGATGCTAATGATGTTGATGATGATGATGATGATGGTGATGGTGATGGTGATGATGATGGTATTGATGATGATATTGATGATGCTATTGATGATGATACTGATGATGATATTGATGATGATACTGGTGATGATATTGATGATGATGTTGATGAAAGATATTGATGATGATATCGATGATGATATTGTTTTTTGTTGGTGATGATATTGATGATGATATTGATGATGATATGGATGATGATATTGATGATGGCATTGACGATGATATTGATGATGATACTGATGATGAAACTGATGATGCTGCTGATGATGATGATGATGATGATGATGATGGTATTGACGATGATGATATTGATGATGATATTGATGATGATATTGATGATGATATTGATGATGATATTGATGATGATATTGATGATGATATTGATGATGATATCAATGATGATATTGATGATGATATTGGTGATGATATTCATGATGATATTGGTGATGATGATTATGATAATATTGATATTGATGATGGTGATGATGATGATGATGATTTTGATGGTGGCATTGGTGATGATATTGATGATGAAATTGATGATGATATTGATGATGATATTTATGATGATATTTATGATGATGATGATGATGATGGTATTGACGATGATGATATTGATGATGATATTGGTGATGATATTCATGACGATATTGATGATAAAATTGATGATGATGATGACGATTATGATGATGATGATGATAATGATGATGATGATGATTTTGATGATGATGATGATGATGATTATCAATGTTGTATTTATTATTATTATCATCACTTCATGTGATTTAATATGTATGATGGTGATGGTTTTAGATGATGTAATCTGGGACTGAAGATGTACATCAGATAAATCAGGTCAAATCCCACTTTTTTGTTGATTAGACCGGATGTATCAAAGGCATGTTGCTGGAGGTTGAGATCACCTCAATGATTCAGATTTTGAACCATCCGGGCATCTCAGATGAACAAAAATCCAACTAAGGTGAAGTCTTTAGGATAATATGTGGATACCCGATGTCTGCAGGAAAGTGGATAAAGAGCACTGATGTAGTTGAATAGTGTTGAATAATTCTACAAGTTGATGTCGCAATGGTTTAAGATCTCTGGGCTCGAGAGTTCAGGATTTTTGTACATTTGGAGTTGGCTCGGATTCTAACACCCACTGATGATAATCAAAGCCTTGAAAAATAATAATCTGGCTAAAATATCAGATATATATAATATTAATTGGAGAAAATGATCTACTATATCGAAAAATTGATATAATTAAAATACAGTATATATATACTGATTCTATATTTTTCTATCATCATTTTTTCTATAGAAATCCATGGATGCTCCATGGTAATTCGAGAACTTCGACCGCTGCCTCCCCAGGGATCGTTGGAACTGCACTGGTTGGAGAAAGGCCACCCGACTCCAGATCCTCGGTGAAAAGATGTGGAAAACATATGGGGAAACCCTGACATGATGTAGAAATATGGTGGATTGTCATGGATTGTCATGGATTTTCTGCATCTATGTTAGAAAATGTTAGAATATATATATATATATATATTTGTTAGAGTATAGGAGGGTAAACCCATTGGGATCATTTGAGATCATTTAAGATGCAGCAAAGAATCCCAAAGATGGATAGCTCCTAATTGGGTATTGATTTCATCTCATGATCAACCATCGTTTCCCCGGCCTCTCGGACATCGGAGATTTGAGTTGGAGTCTCTGGTTGGATAAAGACATGTTTGAAGCTATCATAATGGTTGGTTACTGTATATTCCTTTACATCCCAGTATCGTTTGTGATTTTTCAACAATTTCAACCAGTCTTGTTCGAGAAAACCATCACATGCTGTTGGTTATCTATCGAATTAAGTCCCATATGGTTGACAATGTATCCCCATTATATCATCTAAGTCTATCCCCATCATACCCATCATATATACAATAGGTGTGTATATATACATATATATAATCATATGGCTGTGAGCATAAATTCTGGTATGGATCGTTCCGCAGTGATCCGTACTATGGATCGGGAGTGCTTACGTAAGGTGCCTGGCTGCCTGATCTGTACCCTTTCGTAAGGGCTCATCATAGCACACAAACTGTGCTGATACTCTTACTATCTCCTACTTGCTATTACTTCTCCTCCTGCTGCTGCTGCTAAAACTGCTACCACTGCTAGTAGAGGGAGCAAAAAAAAAACAGCACCAGCAGCAGTAGTGGCAATAGAAGGAGGAGATGCAGTAGCAGTAGAAATAGCAGTAGCAGTACCAGTAGTACTAGTAAAAGTCATAGTAATAATAGTAATATACTGGAAGTAGCAGCAGCAGCTGCAGTTGTACTAGCAGTAGGAGGAGGAGGAGGAGTAGTAGTACCGGTAGTAGTAGTAGTAGTAGTAGTAGTAGTAGTAGTAGCAGTAGTAGTAGTAGTAGTAAGTAGAATCGGTCTTTCATATTGACATTTGTTGTGGCGTGACTGGGTTCGGGTATGGATCGGGTATGGAACGGGTATGGATCGGGGTATGGATCGGGACACGCTATCTGGGCCGGCTTTCCCGCTATGGCTGTGAAGGAAGAGAACGGGGTATTTCTAGTCTGGTCTAGTTCTACACGTGCCAGGCAAAGCAGAAACAGAAGGAATTGTAATCATAGCGCCACTATAGAAGTACAAGAAGCACCTAGTGGAACTAGAACCAGTCTTACTAGCGTCCAAGGTGCACTTGCAGTATTGCTAGTAGCTAGTCAACTAGTTGCATTTGTCCAACTACCAGAAGCACACGGAGGAAGTGAATCAGCACCAGCAGCGGGAGCAGGAGCAGCAGCAGAAGCGACAGCAGTAGCAGCAGCTCCTGGGAGGAAGATGACTAGTAGTGGCAGCAGCAGCAGCAGCAGCAGCACGGAGGCAACGGAGGCAACGGAGGCAACGGAGGCAACGGAGGCAACGGAGGCAACGGAGGCAACGGAGGCAACGGAGGCAGCGAGCGGAGGCAGCGGAGGCAGCGGAGGCAGCAGTAGAAACAACGGTAGTAGCAACGGGAGTAGCAACGGGAGTAGCAGTACGGGAGTATTAAGATAAAAAGCAGCATTAGGGCCAGCATCAGTCTTTCTTCAACGAGAAAGGGGTACGGATCAAGGGTATGGATCAGGGGTATGGATCAAGGGTATGGATCATGCAGTATCATGGGGTATGGATCGGGGTATGGATCGGGGTATGGATCATGGAGTATGGATCGTGTGTGGGCCCGGGACCTTGATCCATGCTTTGTATTTTTACCCGCATCCATATATTTATGTACTTATATATACATATTTAGATACATACCCTATGGATCCAAACACCTTCTGAGGGAGTGTTTGGGGTATACTTAAGGTAGCCAAGTACCTTCTGAAGAAGTATTTGGATCCATACAGAGATTTGAATATGTTTGCATATTACATAGTAGATAGATAGGTAGATAGATAAATCAATAGATAGAATAGTTAGATCAAATGTATAATTAGAAAGAACGAAAGAAAGAAAGATAGATAGATGACAGGTAGAAAGGTATCTATTGATACAGACCATTCAGTTTCTCAGTTCAATTCCCAAAGGCTTGCGGTACCACCGCTGTGTCAAGGCACCAGAGTCTGCGAGGGCGACAAGGACAAGCCGCTCTCCGCGGCTGGGCTGCGCCACGACTGCGGCCGGAGACCATTCCCCAAATCACCATTTATTATGGGTGGTGTGTTTACCATTACCAAATGGGTGGTTTATGACATTGTTTTACCATGTTTTACCCACATTAGTTGCTTTTGTATATCAAAGAAAGTCCCAATTATATTGTATATAACTTGTAACATATATTGATCTTCACATCTTTTAATCCCTTGCAGAACCAGCAGTTCCATGTCAGGATCTTCACGGCTGCCTGGGTTTGACTCACATCCTTCAGCTGCGACACCGACTGCGTGGTGCTTTGCATTCGCATGGAGCCCGCTGCGTCCGGCGCCGGCAGCGCCTTAGGGACTTTCTGACTGCCTGGCCGTGGCGGCCAGCGGTGATGTGGGGGAGCTTTAAGTAAAGCGTTTTTGGGGGGTTACCATCCGAAACACTCCAGTTACCATCGATAAATGGGCCATTTTCCATGGCTATGTTAAATAACCAGAGGGTATATCCAGTTGAATTTCTGGGTCACATTGTGATATGTTGCACTTAAAGACTCAAAGATATATTGTTTGGCTTATTTTGTTGATACATATTTTTTTGGAAATGGGGATCTTACTACTTTATGAAAAAGGACATGGTCCCCAACCAAACAGGGTACGTAACCATGACTTTAAGTCAAATTTGGAAAGATGACGTGGGAATGAATAGGGATATATTACATTACATAATATATATATATAAGGGGAATTTTCAGCAGCCATTGCATGTGGAAATGGGGATATCATGGGATAGGCCACGATTTAATTTGGCGACCTGGTTGGATCATGGATCGATCCCAAAAGATCCCTTGAAAGTTGGTGACACATTTTCCGAAATGCCACTGATGCTTATTATGGAGATTTTACCTCATCTGAGGTTGTCTGAAAACTTCATAGAATCATGAAGATTTCAGCCGCAAATCAAAGGTTTCACCAACACAGTCGATGAAAAGTGGAAACGTCACGACTTGACAACATGTAAATTGGAGATTTAAGCGGCAAAAAGAAAGGGCTCATGAGGAAAACTTGGAGATTGTTGCAGAAAAACGTGTATTCCATGAACTAGAAGAGAGATTCACGTTTGCAGAGGGCAACATTTTGAACATCGGTGATGTCCGGCTGTGCCCTGCAGCCGAACATGCCGCCAGATCCTTTTTGACGTCTACAGCACAAGTATAGGGCTTCCCATGGAAAACCGCAACGACCACATCAAGGTTCGCTGTACATTTGCGGCTCCAGTTGGAACTGTACAGATGCCCAGCAGGGCTCTTGGCTGCCATGTCCTGTGTGACGTCGCAACTGTCCAAAAGTCAGTTGGAAATTGGTAGCTTCAAGCCATCCCAATGCAGGGATTCATCATCCCGTGAAAGGGGGTTTTGGGACGGAAAATTCTGAGAAATTGAAACCACCAACCACTTTATCAACAAAGATTCTTACAGCATGCAAAAAGACGTAATGCCATAGCAGCAATCTGCTACATCGCAGTTTTCAAAGCTGCCCTCCTCCATTCCCACGATGTTGTATTTCAGCTTAGCAGGCTGGCCGCAGACAGATTTGCTTTCCAGGAAGCAACCCCTGGTGGCATCGGGGTCTGAGATGACTTGCACCTGCCCAGCTTGACCAAAGGCTAACAGGACAAGAATTTAGACCATAGACGCCATAGATGGCTGTTTAAAGGGTAGAACAACACCCAATCTCAAGCATATATCCCAAAATCCAAATCAAATCCCCCATGTTTCCTTGTATAGGCACATCATCAATCTCAAATCTCAATCCATATATCAAATCCATCAAGTTTCACTAAACGTTTTTTTACACCCCAACCTCCCCCACATTGCCATACAACTTCCGCGCCGCTTCAGCGCACTCCTCGGCACTCTGCACGTTCTGGAAGTTCCCTGTGCAGCCGCTGAAGGTCGCCGCGCCTGTTTCGGAGAAGGCCGGGTTCACGGCGTAGCTGCGGCGGTTGTTCGGTCCCGGCACTGCCTGTACCCAGTACTGGGAGCCCTGCGAGCCTGAGCAACTGCCATAGTCCAGCCTGGGACAGTGACAAATTCATCAATCGGAAGGTCCCGGGAATCCGAATCTCCATTCTTTAGGATGGAAAATCGAAAGGTATCTCTCAAAACACCTGGCAGTTACAGTATCTTGGCCTTTTTTTGGCTATTTGATGGCGGTAAGAACATCCTGGTACTCATCATTGCTGAAATGACAGCTATCCTGATGTCAAAATCCACAAATCCCTATTTTTGCGGATCAAAACCAAGGATCCCGGCCTAGTTTCATTGCTCAAATCGCTGGTTGCTATGGTTCTACCATGTGAAAAACCCCAATCCTTATGATTCTGATCCCCATTTTTGGCACATCGAAATATCTTCAGTTATGATTAAACAAAATTCACACATCCTCATTTGTGACAAAAAATATCAAAAAACATCAGAGTTCGCTCAACTTTACTACCATATATACTGAGTCCAAGGCTTCTGGGTTCTGAAATCCCCTTCTTCAACGAAGAAAATCGACGGAAAATCGACGAAAAATCCACGGTTGACCGAGCAACAACTCCAGCTCCGCCCCGTTCTGAGCCTTGCCATCCACCGCCAGGCAGGTGTTCCAAGGGCCAGCCACAAGGCCTCCAAGGCCTCCAACACCCTTCCAGGACTTGTCTTCCTGGTGCTACGAATAGCTGGGCTTTCGGTGGGATGGTATATTCATCCAATTGGGTCCCAAGAATTGGGGAATTTGCCATGGATAGACCGATAGACTAAGTGTTGATTTGAATGGGAAGATGGTGAGTTACCATGAGATGTGGTTTAACCACAATTTGAAAAAGAAAAAAACAAATTCGGATGTACCAATGAGGAGCCCTTTGGGAAACATGTTCAACAAAAAAGGGGGAGCGCTTTCCCCATTCAGTTCTTCACTTTCTGATGAAAATTCGCCAGCCAGGGAAATCAACAAACCATTTGCAGAGTGAGAAACTTCCAGTAAATTAATCTATAGGGATCAAAGATCGTTTTTAGAAAAAAACACCAAACTCAGAAAATCCCAGCTTCTTCTCTGGCTTCCTCACACTTGGACATGCGAACTCCAGCGCCCTTAGAAGTGCCACTAGACACCATGCAGTAGGATGGATCGGAAGCCAAGCGGATCAGAGCACCTCAGGATCGCTGAGGGGTGAGATTTTTCAGATATCCTGGTGAATTTTGATATGCAAAATCTCTGAGATCCATGTTTTATTTTTGCATTTTGTCTTGGATTTCGAATCCATGTTTTTTTCGCGGATGATATCCAGGTCAAGTTGCTACCACCTGGATCGGAAAAAAGATGCAACAACAACAACAACAACAACACCAACAACACCACCAACAACACACCACACCGCATTGCAATCGTTGATTTTCCATCAACCTCAAAATGTAGTTTCCCTGCTCTTCATGGCTATATAATGCTATATACTCCCTTCAAATCAATCAAGTAATTGGACTTAGACCTTCAGTTTATAACAGGGACTTACCATTTTCAATGGATTGGTTTAAGGGAAAATCTACAGGAAACCATAGATTTTCCCATTAAGTATTGGGTTTTCCTGTAAATTTTCCCTTAAACCAATCCATTGACATTTGGCACCACCCACACCGGTACCCCTTGACCTTCACGGCGGAAGTTCTGCTGCTGGTTCTTCCAAGTTCCATCGCATTCCCAGAGCTCAAGAGAAATTCCGTCGCCCACGCGCGTGCTGGACATGCAAAAGCTGGGTGCTGGGCCGTAGACCAAATGAAACACCTCACTGTGATGCACACCAGTGGGGATCACGTGGGAGAACAATTTGGCATTCTTTGACTGGTTGGGAGTTAGGATGTTCGCCAGAAAATGGACAGTTGACCAACAAAATAGTTGGATTTGAAGACTAAAACATTCTGAAATACTGGCTGATTCCGGGAGTCAGTGCTTCGTAGCAATAACTTCAACACATCACGAATCATCACGACGGGGGGTGTTTGACCATAGTTGGTTTTTCGGTATCAATCCATTCGAGTGTGTGTTTGTTTGGAAAAGTCAACTGGAATCATCATCTCAGGCAAGGTCTGATTGGGTCCAACATATCAAATCCTTGATTCTACATATATCATATTATAATGGATGTAGTAACAACAATCATATGGATTACTGGATAATTATTGCGTGCTGCCCAACTCGTTTTGCGAACCCAACGTGGCTGGAAAATCCCAACCTGATCATCCTCCTGCGCACCCCTGAGGGACGCAGCGGCTGCGCTGACCAGACAGAGGCGAAGGGCGCGAAGGGAGGCAAGGGCCATGGCGACCAAAGAAAACCTGGATCCTTGGGGAACTCTTCGCCAAAACGCCTGAAGATCACACCGATCTGATGGCACCTGACATGAAAATAAAGTGTCACCTAGAGTCGTCATGTCACTGATTTGGCATCAAAAGTCCACAGGTTTATATAAAACATGATTATAGATGGTGTGTACCATGTTGTTTGGCTCCAAAACAAAGTGAAGGGACCAATGTGAGTAAATTTATGGAGGACGATGTGAATTTAAAATGGCTAGATCCACAGTGCAAGATGGATTTGTCGGAAAATCGGGTACCAAATTCGAATCCTGTGGTGGAAAACAACGTGTTTCCCATGGTCCACTCGACATAAATTTGCTGTAAATCTGCCATTTTCCCACACTCTAATTTCCAAATATCAGGTTGTTGGTTGCACAATCTCATCATGTCCCTGAAAATTGGCAAAAATATACCATCAGAATGCAATCATTATATCCGTTATATATAATTATATATACACACACTGTATTTACTATAGCTCAATTCCAATTCTTCATGGCAAAATCAAGGAAATCTTCGACCTTTTTTTTTGGAAGAAAAAAATCGTCATGTCCAGAAAAACCCAGCCTGGACCCAGCAAGGGTCTCATGGGCCCTACGTCTCTCTTCAGATCCTGAACCGCAGGGCAGGATTAACCACCAGGTGCTGAAGATCAACGACAATCAATGTGGGTTTGTCTGGAAATATCCAACACATATCCAGCTAACTTCCATTGAATCAACATGCTTTCCCCAAAAATGGCATCAAACGCCATGAAATCAATATCATGTCAATTTCCAATCTGATTCCCATTCAAATGTCCATGAAATGCACTCAGCAGCAGCCAGTTCAACCCATTAATACCAATTAATACTCAATTATACATAATTATACAACAAAACGACCATCTATTCCTCAAATAATGATAAATTCTTCATAAATCTCCAGAATATGATTACCATTAATTATTCACGTATGAACTCATGTGGTTCAATGACTTTCCCAGCTATAAACATTCATTCCCATGATTCTCTAATGTGTTTTAATGATTGTCCTATGATTTTCCCATGATTTTCCCATGTTTTTCCTATGATTTTCCCATGATGTTCCAATGTGTGTCCTATGATTTTCCCATGATTTTCCAATGTTTTTCCTATAGATCTGCCACATTTCTAGTGGATTCTCCAGCCCCAAGACTCCTGCACCGAGCGCAGCGTTCCGCTCGCTGTGGAGAGGTGCGCCGCGGTGGCGCTCAGCTGCCCAGCACGGCGCCTCAGCTATTGGGATACCCCTATGACTTGGGGTTTCCCTCCATATACCATCGATGATCATATAGTTATTGATGATTATTACCCTCTGTAAATGGTGTATTGATCATCAATGGTATATCAATAGTTATTGAGATTATTACCTCTGTAGTTATTGATGATCATTATTTACGACTTGGATGGCATATAGTAAACTAACATAGCTATTGAAAATTGCCCATCTGTAGATGGTGTACCGTTCTTAATAGCATGGTGATTTTCCATATGTTAAATTACCGGAGGGTAATTAATATGGTTATTATTCATATAAAAATCATATGCATATATACTAATATGGTTATTAATTGATAATCCATGACTAATATATAGCTAATAGTATTGGGATTAAAAAACAATTTATTTCAAAGAATTCCAGTCGTAGATTTGCAAATGACGATACCATATAATATTTGGCTTTGATGGGTCAGATTGGCTCTACCAGAGACCATTCGATATTCCATCGATGTTTCTGAGATCTTCAGATATTGTAATGTTGAATCAAACATATGTGATAATCATGGTTATATTATGGGAGTATTCTTGTAAGTAAAATTTGCTGATTAGCAGGTATACCCCTAGATATTCTTTCGGTAATTGTGATGCATAATATGTTTCAATGTCAAAGACTTGAAGATGTGGTATCTAGTGGCAAATCAAAAGCCTAAATCCCAACAGTTTATACATGTGCCATGGATTTAACCGATGATTTCCATTGATATCATCCATATATATCCATATGATTTTCCATATATTAGGATTTAATTTAAACAAATTCAAAAACATGAACCACAATGGTTTTCGTGGGTGCTTGCCATTGATTTCCCATACATTTGTATCAGTTAAAGCAGTTGAATCCTGTTCAAATCCTCAGAATTTCATGGTTTCCAGCCAAAAAATCTCGCTCCAAGTGGTTGGCCAAAGCTCAAAATCTAGGGATAGAATCCCCTGAATTCCCCATAGATTTCCCATTCACTTTTCATGGATTTCCCATAGAATTTCCCATGTTTTTCCATATTTTCCTAGCTTTCTCCGAGTTTCACCATCCATTTTTCATGGATTTCCCATGGAATTTCCCATGTTTTTCCATCGATTTCCCACCTCTCACCGTTGATTTCCCAGCAAAAACCGCCATGGCCAAGGCACTGCGCCCGCAGCGTCCGCCGATTCAGCGCATGCTGCCGCAGGCGCCGCACGGCACGGCGCTTGGCGGTGACTTGTGCCAGGGAGCCTGGCTGCCGAGGGAATCCTATGGATATGTCCTATGGAAATAGTTCTATGATATATAGGACATATATTGATATTATAGTACTATTATTATATTGTATTGAATTTGTCATTTTATCTATCTATATATATAAATACAATATCATTTATTGTCATATAGTACTAGTACTAATATATGTATGTTTTATTCTATTATAGTAGTATCTATATATATATACACATATTGTCTATTGTATATTGTAGATAGGATGGGATATAATATGATATATATATATATATATGTATGTGTGTATGTTCTGCATATATACATATATATATATATATAGAGAGAGAGTATTGTAATGGTAGTATAGGAGTTGTTTGTCTATGAACAGTAGTGTATGGCTCTATATACTATCAATGGATATATATATATATATATATATACTATAGTATAGTATTTCTATTATCCATGGATACATTACTAGGATATTACTATTAACGCTGCTATTACTATTAACACTATTATCAATGGATATACTGTAACTATTACACTTACTATAACTTTGTCAATTGATATACAGTATAGTATAATCTTGGTAAAATGGTAATAGTTATAGTATATAGTAACGAGTATATTCATTGTTGCTAGTTCATTATTACATATTGTTTTTACAGGATTACTAGGGGAGTGTTATAATGGGACTATATGGTATTATAAAGTATGAACAGTATAATACTAATATCATAACATAGTTAATATACATGATATTGAAACATTCGCATAATAGTATAGTATGATAGTATACTATTGTTGAGCTAATGCACAATAACATTGCTGAATTGTTGTTAAACGGATATAATTATCATCATTGGATATAATTATAATCATTTTGATAATTATATTATTGTTCTTTATATTGTGATATACACCAGAATTGCATTCCCCGATAATCAACAACAACATCGCCATGGAAAATTGCACGCTTAGTTCGATGATTTACAGTATATACCTGTAGAACATGATAATTGGGATAGATTTGGATATACGTAATGTAACATTATAATATATATATACATTGTTACTGTAACATGTATTAACATATTATGTGAACATTCAATATCTTATGTTTTTTAATAAAATAGTCGGTGCATCCAATGAAATATTTGTTGTTATTCAGTGAGTGTTTATTTGATAATATCATTGTTGGTATTCACTCATTACCATTCTTGCTGGTAATTGTTAGAAATTGTTGGAATAATTGGGAATGTCAAAACTACTGGCAATTGCCGTCAGCCATTTCAAAGTCCTTACTTATAAATAGCTGGTAATTCATGGGATTTGTGGTAATTGTTTATGGATGTTAAAATAGTTCAAATGCTATATGTTTTTCATCAGTATCACTATAGTTAACCTACGTAAACCAACTTAGCTACCTTGAGGGCACAACCTTGTATATCCCATTACAAATCTTGATGGCTTCGCGTGTAAATTATATCTCATTGTATCCCATTTTATCCCATTATATCAGTAATATTCCATTACTATGGGATAAGATGGGGTATTTGTTTCACATGAGTAATATCCCATTATTAGTAATATTGCATGAACAATTGCTATGATTGTAATATACCATTAACAATCCATGAATATGGTTAAGTAGTCACTATAAATAATATCCCATTGTGAATACTATCCCATTGTGATCCATTAAGAATTACATAGAATTACAACATGATTATCCCATTGTGATCCATTGGGATCTCAATTCTATTCACCGGGATGGCTCAAGGAAAATCTTACAGGAAACCCACCAAACATTTCATGGGAAAATCCCCCGGCGTCCTGTGGATTTTCCCTCAAGCCAATCCAGTGATCTGTTCACATCCAGTACTTATCCAGTAAAAACCCATGGGAATCTATGGGAATATGAAACCTATTATGGGAATCCATCGGGAATCCATTATAATATGGATAATATTCAATGGGAAGATAAGATTGAGAATGAATCAGAATATGGGAATCTATGGGAATATGTCTGATCCATGAAAATATTGCAACATTAAACATCCATATAATACCATATTACAAATCTGATCCAATTATTGATCAGGCTATAACACCATATTCTGATCCATATTAAGGGATACTAACATTATTATCTGGTTGGTGGTTTCAACCCCTCTGAAAAATATGAGTCAGTCGGGGTTGTGACATTCCCAACTGAATGGAAAAATAATCCAAGTGCTCCAAGCCACCAACCAGTGATTATTAACCATCATTAACCATCATTAACCATCATTGTTGGTATATCATCCCATTATAAAGATGATTATCCCATTATAATCCCATATAATACCCATATATTAACCATATTAAACCAGCTATTACACCCATTAAGAATTCCCAAGTGATTTTTGGGCCTGCCAGCTTCATCCTGGCACCGTGGCCCGCGGCCGTGTCCACCGCCGTGTCCACCATCCTTAGCTTCGAGGCCCAATCCCAGGCGAAATCATGGGAGAAAAAATGGGAAAACCATGGGAAAACCATGGGAAAAATGGGAAAACTATGGGAAAAAGGTTGGAAAACATGGGAAAAAAGATGGGAAAACCATGGGAGAATCATTGGCAAAACCATGATTTGTCAGTGGAAAATCCATTGGAAACTGCCAAACTTGTGATATCTTAACAGTTCCATTAATTGAAACCGTCATCCCATCAGGGGAAGCCAAAAATTTGGGGAAATTGGCCACCGAGAGACGACAGAAACAAGTTGGTTAAGATGGTTTTCTATTTTCTGTGATGATATGAATATGGATAAAACCAATAGTGAAAACCATATTTCATTGGTTATTCTTTGAATATGGTGAACTATGCTTAAGTTGCTCAACCGTGGTCTATATTTCTTGAATATGTTTGCTATTCTTTGTTCTATTTCTTCATATCCTACCCGCGACCTCCACGACCACCCTACGTTTAAGCAGAAGGATCTCATGAACGATGTGTTCGATAAAGCGATGCACTTCCTGTTTCGTGTCCATCTTCTGCTTTCTCAGCAGCTTTTGTCGCCTGTCGATCGTTTTTTCGGATTGCTTGGGGAAGGCTGGGCAATCCGTAATGTTGCAGCGGATGTTGGCCATGTGCCTCTTTTCGGGCAGGTCTAATGTTCATGGTTTCAAAGGGCCTGATCTGGCCTGCTAAAATCAATCACAGTTATACTGGGTTTCTTCACCTCAGGATTCGTAAGTGCGTCGATTCACTTCAGTTAGAGTATGGCTTAGTAAAGATGTGACCTATTGGTGCATCTTCAACCCTTTCTGGGAAACCCAATCAACAAAACCATCCCCAATATGTCCAAAAATGTGGGAATTTCTGATGAGCTTTAGCATTTACAGAGATTCTCATTGGAGCTTTACCATGGTGTAAGAACAACGGTTTATTCTCTGGGAATTGAACACTTTGTCTGGTTGGTGGTTGACCTACCCCTCCGAAAAATATGAAAGTCAGTTGGGATGATTATTCCCAACTGAATGGAAAAATAAAAACATGTTCCAAACCACCAACCAGTTGTGAAGTGGAAAATGAACAACCAATTACTACACTTCGATGATTTTCGCAGAAACATTCCTGTACTTCTTGGAGTTTCTGTTATCATCTCAATCATCGGAGATCAACTTAGATTGGGTCTTTTTATGTATTTTTACCATTTACCATGCTTTTACCATGGTTTACAGTGATTTACCATGGTTTTACCATGGTCTTCCCATAGTTTTCCCATGGTTTTACCTTGTGAAAATCCACAAAATGCGGCCTCAAGGACTTGGTGACCAAAGAGAAGGCCAACTTCCAGGCGGCTGTCGAAGAGGGCGAGGGATCCCAGACCTCGATCTCGATGGTGATGTCCAACCATAAGTGCTTGGTGAATGATGATGAATAATGGTTACTTATATGGATGTGGGTCAAAATGGAAGACCGTTAAGGGGACCACAGATGTGAATGTCTAGTGACTAGTATTAACCATTCATAGTTTTGGGCTACCTAATTTTGACCCATACCCATATATGGTTAATAGCGATAAAAATAATGGTTATAATATTCAATGTTTAATATAGTTGAAAATAGTCATTGATAATGGTTAATGATGTTAATGGTAATAGTGATGAATAATAGTGATTATAATATGTTGGTCATATGATGATTATAATATGGTGGATTATCCAACAATTATTAACCATTATGGTTACAGTAATAGTAAATAGTGAATAGTCTAATGGTGTTTCATAATGGTTCCAGCAGTGATTCATCATGGTTAATATACTGAATAATGGTTACTGGTTAAGTTGATCTTTAAACATGTCTGATATGTGATTCATAATGGTTAATGATGTTAATGGTTGATACTGGCTAATGGTCAATCGTGAAGTAATATCCAACAAGACTGGTGGTATTGACATACAATGGAATATTCATGTGATTGTGTCCATTGTGAACTATTGGATAATTAACTATGATATCTTCATATTAAGTTAATATTCAGATGGTATTTACCAATGGCTAATATTCGGTTAATATCTAAATCAACCATGGCGGGCCGCTGATCTAAAAATCATCGAACTGAATGACGGATTTTCGTCCAGCAAGCCATGTTTGATGACACCGGAGAGCATCCCAGAACTACAGTATTCCCAATATTATATTATATATATATATTATATTATATATATATATTATATTATATATATATATGTGTGTGTATAAATAAGTTGACATCAGTTTCTCCATCACTTTCTCCCCCCGAGGCGGGGCACGCTGACGCTCATGTCGCGTGCGAGTTCTCGGATGTTGGTGCCGTGGCCGATGGAGGTCTCCAGGAGCATGTTGGCGTAGTCATCCGTGGAGGTCTTTTCCAAAAACCTCCATGGTGACGTGAGCCATGGAATCCATGGGGGAAAGAAATGCAGGTTTTAGTAATGGAAAGTATGGTTAAATTCATTATTATCCATGAAAACCATGAAAGTAATGGAAATTTATGACATGTTTCATTGTTATCCATTGTTTCCTGTTGTTCCCTTCAACCAAACCATTGATGCTTCAAGAATCCCACTCCAGCATGATGAGATCGACATGTTGCTGTCCAGTGGCTGAAGCAAAGTCTTCCGCTGCAATTGCCTGCGGCCGTCTGAGGATTATGATGATTGCTATAGTGCCAGCCATTTTTCGTCATGTCGATATTATATCAATATTCCGAATGTTTGTCCAGAGATGGATGTGGGGAAAATCAGATATGGCAGTGTGTCAAAACCTTGTACCCCTGGTGAACATCAAAATAGCTGGTAAATGGATGTTCATCCCACTAAAAATGGTATTAATAGGTTTTGACCCATCCCCATATGGGCAAAAAAGTGAGCATATGGAATCTCTTTTGGAATAGCTTCATGCCCATGCCATGACGTAGCATCTGTGGGCAATCCCTGGGCAAAAAATTGGGTCCATCCATGGGCCTGACAGTGGAAGGAGCTTGGTAATGTAGATCCTGGCTGCGACAAAAGGGCATTAGATCTGAATTTGATGATGATGTCAATTAAAAGGAAGGCAACTGGTTCATCTTCAACTGACATCAACAGAAAATCAAGATCACCTGCCTTTATCTTCGACTGCACTGAAAATGAATGGCTGGAGCAGAAAAGACTTCAGTAGAAGGTCTCTTCATCTAACCCCTTTGCCCTCAAACTGGCTATCAAAACCCTTACCTGGTGAAGAAAACAGTTGGGAAACGGAAGTTTATCCCCGAATCATATGGAGAGTTGCTGCCAACGGCTAGATCATCAATCTTCCACCACCCCTGTGGCAATCATTTACCTACCATCGGTTGGAGCGCCCCTGAGTGTGTCCTGCGTCTGTAAGAGCAGGTATTTCCGCTTGAAGCCCTTGGGAAGGCCATGGGTGTTTGTCCCGCAACTGGGATCGCTGAGGCATTGCCACTATCCAAGTTTGCTTCCAATGCAGCTGTACTAAATCAAGCTACAGAATCTGCAAGGCTTCCCCTTTCCAAGATCTATTCTGGACTGGTTCTATAAATCGTCACAGGATTTTTTCATCGCCAGTGATACATCACAGCCCTGAGTTGGAGTACTGTACCCTGCAACTTCACCTGGCCATCACCATCAAAAACACACATGTCATCCTCTCCATGGTTTAATCCTCCAGTTTGGTATCTTGGATGTTCCAGTCATTGAAAGATGGGCAAATGTTCGAAGATGGAAAACACTTGGCACATCTTGGGAAGATGGTGGGGGGTTGGGGCTACTTCTCATCCAGGCAATCCAGGCGATCCAAGACACGTTCCACATATCCGCTCGATACACGGCATTCATTGCTGCCAGTAGGAGCAAGATACAGATCTGGCGCGTTGTGCAAGTTGCTTGTGCAAGGTCCCAACACAATTCTCTCAACAAGCCAAAAAAAACAGCCTTAATTCAAATATTTGCAATTAGCTATTCGTCTTTATAAGTTTCTTCGTAGGAGAAGCAACTACTAAAGAACGTCTCCATACAACTACTCCGTTTGTATATACGCATGTTTGTTGCAAGGGCAAAGGCACACTTATATCTCTTCACAACACTATGTCATTTCCGTCAACTAAAATCATTCTCAGATGCTGTGCAATGACAGTCAGGCCCGCAGGATGATAAAAAGTCCGTTTGGAATTCAGACTTCGACATTGCAGGATAATAATCGCTAAATTCCAACAGGTATAGAGTAAATCCCAATAAGTATATATTAAATCCCAAGTAGAGAATCCCAATTATTACGTGCCAGTTACGGCTGATGTTGCTGCTGCACCTGGTATTTGGAGATGTAGCTATTGAGGCTCAACACATCCTGGGCTTGGAAAGCTGCAGAGCAATGTTCCGATTCAAAAAAAGATCAAATGTCAAGTTCAAAGGTCTATCTTTACAAATATGTGTCTGTACCTAGATATACACATATATAAATACTGTAGATGATTTTCCCAGCTATAAAATTTAGTTCGGGAATTTTCCAGCTAGCCATATTTGATGACACCGGAGGGTTTGGTAGTTTGCTACATCCACATTTTTCCAGCCGGCGAAGCTCCAGTATGAATTCCACGCTTCCCCCATGGAAGTGGGTTGCTTCGATCCATTTCAGCAACTTGACCATATCTTCTATTGTTTTCATCCATTTCATCCATGTGGGTGTGCCTGCAAATGGGGGAAAAAAACAAACCAATTAATGACAATTTTAATAGGGAAAATGATGGCCAAGGCTCATAAAAAAAGGCCGGGGCTGCCACCATGAGCGGCTGATACTTCCAGACCTGCCAGTGCGATGAGATCCAAGGGAGTCAAGTTATGAAAAGAAAAACCTATGAAGTCCCGCATTTGAACCACTTTGATTCGTGGTTTTCTTTGTATCACACTTGTCTATTTTTGGGGTTGGTTCACATACCATTTTGACCCAGAAAATATACACACTTTTGCAAAGCTTCGCTGTCTTATCGAGACCCCGTGGTATATTCAAGGATGCCTGTGCAACATCAACACTATCAAATTGCAAATTTCAAACATTCGGGAAGCCATATACTATACCCCACCCAATATAGGTCGAGATCAAGGATCTAAACCCATTGTGTGACTTGAGAAATTGGCCATTCAACTTCCAGACATCACAAGACCATTGGTTCCATGCTATCCAGGACAGGAAATATCAACGGTGAGGTGACAGCCACTTTGTCGGGGCCACCGATCATGTTTAGCTGCGTAGCCATATGGTCATACCATATCTCAACTTTATAACACCATGAGTTTACCCGTAAGGATTGCGACAACTGCACCCCCAGGTACTAATCAAGCAACCAATGGAAAGACTAGCAAGAATTCACCATACATCGTGCAACCGCACAACTTCAGATGCTACTGCCTATCAAACAAATCTGCAATAGCACATCCTCCACGCTCTCCATTCGTAGATCAATTTCCCATCAAACATTGCCAATCTTGGATACCTAGCCACTTTTTTTGCCAGCAAATATTTTCCACTTATGTCCAAACATAGCAACATACTATAGTACCAGAGTAATGTTAGTACAGCACTAATAAACCATCCATATTTCGATGCTTTGTACCCATCAAAAAACGGCGATTGTGAGGATGGTGGATCCTCAATTGCTGTACTCACATTGCTGTGGCCATCAAAATTTACAAGTAGCTAGAAATCAAAGTATAGATATTACCATAGATATTACCATAAACCCAACAGTTTACTGTATATTGGAGTGGTGTTTACCAACTTAGTTCACATAAATCAGCTCAACGATAAATCCCCATTATTTGTAGGGTAAATCTACCAGGACAGATAGCTACGCCCAAGGCGCATGGATGGGCGAGGCCCGGTCAAACATTGCCCGAGACCTGGCACGTACCACGAGGGGGAGAGTCTCACGGCGAAAAAATCAGGCCGAAAAAACAGAAACACTGGTGATATGTAAATATAGAATCTATTTTATGGTGATTTTTATAGAATAAATATAAAAAAGAAACACTTTGATATATATAATCTGATGATATATATGGTGATTTTTCAAAGAAACCTATATTCTTCTGTATCATTCCATAAAAAATGAAGAAGGATATTCTATGTACATATTGTAGATAGTGTGAATCATAATTCATCGCTCTATAGTATTATAAAATCTTTAGCACTGTTGCCCATTATGTGTCCAGTTGTTTATTCATATAGTCTGATATAGTCATAGCAATAATATAACGATTATGAATGATTGTGATTGACAACCATTGATAGTGTGCTATACTGTCGTAAACATGTGGTAAAGCCAATGATGAACATCACAGTTGAGGTTGTTATTGGATGTTCCACCGTCGTATTGGATATATATAATTATATATATATATATATAACTACAGCCTCATCACTTGTAGAATCAGGAAAGAAGGTATAAGAATAAATCGGTAGTTATGAGTTGTAACCTCAAATGAAAAAGTTATCGGCCAAACAAGAAAAAAGTGACACATGAGTAGTTTCTTCATCCATCAAGAATCTGCTGCGGGTATATAACTGGAAGGGGCAGCCGATGCGGATTGGTTCTACCATGGATGATTGTGATCCTCGTTTGAAACTGGTGGTAGTTTTCGATGTTTACTGTATCAACATCAACCAATTATATACCTTGACCCTCCAAGTACCTATATCAAGTAGTACATTCTGGTATGTCTACACCCAAAAAAAAAGTTCTTTTCGCTATCATGTGGTGAGTAAATTGAATTTGCCCCTCTGCTCCCCAATTTCATGGATACTCTGTGAAAATTTTCAACCCATTTCAGCATCTAAGGATGTTCATCTTTGATCAGTCTATTTAGTACATTTCACTATTCAATGGATTGGTTTAAGGGACAGTTTACAGGAACCCCCCTATTTCATGGGGAAAGCGGAAAAACCAGCTAGTTTCCGGTGAAGATGTTCCCATAAACCAATCTTAACCAATCCATTTCATCTATAAAAACCCATTTTATTTCTTGTAGATGTTCCTTTACATCAGTTCATTTCAACAAGATTTACCCTCCGGTAAATTAACAGTTCGACCCTGGCAGTCATCGGGGTTGGAAGATTAGTGAAACCATTAAAACTAGGCTATTTTCAGGGTCAACAAGTTCATTTACCAGAGGGTAAAACCACCATTTTCCCATGGTTTTCCTATGATTTTCCCATAAAAACACAATTTTCCTATGGTTTTCCTATGATTTTCCCATAAAAACACAATTTTCCTATGGTTTTCCTATGATTTTGCCATAAAAACACAATTTTCCTATGGTTTTCCTATGATTTTCCCATAAAAACACATTTTCCTATGGTTTTCCTATGATTTTCCCATAAAAACACAATTTTCCTATGGTTTTCCATTTGTAGGTTGACCAACAGATCTCTCCAACCGCTAGCCGCTCCAACCGATCAAACACCGCCGAGTCCAATTTCTCGGGGCCGGACATGGCCATGGGCGTCAGCAGCTTGGAGATGCAATAGATGGTCACCTCAGAGCCACATTTTCAGTGAGATCGCAAAGGATTTAATGGATAGATGTATAATATATATATATGTATATATGTATATATAAATGTATATTTATATATATATATATATACACGTATGTATATATATATTATATATAGTATGAGGATATATAATAATAGACAATAAGACTAATGATAAGGATAACAATAATGACAACAACAATAATATCCTTACATACACATACATATATGTATACAAATAAATATGCAAGCCAAGTTGATATGAAAGTTGGATACGTCTGAATAATAAGGATTAGCCAGTGGAATGGAGTACCCAAAACCTTCAGAGTTCAACTCACATGAGTACAGCCGCCCTATTTTGGAGAACATGCAATAGCTAGCTTCACTTAGCAAGCCTCACTTAAAAAAAAAACACAAAGAGTCAGAGTGATCATGTCTTGGACAAGTTTGGTTCTGTTCAACAAAGACTACTAGAATATTCCAGATATGATCAATATTCCAGATATGATCCCTATGATTCCAGAGATGTTCCTCTGGAATTTTCAACTGTTTCAACTGATGATTCCTCGGAATATTCCAGACATCAAACATCTTGAAACAGACGCAAGTCCGTGGATTTGCAGTAGCAGTAGCAGATCAGATGCTGTGAAAAAACCGAGGAAAGTTCTTCAGGGAAAAAAAACGGCAGCAACAAGAATGGAAGTGGAAAATCACCATTTTTTATAGTGGAAAATCACCATTTTTGATGGTAAAATTTCAACAACGGGGGAGTGATTGGGATATTGTGAACAAAATGCTTGGTTGTTGAGCCACCCAGGCCCCAAAAACACAATTTGTTGCTTGAGAAGGACTAGAGACCTCATGACAAATTTTGGCAAAAGTTGTTGGCTGGAATATTTGCCATGAAGGGGGACAAAAGACATGAAACAAACCGTGGCAAACATGTTTGATTCGGATAAAAAAACATTGGTGAAACATTGGTGCCTTCCCAACAATTCAAAATAGCCAGTGCTGCGGGAACTTCATCTTGAATCCCCAGATTTTCTCATTCTTGGATGGTTTGAAGAGCATTGAAGAGCCACATTGTTGACACTTAATGGTACAATATTCCCCCATCTTCAACCCAAATGACATTGGTGTCCCAATATGAGTTGGCAAACAAATCCATGTTTGTTGGTTAGAATGTCAATCCATTAATCGTTGGTTTTCAATATGGTGATTCAAGCAATCCACAAAAAGCAGCGAAATGCAATCAAACCATCAAAAAACATATGAGGTCAGGGAAAAAATGCAGTTTACCCTCATAACTATGGAAAATCACCATTTTTATTAGGTAAATCAACTATAAATGGCCATTTTCAATAGCAAACTGTATGTTTACCAGAGGCTAACCTTCATGGAACCATCATTTTTTACCAGACGTTTCGGCCTCAAAGAAATAGGTCACTGGGTAGTTCGGACCAAGGCAATCGCAACCAACATGTCCAGTGAGCCGGCGGATTCCTGCGGAGAGACACCACACAGTGGGGAGTTGTCTTGCCAAAAAACATGGAAAACAACGTGGAAAACAACATGGTAACGTGGTTCATAAATGTTCATAAATGTTCATAAATGTTCATAAATGTTCATAAATGGTCATAAATGGTCATAAATGTTCATAAATGGTCATAAATGGTCATAAATGGTCATAAATGGTCATAAATGGTCATAAATGGTCATAAATGTCATAAATGGTCATAAATGATAAATGATCATAAATGGTCATAAATGGTCATAAATGGTCATAAATGTTCATAAATGGTCATAAATGGTCATAAATGGTCATAAATGGTCATAAATGGTCATAAATGGTCATAAATGTTCATAAATGATCATAAATGGTCATAAATGGTCATAAATGGTCATAAATGGTCATAAATGGTCATAAATGGTCATAAATGGTCATAAATGGTCATAAATGGTCATAAATGGTCATAAATGGTCATAAATGGTCATAAATGGTCATAAATGTTCATAAATGTTCATAAATGTTCATAAATGTTCATAAATGTTCATAAATGTTCATAAACGTTCATAAATGTTCATAAATGTTCATAAATGTTCATAAATGTTCATAAATGTGCATAAATGTTCATAAATGTTCATAAATGTTCATAAATGGTCATAAATGGTCATAAATGGTCATAAATGGTCATAAATGGTCATAAATGTTCATAAATGCTCATAAATGTTCATAAATGTTCATAAATGTTCATAAATGTTCATAAATGTTCATAAATGTTCATAAATGTTCATAAATGTTCATAAATGGCCATAAATGGCCATAAATGGTCATAAATGGTCATAACTGGTCATAAATGGTCATAAATGTTCATAAATGTTCATAAATGTTCATAAATGTTCATAAATGTTCATAAATGTTCATAAATGTTCATAAATGTTCATAAATGTTCATAAATGTTCATAAATGTTCATAAATGTTCATAAATGGCCATAAATGGTCATAAATGGTCATAAATGGTCATAAATGGTCATAAATGGTCATAAATGTTCATAAATGTTCATAAATGTTCATAAATGTTCATAAATGTTCATAAATGTTCATAAATGTTCATAAACGTTCATAAATGTTCATAAATGTTCATAAATGTTCATAAATGTTCATAAATGTTCATAATGCACAAAACACATGATATACAATAAATATATACATGATCAATAATGCTTCAGGATGGATGAACGATGATCATGGATACACATGTACCACTTGGTGGTTGAGCCATGTTGAGCCACCTCCTTGAACGATGTCAGTCATTTGGGATCATCATCCCATTTGTCATAGGGAACAGGACAAATATATGTCAAACCCAACAACCAGTGCATACTAGAATGAATAATCAATATAGTGGATACAACATCTTACAGGAGTCTATCCCTAAACAGCCGTTTCTGCAGTTTTAGACCAACAAAACACGACACGTTTTCCAATGAGACATCAGGCATGTTTGGAGCTGACATTTCCGGATTTTTCGCACCCCTCGCACCCGCACTTCTTGTGGACCACCACTGACTTGTACCTGGAGATTTTCGTGGACGAGCAGTCTTGGTATGGACATGTGTATGGGATTCTAGATATATATATATATATATGTGTATATAATGTATATATATAATATATATAATATATAATAAATGATAATATCATGGTTTTACCCATTTTTTTTGCCCATTAAGTCACCATTCGATTTCCCCATATAAAGCTATGAATGACTAATCCAAACACAGCTATCGGAGGTCGTGGGATGAGTAACCAATCAATTCAAGCTTTATCCCAAGTTGGTCTAAACATGTTTAAACCTATCGTCCTTTTTTTTAACACAACCAATTCTTCTGGTCCCAAATATGTGTAAATTTTCAATGAAAATCCGTGGTTTCTTTGGCGGTGTTGGTTCTACTATCGGGCAGTTATGATGCACCAATTTTCAGTTTTCAGGTCGATGTTTCCAGTGATTATTCACTACCAAACTGGGTTTCTGGAAATCCAGCTTCACCAATACTTCTGGATATTTCTGGTATGATGTTTCTCTTCAATCCAGTACATCTAGAATATCTAGAATCATGATTGGTAAATTTCAAGAATCATCGACCCAGTTTGGTGAAATCTCGATTTTGTTCATGATTTTTCCATGATTTTTCAGGTTTCTGGTAGATGTTCCCTTCCAATCCGAAGCAAACACTCCCCCTCCGCCGGTACGGTTGCAGCGCCCTCCGCCGCGCTGGCAGCTGCGGCATCCAGTGCCAATGTCAGGGCCTCAGACCAGGAGACGAAACACTTATCAGGAGATATGAGTCACTGGATTGGTTTAAGGGAAAATTTACAGGAAACCCATGGGTTTTTACCATCAAATATAGGGCTTTCCTGTAAATTTTCCCATCATCCAATTCTATGAATGAGACATGAAAAATACCCTGGTTAATTGATTGCGAAAAAGGGGATTATACTACCTGGTTTACTGGGGATTATGATGGGCCCCATAGTAATTAATTGATTTGGGGGGAAAAAAATCACCATTTGGGATATCGTAATGATATTTGGAAATGTATGATATTTGGGATATCGTAATCAATATCGTAGTGATATCAATATCTTCACTGTATGATATCGTAAGGATATTTGGATATATCTGGACACATTGAAATCTTTCTATTACACGATGCACCACTTGGGATAGGCACCAATTTCCCAGGACTTCCTTTCGACACACTCTCTTGGTCCCGTCACTTCGCAGTCTTTGGCGAAGCACAACTTGGCCGATGGCTGACTTCTTTGGCAGCTGAGTTCGGCATTTGGTGTGCGATCTTGTTGAGAAGATCAGCCCAAAAAACAACAAGAGAAGTTGCTCGTTCAATCCCAACTGAGATTCAATGTCCATCCTGGAGTAGAACATCAAACTGAACCTTTTCAGCCGTTTCATGCAAACAGGATTTCACCAATATGAAAAAGAAATACCCTCTGGTAATTTAACGTAGCTATTGAAAATGGCCATAGAAATAGTGAGTTTTCCCATTAAAAATGGTGATGTTCAATAGCTATGTTAAATTACCAGAGGGTAGGAGTTTTTCATAGGTGTTCCACCATCTCCAGGAGCTCCAGTTCTCAGCTGGTCGATCTCACAACTCAAAGGCCGGTGGCTCGGAGACTTCTGCAGGCACTTCGTCGAAGATGTCGGCGCCGGTGAGTTTCTGAAGGCGGCAAATCCTGATGTTAAAAGGGGGGGTGAGTTTCCAGAAATAACTCTGATAAATGGTTAAAATATGTTAAAATGGGATGATAACCTCTGATAAACCATTATTAACCATTATCAACCATTATCACTCATATTGGATGATTAATGGGTTGATAATGGTTAAAAATGGGACTAGGGATTCAACCTCTGATTTTTATCCATGGAAAAAAAAAACATCGGATTTTTCAAGAGGAAACCAGCTCCAAAAATGTATCGAAGATCGTGGGATTGAACCATCGCACCCCAGCCATACTACATCCCTATTACATCTCCACTATATCCCTATGTTGTTTGAGAACCTCTATCACACTTAAGGAAAATAAGGATCCACGATATCTACATTAATTGTTGCCAATATATAACCTTTATCAGTGCGATTAGTATTTGTTTGGTAAGTTATATCCATGTTATTGGTTCATTATGATGACAACATATTCCTAGTCTCATATCGGAACTAATTTTTCATCTCCATTCATAGTAATCATACTAGGCGAAACAAGAACTTTCGATCGATTACATCTCCGTTGTTACTATTAGTATATATTAGTTCCATTACTACTAGTATTGCGAATCATTGACATCATTAATTTGTTATGACAAGACAATTATATTGTCATTGGCAAGAATACCGATAATTGTGATTGTTGTTCATGATAGTGTTGTTGATAATATTCATTATAACTATTATATCCCATTATATCAGTATATCCTCACCAGTAATTATTCCATTAATCAGGGCTCCTCCCAACACCCCATACAAGTGGGGGAAACAGGGTAGATAAGGAGCTAAAACTACCAAGAACCCCGTTTGTGGCTATCATTTATATATATATATATTGGTTTGGATCAATCCGGTTAAGTATATTACATCCCATTCGTATTGTCAGTACCATTATTACTATGATTACGTACTGTTATTGTCTAGAAATTGTCACCTATTATGATTTCTTATCATCTGCCATTATCAATTCCTATCTATTATCATCTATTATGTTTCTTGTTATCTAGCAATATTGTCGATCATCATCTATTATCATCTATCATCTATCAGTTCTTAACTATCATAATCATCATCATCATCATCATCATCATCATCAAATAATGCTATTGTTATCACTTCACAAAAAATCCATTCCGTATCGCATTGCCCGCGTCGAGCGTCACGCTCCCCGCTTCGCAGACCTTCAGCGAGTCCAGCTGCTCCCATTCAGCTCTGCGCAGCTTGATGCCACGGACCTACCCAGGCTATGGCCCACCCGGTTGGGATAGCTTTGTCCACCAAAAATAGAGAAAAAGGAGAATTTAGCCCAAAAAAATCGGGATCGAATGGGATTCATAGTTGATTTCATGCTAGGTCACTGGCTTTTTCTACGATTTCGGGTGTATCCAACTGTAGTTTAGCTTGCAAAACTCCACCTGGTAGAGGTCGAACTTGGCACTTCGACTTGTAGAGATGAAATGCACAATGTCGCTGCTGTTCCAGCCAAGCAAAACCTGGTGGAGCCAAACAAAAATGGGAATTCGAGTCAGTGGGCATTCATCATGCCATTTTATTGGGGGTTGAAAATACTGCAAACAATCCCATTTGTGGGGGGTTCGGATAAAGAAATCGATTCAGACAAAATAAACAATGATAAACAATGTAATCTGAAACTTCCAGACACGGCTAAGGCGTTCACATTCTTCATGGAATCTTGGATGTGCAAGTCCCATTTGCTGTACAACTCTTGGGTGTTGTAACCACTACCTTCGATCACGCCATAGAAGGCCACCATGACCCTCAAGTAGTGCATCCAATAGCGTTCGTTGCAGACTTGCAGATAGAAGTTCCTGGGTACCAGTTCAAAACTATGTCAGTAGTGGTGCATAATTCCCCACCCTAAATGTTCTACGAACTTGGGGTGTGGCAGCAACTATTAAAAGAACATGACCATTTCATCATGTCATGTTCAAAGAATCCTGTTTATATACTTAGGTTATTTTCCTATATGTTCATCCTCCAAGTCTCCATCAGAATATAGTTCAACTTTATATTTCCTTCAACATCTGCCAAGATCCTCCACAACGATCCGTTTAAAGTTTATTCTTCATGCCATCATCCCCATCACCAACCAGATTTTTCCCATCCGATTGAATTATATCCACCATGTTTATCATAAGATTTTCCCATTCTCAACTGGTTGGTGGGTTCAACCTACCCCTCTGAAAAATCATGGAGTTCCTCAGTTGGGATGATGAAATTCCCAATATATGGAAAGTCATAATCCATTCATGTTCCAAACCACCAACCAGTGATTATTAACCATTATTAACCATCATTAAACATCATTAACCATCATTAACCATCATTATCCCATACATTTCACCAATGTTCCAGTCACCACCAACCAGTTATATTCCCATAGACGGTTTTTATTTATCCACACTTCCCACACTTCACCATTGTCCTTCGATGGGAATCAGTTGAATCCATCCCATTCTTTCTCATTGAAACTGCCATATCTACCCATCATCCCTGATATCACCACAAAAGACATTAAATCATCATAAATCCAATATCATCCAAAATCTATTTACCAAGATCCATGCTTTGTTTCCCCCCCGTTGTTCCCCAGCGTCGTGTACCGCGTGAAGGCGTTGATTCTGCGGGCGCCGAAGTGCAGCGCCGAGTGCAGCGCGCCGTGCAGAGGCGACCGAAGGCTCCAGTCGCAGCGGGCCATGGCGCCGTTGAGCGGTTCGATGCCACGGCCGCGGAGGGCGACAAGGTGCTGGTCGTAGGCGCTCCTTAAAGGACCCGGTGATGGATGGGGATGGGGTTAGATCGATTAACTAAGAATGGTTAAGAGATGGTTAGAGAGATCCCTCTGAGATTTAAAATATGATTTAATGATCTCAACATATTTTGGAAGATTTTGGATTGTGGCACTTTGCTGAGCACTGGATGGTTGGATAGCCAGGGATCTGAGATGTTTCATTGGCTAAGATATTAGTTAAGACCCCATAGAGTCAATACTTTTACACCTGGTTGAGGCCCATAGATAGATTCCAAACGATTCAAAGTTTGAGAGGATGGGTCAATGATGTTAGAGGGGATGGAGAACTTGTATGGCATTGTGTAGGTATATAATACAAGTACTCCTCAAAATCCTTCCATTAGTTAGAACATATACCCTCTTGGAATTCAACATAGCTATAGAAATTCATATGTTCATCTGCAAATCATCAAACTCAATGGGCCATGGTTCTCATTCATCTGAGCGATGTGAAACAAGGTGTCGCGCCAGCGTTGCATCAAGACTTCATGCGCACGCGACGCCAAGAAAAAACTTTCCACCCGATCCTGCCAAAGCGCTATAGTTATCATAGCCGTTTCCAGCCACAAACCTTAAAACAATGATTAACTAAAATTGTGAAGAATTTGAAACAGTGAAACATGCATTTTGAAAATGCATTTAAAAAACAACGTGAAAACATGTGATTTTAAAATGTGGAAAAAACTGTGAAACATGTTTTTTTTTTAAAAAAAGTGGAAAATGCGGAGAATGTGAAAATTAAGAAAACACATGTTTGATTAAAGTGTGTTGATTTTCCAATGTGTTTAATTCTGTTGGTTTACTGCCATACACCATTGAAAATTAACATGTAGATAATGTACATGCTGATATTTGCTGATGTTTAAGTCCAAGTATGTAATGTATGATAATGAATATACACCACCCACAAACCAAATGGATCCAAATGGTATAATTAAACTTAGGAAACAAAAAACGGGATAAGAAAAAATGTAATTATATTTGCCCACATTTAATTCTTATTTTGGCGGTACCCTATTTTCAAACCAATCCATATGTCCGTGACTCCATCACCAAACAACCCAGGCAGTCGTCCCCAAACCTTTTTTGGCACAGGTCCGCCAAACAGCACAACAAATCTAGAGAAAATAAAAATTGCCCCGGTGTCTTCCCCCACAGGATTCCCAAATGCATTTCTTTCACATTATTTTCACAGTTTTTCACATTTTCAAAATGTATTTTTTGACAGTTTTTTCCAAGCGCACTTTCAACATGCATTTTTCGCATTTTTCACAATGCATTTTCAACATTTTTTTTTCACATGTGCTTCACATGTTTTTGTATTTTTGTGAGCAAAGTGAAAAAATGTGAAAAAACCATTTTGAACATGCATTGTGAAAAAAAGTGAAAGAAAACATTTTGAAAATGCATTGTGAAAAAAAGTGAAAAATGTATTCCTAGTGGGTGCGGGCACCTCGGGTTTGAGCCGACGACTGGAACGTATGTGTTTGCATTTTGGTCATGCTACATGCAAGCACTGGTCTGGTGAGAACTGCATACAGTATAGAGGCACTTACTATCTTTCTCTACGGATACTGCCTTTTTCACAGACGAAGTGCTTAGGGTCTGGTTTGAAGTTGTGGCAGTTATAACATGGGTTATAAATATGGTTATAAGTTATAAGTTTCATAACCTAGGTTACAACCATTTACAACCTAGGTTACGGAAGTTATAACTTGATGTTAGTAACTTAAATTTCTAACTCAGTTTTGCTTGCAAGGTGTAACTTCTACAACTTAACAAAAAGTTGAAAACATAACTTCAAAATTATGCTTATGAACATATTCTTGATATCTTTTTGGGAAGCTGAAACACTTTCTTTTATACATAAATACATCTTGGGCTGCAACTCTGCACAGTGTGCTGCTGCTTTCTCGAAACTGGTTCCGGAGAATTTGTCGTGCGGTGCCGTGGCAATCTCGACCCTGTACTTTGAATCCATGTCATTGAGTCATACAGCGTTTGGCTTGATTTCAGTGTGTCCATATACATTTAGGCCGAGGGTTAGGTCGACACTCAAGTATCAACACGATCTGCACTAGTGGCTCTCAGAGGTATGATTGGGAAAATCATCTATGCATGGTGGATTTCAACTCCAGGATATGCAATGTCTGCAGGATGGGTCTAGACACTCATCCTGGAGATGCAATAACCCCGAATTTCATTACAATATGCAAATCCAAGTCTTTTTTGTAATCAGACATGAACATGTCAATAAATAACCTCAATATAGAAATCCAAAATTTGGAGACAGCCCACGAAATCCATTTTTTTCCCACTGAAAAAAAAACATACTCCCAACCCCCCATACAGTATGATGCTATCATATGGCTATGGGTCAAAACCAATAGTACCCCTTTTGTTCACATCAAAATAGCTGGGATTTATGGATGTTCATCCCACTAAGAATGGTATTAATAGGTATTGATCCATACCCATATGTTATCCCATTCTGTCCTCGAGGTGAACTCCACTGAAGGTCGCTGATTCATTGACCAAATACTGCAGCGGAGCCGTCAGGAGCAACGTGGCATCCAACCAGACCCCGCCGTGCTTCGCCAGCAACGCCAAGCGCAGCCAGTCCGAGAAGCGCGCGATGAATTCGAAGCTCTCGGGGCCCACGGTTCGGGGCGTATCTTCCGGTTCTCCGGCGCTGAAGAAATGGTGAAATGTGTGGGGCGCCCAAGATAAGTTGGTTTATAACCATGATATACCATGATACTTATGGTTGGATAGGGTTTTGAACCAACGTAGAACTGTAGGGCCACACATTGTGGGTCTATGAATCCATGAAGATTGATCTAGTAAATTAGCGATTTCATGATACGGAAACCCAATGGCTTTCGAAGGAAGCCATGATCAAAATTTGTTGAATGGCTATGGGGTAAACTTTACCCATTTCCATTTCCACACCCATGTTTTATGGCAGACTCTCGAGTAAATCAACATATGGAAATGACACTTTCTGCACAGGAACCTCGTTGGATTTTCAATGTCTATGTTAATTGACTGGAACGTAGATCAAAAAAATTAACCCAAACGTATGCACATGCATAGGCTAAGATGTAGTACAATGGAGGACAACATCTCATGTAGGGAACATGTGTAATGCATAGATGGAGCATATTAAGCATGTGTATATTTGTGGGAGTGGTAAACAGATAGCATAAAATCAGGGGAAATTGATCCAAACGAAAGGGATGATGTATTCTGTTGATAGGATTAGTCGGACCATTGGATTGCGAACTTCTAAGCAAAACAGGCTGCTAGTGGATCCTAACCCAAGTGCGAATTCTTTCAATTCTTGACTTTCCAAAGATTAAACATATCACAAATTGCATCCAAAAGTTCGCCCGCAAAAAGCCCGCTGTCCTTGTAAATGTTCTTTGTAGTTCTCCAAATTGATCAGGTTGACCTGGTGTTCTTTGCAATGACCAGTGGCTTGAGGCTTCCAAGGGAGCCAAGCCCCTCATCTATTGAGAAGTTCTATGGAGTTGACCCCACCTCAACCCGACTCTCCACCTCTGGAAAGAAAGTTGTCACCCCCCATTTCAATTCGACATAGACCTTCAACATGAAATCTAAGCCCATCAATTTGTCCCCGTGGGGTTCTCTGAAAATAGGATACAGCATAAACCGATGTCCAATTCCAATGGCAGTCAAATGGTGAAGTCATCCAGTAAGATTCTTGGACAAACCCATGTTTATAAATTAGGAAAATCGTGTGGCCAATACCGCTACCCGGCCTGGTAAACGGGCTAACATAACGAACTGGAAAGATCCACCATGCTATTAATGGGTAGTCATCCACTATTTCTATGGGCCATTTTCAATAGCAAACTGTTAGTTTACCAGAGGGTATATCATGGTAGATCACTATTTTCATACACTTATCACCATTGAAATTATGTCACCATAGTTTTATCATGTTATATTTATCCATTGATATGCCCATAAGACATAGAAATACCCCCGTTCCATCCGCTGGAATCCGTTGCTCCAAAAAACGCACGGATGTAGACCTCCAGTTGGGGGATGTTTTATACAACCCATGTCTGCCAAAATTGAGCAAAAATATAGATGATATATATACATATTATATACATATTATATACATATAATATACATATTATAATATACATATTATATACATATAATATACATATTATATACATATTATATACATATTATATACATATTATATACATATTATATACATATTATATACATATAATATACATATAATATACATATTATATACATATAATATACATATAATATACATATTATAATATACATATTATATACATATTATATACATAAGGCAACTCGGCCCAAATTCCCCCTCGTCGCTCAGTTTTTAGGGGTTTTTGGGTGCCATCGCCTGAGCGGGCATTTTGGAACTGCCCGCGGGTATCGCCTCACTGGCTGCCTTGTTCTCTGGCTTCTGCAAGTGTGCCGAACACTTGATTTGGTGGAATTTTCGGACCTAGTTGGGCTTTGACAGCGATTTACACTGGTATTTGCTTTGACATCCCCTTCTTCTCCGATTTTCCTGGTTTCTGCAGGTGTACCTAACATCTGTTTACAGGTGCTTTCATTTGGGCTTGGCCTTCGCTGATTGATTTTCTCAGCGTATTTCCTCCCCTATTTGGATCACTGCCAATTTCAACTTTGATATTCAATTTGATTTTGTGAGGAACTGTACCTTGAGGAGGTTCCGGCTACAATTTACTGGCACTATTCATTGATGTGCTCAGTGCTTTTGATTTTTCTCATCTTTGTCATTGCGTTTGACCTTGCCAAAGATTCCGTGCCAAACTGGATCTCAGCGCAGGCGCTTTCGTCGCCAGCGCAGTGCCGCCAGGCGAGCCTGGTTTCTGCATCGAACAGGTGTAGTTACACTGGACCAAATCGGCCTGAAGAAGTTGGTGAAGCGGCTTGCCAGCCACCATTCGCGGGACTTCCAGTTTTTGAAACACATCAAGAAGCACGTCAAGATGTCACAAGAACTTTGGCCGTGGAAGTGCTCGAACTGCCAAAGGATCAACAAAAAGACAGCAGTGGAATGTGCACTTTGCCGTTCTCACTGGTCATCAGGCATGCGTCATCGAACTCAGCCCCAGCAGCAGACGTACAGCGATCATGCATGGGAAGTTTGGGAAGCCGACGACGCAGCCTGGAATCGACAGAGGGCTCAATCCAGATCCCAATCGAGGTCATTCAGCCCGAGAAGTCGCACGAAGGGAAAAGGAGGAAAGAGCAAAGCCAAGGGCAAAAAGACCAAGAGTGGAGAAGGAAAGAATCCACCAGCGGACAAACCACAGCCATCTCCTTTTGCGCCATTAGCGGCGGAAATGCCACCATGGCCATCGCAAGAGGGGGCAACGGCCAGCCTGCTGCCTGCTTTGCCAACTGCACCGACTGGAGTTCCAAACCAGGAGGTGGCAGCCATGCTCAGAAGTGCGTACTCAGAGAGCAACCCGATGCCGCAAGATGTGAAAGAGTACATAGAAAAATTAGAGAAAGAGACTGCCAAGACGGTCACAAAGACGCTGCATTCAGCTACCACAGCAATGGGCAAGGCGCAGAAGACCCTTGCAGAAACTCTGGAGGCAAAGAAGCAGCACAAGGCTCGTTGGACTGCACATATCACGGAGGCCATCAAAACATGGCAATCCCAATTGCAGGATTACCGCAAGCAACAGAATACTCTACAAGAGGTTGCGAACAAAGCCAAAGCAGACATCGAGCAGTACAAAACCAGCATTCAGCAGCTGACCACCACTGTACCAGGAGCCTCATTGGCAGCCATGCCTTCGATGCCTATGGCAGCAGAAGTGGAAGATGCCAATCAGGAAGTGGACAATGTGGACGAGAAGTTGCAGATGCGATTGCAATCGGTTCTCAGATCCTGTGCCGAGTCATTAGGTCTAGAGTTGCCGACTGTACCAGAAGAATTGGATGTGATGGAAGATCTCACCAAAGAAGACGAGGAGGAAAACGCGCGGAAACGACCGCGATCGTTAGAGCCCTTTGGGGGATCACGGCCCACTGGTTCGCTTCCGGACAGCAAGATGTCGTGAATGCAGGCGGTGTATTTCCAGTTCATAGCAATGGTTTACATGACGCCATAGCCACAGCAAGTTTGGCTGATGCCTATGTGGTCTTGCCAGAGCCACATGCAGCATGCCACCCTTTGCTGACCACACACGACTCCGAAGCTCTCCTCCACTGGCAACATTCCATCCAATGGGAACCCAATTTTCAGAACAATTTTGCTGCAGTTTTAGGTGCTTGGAAAAATCGTTGGCAGTTTCTCTGTGAGGAATTTCATGAGGGTTTGAATCACGCTCCAGTTTTGCCTGCCACTCCATCGCCTAGTGAAGCATTTATCCACAGCCCAAATAGGTCAGATTTGATTGCTTCGAACGATGCAGCTCCTATGTTTTCTCGTAGTGAGCACCGTAGTTGCCTTCGATCTGAACATTGCCCAAAGATCATTCCAAAGCAAAAGAGAGTTCAATTTGATTCTGAGATTTCAGTTCACATTGGCCTTGAAGACAATTTGCAAATGGCATCAATCCCAATTGGAATCGATGACCTTAAAGCTTGGTTTGATAAGCCTTGGAAGAAAAAACCAATCAAATCTAAAACTGATCATGCCACCAAACCCTGTGCCAAAGAACTTCGCACCACCGATGAATATCACAATGTTCCTTCGCGCTGGTTTCAACAGAATGAGGATATTCAAGAACATGATCAAAATGATCCTGAGGATGCCAATCATTTTTTGCATGAGGCCCCTGATGCACTGCAAAATCTGTTTGATGCGTTGCAACAAGAAGGATTGGTCACGGGTCCACGAATCCATGACAGTGTTTTCATCAGGACTTGGTTCGTTCACCACCTCCATTTTCCGCAATGCTTTCATTTTAGGATGATTGAACTCAACGGACATTGGAGGTTTTGGCATGAGGAAATTCTTGGAGCTTGGAGAGATCGTATTTTTCCTAATGAACTGGTCATTTACGATATTGTGAAACCAAACCCACCACGTGCAGTTAACATTCAGCAAGAGATCCTCTTTGATGTCATCCTTTCACAAGGTCTCGATGCTCCGAGACGTGCAGGACTTGTGACAATTCTTCAAAGAGATGACCGTGCAGGACGTGCATCCTTTTCAGTAGGCGTGTCACTCTCTGAGAGAACAAGTGGACACCAGATTGTACAGTCTGCTGAACAATTGCATGAATGTAACCTGCACAACTGCAGAATCCGCCATGGAAGAGAGCACATTCCTTTCACCATGGAACCTGTCCACGACATGCTTGATGGCGATTCTTTCACAGTTGCGATAAGCACGCAAATTGCACAAACCCCGGTAGGGAACGATGTCCCGAATGAGCCAAACATCCAGGACTCTTTGGACCACTCGGATCATGACATGCAATTCGATGATGACTCCGTTGAACCGCCGCCAAGCATTGCCAGCACCAATGATTTGCTTGTTGGGGTCCACATTCACCGTTTGGGCCATTTGCAAAGGCACGGCAGAATCAGATGGGACACGGTTGCTCATGCTCTCATTGATGCAGCTGCAGTTGTCAATCAACCGCCCACGGATTTCGTTTGCTTTCATCATTTGCAGGTTGAACCAGCCGACCAACATGATGACTGCCACTCCATTATAATGCAACACATTCATGACATTGCGCCAGGTTCAACAGAAAAGCTAATCCTGGTTGATGTTGAATTGCATGACCCCGACAGAACGCATGATGTGCCCAAGGCACCAGCTGTTTCCAGAGCAATTTACAAAGTTGTTCCGACGCTTGTCAGACAACACATATTGCATCTCACACACACGGCTGCGTATTGTGACTGGCATGAAAAAGACTGTCTAGTCTTCCAGAATCATGCTTTGTGGCACAAACAGGATCAAGGACCGAGGCAGATTGAACACGGCATGTACATACGTGTCATTGTACCGCCACCGCCGTCCCCACAATGGGAAATCAGCAAAGCCATCCAAGCATTCCATGATGCTGTTGCCACTTTCGAATGTCCAGCTGCATATCATGTTGCCATTGCGTCGCTTGAAGCTCCCACAGAGAGTAGCCCTTCGGCGCACCAAGGCCAGCACAGCCGTCAAGCCAAGTCCACTGAGCAGGATGACGACATCGACATCCCAATGATGCTAGGCCCTCATGTGAGAATGCGAAGACTCCGACCGGAGCATGACGGAATGGAAGACTGGCTTTTAGACCTTGGTCACATTTTCTCTGCACAAGCAATCACAGAAACCATCGATGGTGATGCTTTCTTGTATGTTTTGACTTGGTACATTGATCATCAACGACACCCTGTTTGCAGAAGTCCAAGACCTCTAAGGCTTGACCCAGCAGCAGTTGC